TGAAAAGTGAGCATGAAATAGGGGTGAAATGGTATACCGCGGTATTAGTAGAACTGATGCATTTTGCCTTCGGTTCTTTATACCGTAACGCAATCCAAAAATTCAGTACTTTCAGTTTTGTCATTTCAGTTCAGTCATTTTATTACCTTTTTAAACCTTTTCTGAAATGTCTAGACATTGAATTATTTTGTCAAAATCTATGCATTTCCTTGCTTGTAGGCCTCTATTTTCTCGGAAGTAAGTTCTTTTCATACCGAAACGGACCAAACCAAAGGCCTTGTAATGCAATACATACCGTACCGTGGTAAGAGCATACCGTTTCACCATTAACATGAAATATAAGTGTTTGTTGCCTCATACTAAACAGGTGTTACTGCGACCATGTCTTAGTTTGACACACTAAGTAGAACATCTGGGCCTAGAACAACACTTGGCCCCTATGTGCGGAGGGTCCTCAACATTCACGTGGAACTTGACATTTTCACACGAAAAGCTCAAATGAAACAAATATTAATACACTGAACAGAACAAGTCAGGAATCATGAAACCTTTTTTGGAGATTAATATGAAATTGTGTGCCCAGTCTTCACTGCAAAAAGTTATCCCCACAAATATTCATGATCCATGACTATAGCCCAAAGTACAGAATACATCAAACTGATGCTATTGATTTTGTTTGACGGTTGAAATCTGAAGTAAAACCAGTTAAAAAGTTAAGTTAAGTTACTTTGAATACACAGTGCCATTTAGAAAGTGGTCAAATGTAACCCCTGTAAGTGTAATATTTGTGATTACACTTTCTCAGTAACATACAGATTCTAGTATTTTTGTTGGGTTGAGTCCCATTCTCAGAGTCAGGATCCTAATCGCCAGCTGAGTGGGTTCGAAGGCTGAGTTTGTGTGCTGGTGCCTAACTCTGAGAATGTGGGGTTGAATCCCAAGTGGTACTCAACTACAAAAAGAGTACTAGAGTCAGTACATTACTGAGAAAGTGTCATCCCAAATATACCATGTGTTAGAGTTATTTACATTATATCGAGAGGCAGGGTAAATCTGGCAAGTGAAAAACTTGCTCCTGTTTGTTGTTTAAACTCAAGTTGTCAGTGACCAATGAATCTACAACTGATGTGTAGCCAGGGGTGGAAATAACCCATTGCCCGACGTCCCAGTCCAGTGGGTTTTTCCTGCCGGGCAAGCAATTTTGTATATCACGCTGTACCAGTGTCCAGTTGACTTCCCAGTGTTAATTATGTTGCTTTTTTAAAAAATCAACAAGAAAATCGGGTCGGTATAGTGGAAAAATTACCAGGGCAAGTGATTTTACATGTGCCACTGTACCAGAGTACACTAACAATTTTAAAGTTATTTCCACCCCTGGTAGCACATACTAAATATGCAACTTAAGCATGTCCCATTGTCGTTGTTCTTCAATTCTACAATACATTTGTAAATAATTACATAAATAAAATCTATGTGCACCATTAATGCCAACAAACACAAGTACACCAAGGAACGTATGGGATTAGCTGAATACTATACCTGGTTACTGTTCAGCTCTTTCAGCCCTGTACACTCAGTTACTTATGTAAACAATCTATAATTGAGGTACAAAGATTTGTTTTAGAAACATACATTTGAGTGACAAATATCTCTTCCTGTCATTGGGCACCAGTATGGTCCTTTGTGTCAGTCAGCTGTCGAGACTGGTACGTCAAACATGATTATGCCATAATATCCATACCTAGACAATTAGCAACAAATAATAAATATATTGATCAATCTGCCACCAAAAGGGTTTGGAGAGGGCAAGAAAGCTCTCCACCCCTCCAATGCCATCCAATGCCCTACCCTTGCCAATCACAACCCACCCCAACTTATGCCCCATTGCCAAACACTATCCACCTCTCCCATGCCCCACCCCTCTAGTGCTCCACCCTTGCTCTCCTCCATCCACCCCTGCCCATCTTTCATGCTCCACCAACCCTTCCTATACCCCACTCCAGCCCACCCCACCCCACCTCTTCTAGGCCAGCTGCCCACCTCATCCTACCCTTGTCTACTTCTACTGATCCCCTACTGGCCTCCCCTTCCTATACCCCCCACCCCACCCCATCCCACCTCTTCTAGGCCAGCTGCCCACCTCATCCTTCCCTTTGTCTACTTCTACTGACCCCTACTGGCCTCCCCTTCCTATACCCCACCCCACCCAACCCCACCTCTTCTAGGCCCGCTGCCCACCTCATCCCACCCTTGTCGACTTCTACTGACCCCTACTGGCCTCCCCTTCCACCAGGCCCCACTCCCCACCTCTTCTAGGCCAGCTGCCCACTTCATCCTACCCTTTGTCTACTTCTACTGACCCCCTACTGGCCTCCCCTCCACGCCCACCTCTTCTAGGCCCGGCTGCCCACCTCATCCTACCCTTTGTCGACTTTTACTGACCCCTACTGGCCTTCCCTTCCACACCCAGCCCCACCCCACCTCTTCTCTTCTAGGCCAGCTGCCCACTTCATCCTACCCTTGTCTACTTCTACTGACCCCTTCTGGCCTCCCTCCACGCCCCACCTCTTCTAGGCCCGCTGCCCACCTCATCCTACCCTTTGTCGACTTTTACTGACCCCTACTGGCCTTCCCTTCCACACCCAGCCCCACCCCACCTCTTCTAGGCCAGCTGCCCACTTCATCCTACCCTTGTCTACTTCTACTGACCCCCTTTTGGCCTCCCCCTCCACGCCCCACCCCACCCCTTCTAGGCCCAGCTGCCCACCTCATCCTACCCTTGTCTACTTCTACTGACCCCTACTGGCCTCCCCTTCCTATACCCCACCCCACCCCATCCCACCTCTTCTAGGCCAGCTGCCCACTTCATCCTACCCTTGTCTACTTCTACTGACCCCCTTCTGGCCTCCCCTTCCACGCCCAGGCCCCACCCCACCTCACTTCAACAAAGTCTTCTCCTACAACTGAAAACTCTTTCAATAGGTTCCATGCTTCCACACAATATTCTTACATGAGCAGAATATGAACCCAAATAATTATTTTTGATATACGTGTAAAGAGAATCAATAAAATCAATTAATGCACCCATAAAGTCGATCCATCTGAGTAGTCCTCCACAGGTATACTTCCTCTTGCAGTAACAATTCCCTAGCCGGGATAATAATATGTATAACACATGAGACTTGGGTTGAACCGAAGGTGAGATTATGTGCTTTATACACATTTTAAAACAATTCATAACTCCCCTAGAAACAAATATGGTAAACAAAAACATAACAATCGTGTACACACTACACCATGTGTGACAAGCACCTCACTGGTCTAAATTATATCAATTACCTGCTATTAATGGATGACACAATAATCTACAAGGGAAACAATAAATGGATATATATTGTATATTCTGTAACGATCTATGATCACCTTGAGACTGTTCATTTATTTAAAACTCTTTATTGTTAGTATGAGCAGGAGCAGTTAAACTGTGCCATGCAGTCACGCTATCTCACACTGAGACAAGCAGATAGCAAGCCACTCAATCTTAATAAAACAAAGGAACAAGATGTCCTGACGACTGAACCATTGTATCTGCATAATCCACAGCAGCAGACGTGGGAGGTGGGTGAGTCCATGTTGCACATACATACAGCATGAACTCCCTGTGCACTTTCCTTGTCCCCTGGGCATTGGAAATGGATTATTCTGTTCTGTAGGAATGCCTACTGCCCCAAGGTGTTCTCAAACACTCTTACATGCATGTAACGCTCTCATATCAATACATGCTTCATAGGAAACAAACAAAACAAGTCCTGATGGTGGCTTAGGCCAGTGACTGACTCTTGTGACGAGACATGCAGTGTTACAATGACCAGACATACTGATAATCAGTCTAGAGAAAACACTGGAGTTCCTGATTCAGAAGCTGGCTGAGCAACCAGTCCAACATTGGTCTCCATGGCAACAGCTGGGATGTGTTTGGGTGAGGCAGGTTTTTTTTACTTTGGAAAAACATCAGACAATGTTTCTTTTCAAGGAATCAGAGAAGGAGAAATGCATATTATAGGATATGTTTTTAAAATTTCTGTTACACTTCTGTGTAGTGATGACCTTATCTTTATTACTGGATGGAGGCAGCATAATGCTTTTGTTTTCGGAGAATGGAAATAATGGATTCCGCTTTCATGGTCCCTGAATACATCAGCCAGGAAATGTAACTGATTTGTCAACACAACCATACGTTATTGGATATTGTTACATTGCGATTAACTATGACTGAACAGAAATTTATGAAATATTGATTACCCGGTAGCTTTTGGATCATGAACAATGAAACTGCATACAACCCTTCTGATAAATTGCTACAAAAAGTTGACATATTTGTGGACAACAGGATACAGTTAAAGTGTAAATTAAGTCAACTTGTATTCACTCATTCGCTTCATGAAATGAACGAACTGTTTTACAAACTAACATCAAGCAAAAGTTTTAAAACATTGACTGAAACTTATTATGCACCAAACTGACTTACAACAACATGATGTTTTAAGAGATGAGAGACTGAGGCATGGCAAGAGAGAGGCTGATGGTCAACTGGCTGAAACACAACACACTGCTGAGTGCAGATGACTTAAACATGGCAACCCTGGCTATAATGGCACTGGTCCCATCTCTTTAGACAGCTGTGAAGGAGATCGTTGAAACACCCCACCCCTTTACCAGACCACAGTAAAGGAGATCGTTGAAACACCCCACCCCTTTACCCGACCACAGTTAAGGAGATCGTTGAAACACCCCACCCCTTTACCAGACCACAGTAAAATGAAACACCCCATGACCACAGTTAAGGAGATCACCCCTTTAGAGACCACAGTAAAGGAGATCGTTGAAACACCCCACCCCTTTACCAGACCACAGTAAAGGAGATTCTTTACCATACCACAGTAAAGGAGATCGTTGAAACTGACTTACAATAACATGATGTTTCAAGAGATGAGATCGTGTTCTACATTCAATACCAAGTTTTTGTGTAATCATAGAACAGTGGAGTATACAGAACACTAAACTGAAGAGTGAGTCACTTGTTTTACCCACATTGTTCCAGCCACAAAACATCAGGACATCAGACAAAGTCTCATACGCCTATGTGCAGAATCTAACACCAGTCATCGCATGACAAGTCAGCACTTTACCAATGACGCTGTCTCTGATAGCTATAGATGTCAGAACTCAATATGGTATAAAGTCTCTGCTCAAACAAATGATTCATCTTCTTACAGCCCTTGTGTTCTGAATGTGTTACTTCTGAGTACTGGGGAACTCAGGTTGAAGTACATAAACCTGTAGTAAATAAATCTTGTATATCTGGTGATTCACTCGGATGTCTTTCAATGTTTATGAACAAAAAAATATGTCAAATGTTTCTCAATAAATACCTGTACATTTAGTAAATGTGATATGCAGCTTTACGTAGGTAACATAGATATTATTAATCTGCACAGACTTTAAATCTCTCACACAAATGACGATTATATTGGCGCATCCAAGTCACAAACACACTAGCACTCCTATCACAAACAAATAGACCAGCTCTGTTGTCTTTCTCAGACCATTCCATTCCAGCCAAAGGGATGGCCATGTCACACATTGCCATGGCAACCAATTGTTCCAATCACTCCAGTTCTATAATGACATCTTCTTCATTGACTGTGTCCCCTGCCTTGAAGTGGACCTTCTTCACCTGAGCAATGAACAGAAACAGCTACAGTCAAAGCAAAAGGACAAAGTGTAAAGGTCAAATCAAGGTTGAAATGTTGTCTGTGAGAAAGCAGATGATCGGTCTGTCAGCTGGTTCTGCTTTCAGCTCCAATTCATGGTTTTCAAAAAACCCAACATGAACTACTCTTGATGCATTGTTAGATCTAGCTTTATACAACATTCAAAAGATTTACAATTATAATTAACTCAAAGCTGTAAAATAATGTTACTTTATGCTAAACAGTATAAACCGAAGAGTTCCTGGATAAATACTGACTTGAGAATCAATGTACAGAGTTGTCTCACCTTTGCAACCTTGGCAGCTACAAGACTGTTCTGCATCTTCATGGCCTCCAACACGCACACTTCCTGTCCCTCTGCCACCTGGGAAATATTCAATGGTTACATGGAAACCTGTATTGTACTGGTGGTATAAGTGTTTACGTACTGGTATGTACTTCGGCTTCAGATCATTCCGTAACAAAATTTGGTAGATCTGCATGGTCTTCATTACTGATAGGCTATATGTCATACAGTGTTTTTAAAATCTAGGCATGAATCTCTTCCTTTTTGACAAAGCTGCAACTATGCCGTTTAACTAAAAAAAAATTAAATAAGGACTACTGATCAGAAGTAAAACCCAATGGAGATCCTGAGCAGGCCACCATATTGTTTTCCTGTTTACATACCAATGGTCATCATCAGATCAATTTCTTTTATTTTTGAATTCTGAATATCCTACCCAAGATGCAATTTGGCACATTGAATCCTTGCGCTTCAAAGCAAAACATATTAGCACCTCTACACAAGGATATATTTTCTGAGCAAGTTCTTACCATGTCTCCATCTTGAACGGACACCGACTTGAGTACACCAGGCATGGGCGCCAAGATGACGGAACTTATGTCTACCTCCTTCTTCTCAGGCATCAGTTTGGTCAGATCAGACGCCAGGTCGTCGAGGACCGTGACAGGGAACTGTGGAAATATAATTTCAGTGGAACTATGCTTAATACCACCAAATAAGACCTCTTGCTTCAATATTATACTTCTCTGCATGAAAGTCTTTCTACACAGGGTTTCATCTACATGAGTGAGTTTAGTTTTACGCCGCTTTTAGCAATATTCCAGCAATATCACGGCTGGGGATACCAGAAATGGGCTTCACACATTGTACCCATGTGGGAATTGAACTCAGGTCTTCGGTGTGACGAGCTAACACTTTAACCACTAGGCTACCCCACATCTACATGAAAGACGCATGGATTTTTGTAGCCAATTAGAGGCCATCTTTCTTAAATGATTTGACCGAACCACATTTATAGGATATTTTTACAAAGGTAAACCCACAAAGAACACAAACAGTACTCCATTTTGGGTATGGATGCCATGATGCACAGAAATGACAGGGTGTAAAACAAACCCACAACGTCCTGAAAGCCCTAATTCTTTACATTCTGGACAGGACATGAACATGTGGACTCCTATTGTACTGAGAGTACTCAATTTCTGATAATGATTATGTATAATCAGCAAGATTTAACTTTACTTTCCAGTTGAAATTGGGGCGTTTGCTCATCAAGTTTAAAACCCCACAAGCTTTGATTCCCCACAAGGGTACAATGGTGTCTCCCACTGTGCTGGAAAATTGTTAAAAACAGCATAAAAGCATACTCACTCACTCACCACAAAGGACACAAATGGTTTAAAGTAGGGAAATGGCTCATCAAATTAACAGTGATGCATTAAAGTATGATTAACAGGGGGTTAACTACAAAACAGTTGCCCTACTCACCACGGTCCCATAGAATCTCAGCTTGTAGTTCCCGGCACCATCTCGGTGGGTCAACTGTGGAGGCATAATGTTCTAAGTTACATAATGTTCTAAGTTACACAATGTTCTAAGTTACATAATGTTCTAAGTTACACAATGTTCTAAGTTACACAATGTTCTAAGTTACATAATTTTCTAAGTTACACAATGTTCTAAATACATAATCTTCTAATGTTCTAAGTCACATAATGTTCTAAATACATAATGTTCTAAATACACAATGTTCTAAGTTACACAATGTTCTAAGTTACATAATGTTCTAAGTTACATAATGATCTAAGTTAGATAATGTTCTAAATTACATGAGCGAGATATTATCCAAGAACAAACACAGCTGAAGAGGACAAGGTAAATTTTTATGGATGCATCTCAATTCATATACTTGGCAAAATATGTTATGTCCATGGTATTCTTCCTTTGTTTTCATACTGAATAACATCGCTTATACAAGGGTTTTCTGTGCCTGTAAAAGGATGTATCTTCAAGTTCTCACAAGCACCGGCTTGTACCCTGTAATGCACCACATGGTGATTAAAGGTCTAAGTACACATCTGTTGAAGTTGTCAAGTCATCCAAACCTGTATGATGGCACCAACCTGAATGATCCTCTCCTCCCCGTTGATGGTCGTCTCGATGAGGGGGGAGGAGAAGGAGATGTTGCCAGAGACAGTCAATGTTTGGTCCCCGGTCTCCACGGTGAAGCTGCCATCTTCTTTCTGGCACACGCTGGTCGGGTACAATGTACCGCCAAGCTGAACATTGACATGCCATTTTTGAACTGTTTGCTTTACATTTGGGATCCTGAGGAAAAAACATGAGTTGTTTATGTACACTGCTAACACAAGAAGGATTTTACCTGACAGAACACATCTGGTCCTTTATGCTAAACATATTGGATGCAGAGTCTAAAGAGGCAACAGAAGACTATGAATCCGTTAACCTAATTCCACTGTAGCATGCATGATTAACATGAAGGACTATGTCTCTGGGTACATATGGCAGTCATTGACTGCTAAGTGAAAATCTAATTGTGGTTGATATTGTGAGCAACAATCTTTGTTAGTGAGTGAGTTTAGTTTTATGCCACTTTTAGCAATATTCCAGCAATATCACTGCAGGGGACACCAAAAAATGGGCTTCAAACCTTGTACCAATGTGGGTAATCGAGCCCAGGTCTTTAACCGCTAGGCTACCCCACTGCCCATTTGTATGATGACATGCCATTGACAAAGCTTGATCACCAGAATCATTTTGTAGCACTGGTTGTATACCCAGAGTCTCATGGTTTCATCAATCACTTAGTGGTTTCAACCACAGAATCTGTGTATGAAAGCATGCTCAGTGTCATAGCATGATTACATTCTTTGAAACACGCCACAAGTTTTCAGCTCCAAGATGTCTTGGTCGGTGAGACTTGGGACATGCTACTTGAATACCTAGGATCCTAAATGTTATTGTACATTCATAAATTCACAAATATTTGTTTTAAGCACCATGGAATATTTCCTATGTAACACTGACATTAAACCCACCTTGTCTGGTTCTTAAAGTTGCAGGTACGAATTTTATCTTTAGCATAAACAACTGCTGCCAAGGCTACAAGCTCATTCCTTTCTCCAGAGCTCAGCTGTTTTCCTGTAAAATGGAGAGTTAACATATTACATATAACTTATTGCATAACATTCATCAAGTTCTAACTGTGCTGGAAAAGGTATACCCCATGGAGAATGGAGAATGGAACTTATGGAGAATGAATAATGCAGTTAGTATTCTATACTTTACAGATACAGTAAATCCCCTCGTACCTGACAACAAGAGTTACATCCCTTGAAACCTGACAGCAAGAGTTACATCCCTTGGTACCTGGCATTTAAAGTTATATAGCTTCGTAACTGACATAACTGACATCAAGAGTTACATCCCTTGGTAACTGACATCAAGAGTTATAAATATACCTTGGCAACTGACATTAAAAGTTATATACCTTGGCAACTGACATTAAAAGCTATGTACCTTGGCAACTGACATTAATAGTTACGCCTCTTGGTGACATCAAGAGTTAAATACCTTGGGATTTGCCCTTATGCAGACATATACCTGGACTAAACACAATTTTCCAGATACTCACCTTGGAATCCATCAGGGTACACGTGGGGTAGGTAGTTGGTGCTGATGTCCCCCTTGACAAATCTGCCCTCCGTCAAGATGTCGCGCAGCAGGGGGATGTTGTGAGTCACACCTGCACAGATACGATCGTTAGTCACCTCACCCCAATCAAATCAACTGTACTTGTATCATGCCTCTCAACTCTGCTTCATAACAGAGTTAGAATCCTATTCATAACTGTCGGTCCTAACTGTCATAAAGTCCACATATTTCACTCTTTCTTAGTATTCACAACACGCAGCAAAGTGTAACGTGTTATTCCACATACTTCTCAGAGGTGGAAATACCGGTAACTTTAAAATTGCTAGTGTACTCCAGTACAGTGGCACATGTAAAATCACGTGCCCTGATAATGTTTCCATTATACCGGATGATTTTCTTGTTGATTTTTTAAATAAGCAACATGATGAACATTGGAAAGTCAACTGGACACCGGTACAGCATGATATACAAATTTGCTTGCCCGACAGAAAAAACCACTGGACTGGGACGTCGGGCAATGGGTTATTTCCACCCCTGCTTTCTGCACATAGAATTCAATAACTATACATATCAAAATGACATAGGAATGGACAAAGTATCATTTGCAAAATGGTTGCTGTGGTTGCTTACAACTCAAATATATCCACAGTCTTTGTGACAAACTGATACCTTCCATGTGTCCAGAAACCAGGGTCATTTATACCTTTTATCACATAAGAATCCAGAGCTTTTATCATTGATCTGAGTGCGTCATTTCTGGTAGGTCCGTAGGTCACCAGCTGGTTAGAAAACAACATAAATATGACTATTCACTGTTTTATTCAAGTGTTTTATCCTGCAGACCACTTTATTCATAATTATAATGAAAACACCATTGCAAACCTGCCTAAATTTAGCTACATAAAATTGCCAAATATTGGTGAAAATGCAACCTAATATGCATTAATATCAAGCCCTGCTGTCTTAAATGGGTCCAACTGCTTTGGGAATATGTGAATTATCTTGCTCCTTGAAAACTAATGTTTCAACCTACAGCTGACTAAACTCTGGGCCAATAATCTGCAATTCCTCACGCCATGGAAGATATCCTCATATTGTGCACTGGCAGGGTTGAAAACATAATTTATTACAGTCATTCCTTGCAATAACGCACTTTGTGATACCCTGGTTTCGGTTAAACCGCAGGGTAATACGTGGCTCTCATGAAAAAAAGTTCACAAGCGATTACACATTTTGTCATGAATGCAATTGTTAACCTGCTTTCTTACCTTACAGATCATTGGGTCGTAGTAGATGCTGATGTCACTCCCCTCCATCACACCACTGTCACAGCGAACCTACACAACACGCATAGTACAATCTGGACATTACCGTCTATTGGTTTGGAGCCAGCTTTTATTGAAAATCGAAACTAAAAATCTTTTCATGGGCGCATAATTTATTTACAATTATTTTGTGATTACTCAAAGTTTTGAGACAATTATCAATACTTTTTGTTTGTTTATTTGTTGTTTTATTCCGCACTCAGCAATATCCCACCTATGTGACAGTGGTCTGTAAATCTGGGTGAGGTGAGGTGAGGTCAGGTGAGGTGAGGTGAGGTGAGGTGAGGTGAGGTGAGGTGAAATTGGGTTTATCGTCGTGCTTGAGAATATTTCGCTCATATGACGACGTGCATGTGTGTGTATGTGTGGCTTCTTGTACTAGCCCAGACTGAAGTTGGTTTTATAGTGCTAGCCCACTGAGATACCATGCCGCAGTGAAGCATGAATACCCCACTCAGACACAGTATACTGACTCCGAGCCGACCAGTCCTTGTTGTACCCATTAATGCTGAGCGCCAGGCAGGGACCAACAAGTACCATATTTTAACGTCTTTTGGTATGACGAGGTCGGGGATCGAACCCGCAACCTTCCGCTCTCTGGGCGGACGCACTAACCACTACACCACGGAGGCGGATGGACCAGACAATCCAGTGATCAATATCATGAGCATCGATCTACAATTGGGATATGATGACATGTGTGAACCATGTGAGCGAGCCTGACCACCCGATCCCATAAGTCGCCTCTTACAACAAGTATGGGTTGCTGAGGACCAATTCTAACCCTGTTCTTCACGAGTTGTTGAAAAAACAGCTAAACAAGACGACATAACAGACTTCATTTCTCCACTTTTAAAACCTGGATCTTCATGAGTCAATGACATGTAAACACTTAAGTCTGGTTCAGATGGCTGAAAACATGAACAATAAGAATTCAACCAGCCAGGTCACACAGCTCCACCACATAATCTCTGTTACACTCCATGTGACAGACAGGACTTACCTGGGGAATGTGTAGAGGTTCCACGTATTTGGACAATCGACCGATAGATGGCATTCCAAAATTTTAAAAGGATCCTGAAATAAGGAGAATCTAAATTAAACGTGACCAAGGGCTACTTAGATGAGAAAATGTAACTGTGAAAAACATTGTGTTTTACACAGAATTTGAAAAACATCCTATGTTCTGAGATTTCAGGTGTAGACTAGAACTGGATCAGTCGTTATTTCATTTGCTGGTTTCTTTGGTTCATTGTTGACCAAATTCAGCAGTATTACAGCCCTATCACGCTGGCCATCATATCCAGTCAATGATATCACAAAGTACACCACATGAACGATAACACTGAAACAACCACTTCACGAGTCTGACCTACCTCTGAAAACAAAATGCTTATAATGAACTGACAAAGTCTGACCTACCTCTGCATACACTCTACATTCAAAGGACCAGCCATCTACAGGAATATCAGCCTGTGTGTGGTTCAGTTTATGACCTGGAAACAAAATGCTTATAATGAACTGACAAAGATATAACAAACTGTTTTTCTTGATCTCCGTCAGCTCCTGTGTACTTTAGTCAAAGCGTGTATAACAAAGCTCTGTTTAACGAATGAAAATTAGCGGTCAAGGATATAGGATACGGGAAACAGGATACGGAATGCAGGATACGGGAAACAGGATACGGAATGCAGGATACAGGATACAGGAGACACTAGTTACTAAAGATCTCTGCAATTTACATCCTGCATGAGTGTCACTTGGGTTTACAACACTTTCAAAAAGGAGGACACAGTTTCAGCTCTCAGATGAGATGAGAGTTACCTACCCTTTGCGACCCTCATCATCTGATGTACAATGTCAATGCCAGTGATGCATTCAGTGATTGGATGTTCCACTTGGAGCCGAGTGTTCATCTCAAGGAAATAGAAGTTCCGTGCAGAATCAACCAAGAACTCAACAGTCCCTGGACAATGAAAAACACTCATGTCAACATGTTGCAATAGTAAAATTTGGAAAGGACCTATACATATGTTGATTTTAAAAATGAATCTTAAAAAAAATATGAAAATGCAGATAACTTTCTAACATACAGTGAGTGAGTGAGTATGGCTTTATGCTGCTTTTAGCGATATTCTAGCAATATCATGGTGGGGAACACCAGAAATTGGCTTTACACATTGTACCCATGTTGGTAACCAGACAAGGATCTTCAGTGTGACAAGTGAACGCTTTAATCACTAGGCTACCCCACCGCCCCTCAAACATACCGTAACACTCAGGGGTATATTATAGGTTTCTGATTATATTGATGATGTTGATCAATATTGTGAATTAAGTTAAGATTTTAAGCCATATCGACAGTATTCCAGCTATATCATGAACAGTCCACTCCAGTGTCATGTGATGACACGCCATCAACCATGTGATTATGCATACTATGCATACTATGATACTGAAACACCAAATCGAGGGGCTATTTGGATAATCTTAAGTCATAAATAAGTTTATTGCATGTGCATATCCTCAAGTGCAAAGTGGTCAGAAAAAAGGTCATCAGTGACTCAAAAAAAAAATGCCAACACACACTGACAGAAAACATTTTTAAAGGAAGATAATTCAGTTGTGATACACTGGGCATACCACTAAAAATGTTTCCCTACACATGGAGACACAGAAATCGAGTGGAGAAAACTCACCTGCTGATGTATAGCCAACTTGTTTTGCCAGAGCTACAGCCTGTTCTCCCATAGCTTTCCTCATGGCTGAATCTAGAAATGTGCTTCAATGGAAAGAGAGTCGCAGTCATAAACATAACTCACAGAATATTTTGCAGAAATGCCAGCTTGGTGTAGAAATCTACCTATCTTGCAGAAAATCACTTTTGGTACAGAACTTGTGCACAATTTAGATTTGGCAGTCACTGAATTGATCTAGTACAACACTCCATTTTGCTCTTTATTGAAGGGTTTCTCATGGATGTCAGCAGTCTACCTGACAATATACTGGATTAAGCCAAGATAAGAATCTCTCACTTTAATAATTCAAGTATTGGACATTGGTACTTTTATCATTAAATTCATGCTCAACAGTATGTACAACAGTCCCTGTAATTCATTCACATTCAGACTGGCAATGGTCCAATTGATGCCAGTCTGTAGTATTCAAGGGTATTGTAAAGTACAAAAGGGATTAAGATATATAACAGCTGGTATAAACACTTTGTCCAAAATATGAGATTACCTACCTTGGGGCTTCCTCTATAACTTTCTGGTTCCTTCTCTGGATTGAGCACTCTCTTTCATTTAACCACAGAGCGTTTCCATGACGATCACACAACACCTGTTAACGAGGAACATGAAGATAATCAGGAAATTAAACTGAGAGTGAGCGAGTGAGGGGAGGTGAAAGTTGGTTTAACGTTGTGCTTGAGAATATTTCGCTCATATGACGACGTGCATGCGTGTGTATGGGTATGTGCGGCTGCTTGTACTAGCCCAGACTGAAGCTGGTTTTATAGTGCTAGCCAACTGAGATACCACGCCGCAGTGAAGCATGAATACCCCACTCAGACACATTATACTGACTCCGAGCCGACCAGTCCTTGTACCCATTAATGCCGAGCGCCAGGCAGGGACCAACAAATACCATATTTTAACGTCTTTTGGTATGACGCGGTCAGGGACCTTCTGCTCGCCGGGCGGACGCTCTAACCACTACACCACGGAGGCAGTCAGCGAGCGAGTGATGATCTGGGGCAAAACTGGTGCAGATATCAGGTGAAGATTTGTTTGTTTGTTGTTTAACGCCACACTCAGCAATATTTGATCTACAGGGCAGCAGTCTGTAAATAATCGAGTCTTGATCACACAATCTAGTGATCAACAGCACGAGCATCAGTCTATGCAATTGGGATACGATGACATGTGACCACCAGATCCCCTTATTCGCCTTGACAAGCACTGGTTGCTCCAGATCAATTCTAACCTAGGATCCACACATGGGGAGGTGATGTGAGGTTACATGGGGGACTCTGCTGTATAAGCTTAAACCATGGCAGAGTGTTACCTCAGTAAGATGCTATATGAAGTATTACAACAATTTAATAACAAACTGATCAGATGTATCACCTGCACTTCGATATGTCTTGGATTGTCAATGAACTTCTCGATAAGCATCCTGTCATCACCGAAGCTAGACTGAGCTTCCTGTGTAGATAACCGGAATGCTTGTCTGGGAAAGGAAACAAGAATGTGAAGAAAGGAAGGGGCATGTTATTACATGAAAAAACGTAGTTTTCAAAAGTTAACAAAGAAATCTGAAAGACCTTTGTGTAGTGTTCCTAAGTTGTTCAGAAGGGCATGTGTACTGAGTGCTTCCAAACTGAGTGAGTGAGCAAATATCTTACAAGTGACCTGAGTGAGGTCTCTTGAAATATGCATACATACCCTTCATGTACCAGTCCACCCACCTTCCAGGTCTCTTCATTCATTCCTCATATCCTCCCTACCCCACCCACCCACCTTCCAGGTCTCTTCATTCCATGCCACCCTCATATCCTCCCCCCTACCCCACCCACCTTCCAGGTCTCTCTTCATTCCATGCCACCTCATATCCTCCCTACCCCACCCACCTTCCAGGTCTCTTCTCCTGTATTCTCCTCCTGGCCATTCCTCATATCCTCCCCTCCCCTACCCCACCCACCTTCCAGGTCTCTTCATTCCATGCCACCCTCATATCCTCCCTACCCCACCCACCTTCCAGGTCTCTTCATCATTCCTCATATCCTCCCCTACTCCCTACCCCACCCACCTACCTGGTCTCTTCATCATTCCTCATATCCTCCCCTACTCCTACCCCACCCACCTTCCAAGGTCTCTTCATCATTCCTCATATCCTCCTCTACTCCCTACCCCACCAACCTACCTGGTCTCTTCATCATTCCTCATATCCTCCCCTACTCCCTGCCCCCCTACTCCCTGCCCCACCCACCTACCTGGTCTCTTCATCATTCCATGCCACCCTCATATCCTCCCTACCCCTGCCCCACCCACCTTCCAGGTCTCTTCATCATTCCTCATATCCTCCCCTGCCCCACCCACCTACCTGGACTCTTCATCATTCCATGCCACCCTCATATCCTCCTCCCCTACCCCACCCACCTTCCAGGTCTCTTCATTCCATGCCACCCTCATGTCTTCCCCTACCCCACCCACCTTCCAGGTCTCTTCATCATTCCTCATATCCTCCCCTACTCCCTACCCCACCCACCTACCTGGTCTCTTCATCATTCCTCTTATCCTCCCCTACTCCCTACCCCACCCACCTTCAAGGTCTCTTCATCATTCCTCATATCCTCCCCTACTCCCTACCCCACCTACCTTCAAGGTCTCTTCATCATTCCTCATATCCTCCCCTACTCCCTACCCCACCCACCTTCCAGGTCTCTTCATCATTCCTCATATCCTCCCCTACTCCCTACCCCACCAACCTACCTGGTCTCTTCATCATTCCTCATATCCTCCCCTACTCACTACCCCATTCCCCACCTACCTGGTCTCTTCATCATTCCTCATATCCTCCCCCTACTCCCTGCCCCACCCACCTACCTGGTCTCTTCATCATTCCATGCCAGCCTCATATCCTCCCTACTCCTGCCCCACCCACCTACCTGGTCTCTTCATCATTCCATGCCACCCTCATATCCTCCCCTACTCCCTGCCCCACCCACCACCTGGGTCTCCTACCTGGTCTCTTCCCATCATTCCATGCCACCCTCATCTTCATCATTCCTGCCACCCTCATGCCCTCTCTCCCCCCTGCCACCCACCCACCTACCTGGTCTCTTCATCATTCCATGCCACCCTCATGCCCTCCCCTACCCCACCCACCTACCTGGTCTCTTCATCATTCCATGCCACCCTCATGCCCTCCCCTACCCCACCCACCTACCTGGTCTCTTCATCATTCCATGCCACCCTCATGCCCTCCCCTACTCCCTACCCCACCCACCTACCTACCTGGTCTCTTCATCATTCCATGCCACCCTCATGCCCTCCCCTACCCCACCCACCTACCTGGTCTCTTCATCATTCCATGCCACCCTCATGCCCTCCCCTACTCCACCCACCTACCTGGTCTCTTCATCATTCCATGCCACCCTCATGCCCTCCCCTGCCCCACCCACCTACCTGGTCTCTTCATCATTCCATGCCACCCTCATGCCCTTGCCGCCACCACCGGCTGATGCCTTTATCATCACTGGATAGCCTGTAAAATAACAGTAAATAGTATGTAGTCAATAATTTCTTTCTTGTCTTAATAACACTTGACATGATAGTATGATCAATGAATCAGTGTGTATTTAAAATACATTCTCATCTCCCTGGGAAGTATACAACCCATGCTGTCATATAACCATCTCATTCCATCAGAGGCCCATCTTTGCTCGGCATTTCAAGCAAAGCCGTGCCGATGTTGACATGAAATGCTGCATTTCAGTGTTTCCGTGTTGGGCAACACTGAAGTCATACAATCCCCTCATTCACTCATTACCAAGGCATTCTATGATCACAACTTCTGGACATAATATGCACCGCCACACTCCACCATGACTACAATGACACTTGATAGAATTATGTTATGACACAACCATATTACTTATACATCTCCTCAAAACACTAACACACAATGAAGACATCTGTATAGTACTGTAGCTCACCTGGATTTACACAAACAAACTTAAATGTCAGAGAAGATAGAAACTTAACAAAAGTTACTGTAAGTACTGATAATGAATATTTTCCTAATTAATAATGAGGACCTTAAATAAAATCAAAATCCTAATGATCTAAACAAATTATTATGTTACAATTAGAAACATATTTTCCAGTGTTGAGCATAGTTTTCACTAGGGGTGTCACGATTCACTCTCACTTCGATTCGATACGATTATCGTTATAATTCGTTCAATTTGACAAAGTCAAATTTGTTGTAATATCAGTTTAATTTGGCAAAGTTTGGAAAATTGGCACAATGCACAATTAGAACACTGTTGTGAACAAATACTCACTGAACACATAACATTAAGTTTCAGTCACAAACTCTGGTGTCAAGTGTTCATTGTGACTGTAATGTCACTGCAAGTGGAATGATCATGTTCTGTGCAAGGAATTTTCACTTGAAAGACATGCCCTCTGGGCACTTACAATGTCTCTGGCAGTGGAGAATACCCTCTCACTGTCCACACTTGTAGCAGCGAATTTTCAACATAATTTCTTACGATTTCAGGTGAAATAAACTCTCAATATTAGAAAGTAAGTGATACTTTATGAATCGAATCGAAATGGATGCATTTGAAATCAAGTCGAATCGTACATCTATCGATTCGATTTTCGATGAACCGAACCGAATCGTGTCACCCCTAGTTTTCACAAACATCGGATTGAAACCCATAGCATGTCCTCATTGGTAAAAAAGGAACATGTGAAAAATCTGCAAAACTTTTGACCTAACAAACATGCCACACAACTTCGAGTCAGGTGGCATAAAAATCTTTTCCATAATGAGAAACATCACAAAAAATATTCACATCTTTCATAATGAAATCCTAAACTCACCTATTTCATTGGCAAGAGTGACGCAGTGATCAGCATCCTTCACCACACCATCGTGACCAGGAATCATGTTGACACCAGCCTTCGCTGCGATGCGTTTACTTTCAATCTTATCACCCATTGCATGAATAGCTTCACTGTTTGGCCCGACAAACTCAACACCGATGTCAGCCTACAATATATCATGGCTGTTAGTAACAGTACCGATCTCATTCTAAAACATAACATGATTGTCAGTAACAGAACTGATCTCAAATAAAAACATACTATGACTGTTAGTGAGTGAGTTAATTCTAACGTGGCATCGACATTGTTTCAGCCATGTAGCGACAAGACCAAGTTTACACATATACACAAATGATTGTTGGTAACCGTACCTATCTCAATCTAAAACATGACATGACTGTCCATATTACCGATGCACAGAGGAATCAATACTGACGTTTTCACATTCCACAAGGTTTTTATCAGCTAATAAAATCTGGACCAGCATTAGCCAGATTCAGCTTTCAGACCAAAACAAGTTTGAAATTTGGAACTTCTCTCCGGTGATTGTTTGACATACAAATACCAGTACAGTATGTTTTAAAACATGACACTGACTTAATCTCAATTTTCAGCTAGATCACTTCACTTTCAAAAGATGTCAATGATATACAACATTTAGAGCGAGTGAGTGCATTTAATTTAAGCCGCTTTTAGCAATATTCCAGCAATATCATGGCAGGGGTCTTAAGAAATGGGCTTCACATATTGTACCCATGTGGGGAATCGAATCTGGACCTTTGGCGCGACGAGCGAAAGTTGTAACCACTAGGCTACCCCAACGTAATTTTTTTTTAGAAAAACACACTAAACCAACATACATCCATACGCAAGTTTCAAGAATATGCTTATCACACACCAGTTTGGCTGCAAACACAGTATTTTCAGACAAGAACCCATATCCTGGATGAACCTGGAAGGAAAATGATAATGTTACAATGTGCTTCAGATGCCTGGACCAGGAACATGTAAACATCAGGCCTTGACATAGTTTCTGTACCACACACTTTCACACCATTTACTTAACAAAACTTTGATGATGTCAGACAATAACCATAATACCATAGTTTGGGTGGTGAGTGGGTGTGGGTGATGGTGTGTGTGTGTGTGTGTCGCGTGTGTGTGATGGTGTGTGTTGGTGTTGTTGTTGGTGTGATTGTGGGTGATGGTGATGGTGATTGTGATTGTGTGGGTGATGGTGATTGTGTGAGTGAGGGTGAGGGGTTGGGGGGGTGATGGTGTGGGTGTGTGTGAGAGTGAGGTTGTGGATGTGGGTGTGGGTGTGGGTGAGGCTGTGGATGTGTGTGGATGTGTGTGTGTGTGAGTGTGAGAGAGGGGGCGAGGGTGAGGGTGAGGTCGCGGGTGAAGGTGGAGTGAGGACAAGGGTTGGGATGGGGATGGGGTGTGGGTGAAAGTGAGGGTGAGAGAGAGGGGGTATGGATGGGGGTTGAGGACAAGGTATGGGGGATGGGGGTGAGGGTGAGAGAGGGAACAGGGTGAGGGGGGGGGAGAGGGGAAGAATAAGGGTATTAGGGTGAGGGTGAGGGTGGGGTGAGGGTGAAAGTGAGAGGGCGAAGGCGAGGGGAGGGTGAGGGTGAGGGTGAGGGTGAGGGGATTGGGATGATGATGGGAATGGGGGTGAGAGTGAACATTTAGTTTTCTCAATGTGTGTGCGTGTTCACTTCCAAAAGAATCACAAATCAGATAAAGCCGATACAGTGGTAAATAGTGTGAGTGAGTTTAATTTTATGCCACACTCAGCAAAACTCCAACTATATGATGGCAGTCTGTAAATAATTTAGCCTGGACCAGACAATCCAGGGATCAACATCATGAACATCGATCTGCGCAATTGGGATACAATGACATGTGTCAACCCAGTCAGCTGAGACTGACCACCAAATCCCGTTAGTCGCCTCTTACAACAAGTATGGGTTACTGAAGATCAATTCTAACCCGGACCTTCATGGGTCAGTGGTAAATAGAGACTGATTTCAGCTTATGGAAACATGCAAAGAAAACAACACGAGTCCTTGAAGTGAAAACACACACACAGATGTATTTTGTGTGATAAAATCAATGAGACATCGTTAGATTGCACTATTTCGCAATGTCACTTAAGGGTCACAGGAAATGATACTTCAGTGTTGAGTATGGCTTCCATTAGCAGCCACTTTGGTGTCATCAGAACACACAACACCTGTCACCTGATTGTCATTCCTGTCAGGACAAACTGACAGTAACAACCTCTTGTCCGCAAGCTATTGTATTGTGAACTGTTACCCAACAGGTGAATCAGCCATATACTGTTTGGAGTTGTTAAAATACATATAGTCTTTGCATGAGGTAGAGTCATGGTACCTCCATTACAAGTGTCATCACTATACTCAGTTCCGGAAGAAACGCATAAGACTGTGATACAGTGCTGAATAAAGAGGTTGATGTCAGCTTATGAAAACGTGCAAAGAAATCATTGTGAGTCCTTAAACTGAACTCACAAATGATCTCTATTCATAACCAGACATGTTCTGTTATAATGTAAATAATCATTGGAATTTACATTTAAGTGACGTGTATAATAACAATAATAATAATGCGAATTTTTGTGCCTAGAATCCAACACGATGCTGCTCTCTGGCGTTACGGAATTGTACTTTCAAAGCTGCTACTAAGAGCTAAGAGCGACCGTATAGGTCCATACATCCGCTTTTCAGGTACCCATTTTGAGCAGCTGGGTGGACTGAGTGCAATGTGGACGAAGTGCCTTGCCCAGGGACACAACACAGTATGAGACCCAGGTCACAAATTTTGGTGTCTCCACTGTGGTATCACCAGAACTCACAAATGACGAGAATGACTATCTGTGCTTCAAACACACACCACTTCGACTCGATCTATATCTAGTTTCATGTAATTGTAAACATTCATAACAATGACGACTCTTTAGCAATTCTTATGGAAATGTTCTATAACAGGTTTGTCATTCTTCTGTAATGTTATTGAGTATAAGAAAGAATTCAACATTTTCAAAATTAAGACTTTGGGGGAGAAGGGGAAATGTGCATCTCTCAAAATAGTCCCTAATGAAGATGGAAGACAGAGATGATAGAGTTTAGTGAAAAACACTTTATCGCTGTAGTACCAGTCATGGCAGGGGGACTTTGTACCCATGTGGGTAAGAATTCTGTCACCCAACACCACTAGGTAGCCCAACCTTGATTTTCAAACAATCAGACTGAAGAACACACTTTGCATTCTAAAATAAACAACAAGATGGTATGTAAAGGGTGAACTAGAAATACTAATCGTTTCTCAGATTACTTCTGACAAACCACCTCACATACTACAAATATAATTTAAAAACATTGGCAGCTTTATAATTCACACTAGTCTGCTGGCCGGAGACAACCAAAATGTGGCGAGGACAACAAGTGATAGTAGGTTGCCTGCTGTGACATTAGAGGTCTGTGTTTCTCTCAGATCTCATGCTCTGTCTTTACTGCAAATCGTTCCAGCAGGACCAGCTACAAGTGAGTCAGTTTACTTCTACGCCAATTTTAGCAATATTCCAGCAATATCACGGCGGGGGGCATTGAAAATAGCTTCACACATTGTACCCATGTGGGGAATCAAACCCTAGTCTTCAGAGTGGCGAGTGAACACTTTAACCCCGAGGCTACCCCACTGCCCTTCAAAACCTAGCTACAAACCCTGAAGGCTAGTGAAATAGTTTTGAAGTACAGTCAAACACTGATGTGTCAAACATATGGGGTTTTTGTGAAGTACAAGCTCATTCCCTACATATTTCTTTCTGTTCATCATTTTTTTGTATTGAACCTTGGATAACTCAAATAATTTACTTAAGTGCCTTTAACTTTGGCATGATGGTGTTTGACTGAAACTGCATTAACTAATCTAGGAAACCAAATTTCTTAGGCAGCTTTGCCCATTGTTCACCATACCAAAACAAAGTTCCTGGAAATTGAAATTCATAATTATTGAGAAGAGTTAGTTGTGTATGCATTCTGGGATTCTATAAACTCCTGTGCCTAATGAGTGAGTTTTGGTAAATATATTCTGAGATGTCTCCAGCAGTTGACTCACCGCCTGGGCGCCAGTGTCCTTGACAGCCTGTAGGATGACGTCCATGTTGAGGTAACTCTTGCTGGTGGGCGCTGGACCAATGCACACCGCTTCATCCGCCATTCTCGTGTGGACCTGCATGCAAGAAGTAGTCATTGTATTGTATGTTTGTTATGATGGTCAGTATTGTTCCAGTTACTGTATATAACATAATAATCACCTCAGGTTCACAGACAATTGAGTGCAGCTTTCAAAACTGTAAACAATGACATAGATTTGTTGCTATTGATCAAACTTAGTTCAGACATGGTTGAACCCAAGATATTTTATGACAGTTACTGGAACCAGACAATTTAATACCAATTCCAGGCAGATGTTTTCTGTAACAAACTCTGTAAAATACACAAGAAAATACAGACAATTATATAATTTTCAGTTTCGGTATTGGATGCTCAAAAAAGAACAGACTGGTCTTGGAATGACCATGGTGATTATTTGAGTAGGGTATTTCATATGGTAAATACGGTATATCTTGTTGGCCCTGAAACAATAGTCTGGAGCATACAATTAGTGGTTGACATTATGGGCAACGACTAATATTAGTGAGGCATGATGACACACTGGCATCTGGAACAATCATGTTCCAATTCCAGTACTTTGTTCAAGTGAGTGATTGTGTGAGTTTTATTAAAATCTAAATATTTTAGATATTTAAATACTTACCTTACCATAGGTCTTATGCATATTACCTCAAGCTCCGCTTAAAGAGATCAGACAGTCGTTGATTCGCCATTCTGTAGAACGGCCACCTCGTGTATCGACGAGTGTACAGGCAACGGAAGTGACGTGATCTCCCCTCCCGAGCAAGCGCGGTCCATCCAAAATCACTTTTACTGACCAGGTCCGAAGAGCCCAGAGAGGGGAGGAGCATCCAGCGTTGGGAGGGAGTTACCGCCCTATGGTAAGGTAAGTATTTAAATATCTAAAATATTTAGATTTTAATAAATTTTTAACTTACCTTACCATAGGTCTTATGCATATGGATTCGACAGTAGGACGGCGGTGTCGGGCTCCAGAGGACCGTCCCACGAAAAACCCACATGCCAAGGGAAAACCAGAAGAAACTACTGAATCGCCAGACTGTCATGGGGGGAGGCCTGGAACAGGAGACAGATAGTAACTAAAGGCAACCCTAAGGAAAACAAATACACCCAGAGTGTAAGTTAACCTGAAGACCAAAAGGTAAGAAGAAGTAGTTACCTAATGGGCGGTAGGATGGGTGAGTTGCTGAGCAACCACCAGTGGACCAAACGATTGAAGACCTTCCACGTCCCTCGGCGGCCAAATCCCATGAGGTAATGACTAGCGAAGACAGTAGAGGACTTCCAAAACAACCCTCCATGATGGCTGGAGCGGTGCAGTTTCTGTGGAGAGCCATGGTGGATGCCAGAGCCCTAATCTCATGCGGATTAGTGGCTGTAGGATGAGGCAGATCTTGCGCATCGTGGGGCGGTCAGGATGGTAGTACGGAGCCAGAAGATGCAAAGCGTATTCTTATTAACTTCACCTTTGGCCACAGAAGACAGCGGGATGAACAGTCTCTTACTGAGACTGCCTCCTGGAAGATGACTTGGCAATATAAATCTTAAGTGCCCTCACGGGACAAAGCAGCTGTTCCTCAGCCGTGAGGTCCTAGAATGGAAGACAAAGGAGGGATGGAGAAGATCCTATCCGGTTGTCCTGGCAGCTGGTTCTTGGCCACGAAATCCCAAAGCAGTCCGAGATGAACAAGACCATGCCGTGACTGCTCAAAGCGCACCCTGGTGACATCCAATGCGTGGATCTCACTAACCCTAGCTGCTGTGGCCAGGGCCAAGAGAAAGGCTGTCTTCCTGGAGAGGTTCTCAAAAGAAGCCGTGTCCAAGGGCTCATAAGGGGACCTCTCAGATGACGAAGAACGGCGTTTAGGTCCCAAGCGGAGGGACGGAGCTTTGCCTTCTGGTCCTCCAGCTTAAAGCGCTTTGAGGGCGGCGATGAGTTCTGGCACCTTGGAAATCTTTTTTGTCGCGACTTGACCGCCAGAAGCGGAGTTAAGAGCCGATAAATAAGTTCCTATAGTGTTGCCCTTGAGACGCCGGGACTTCCGAAGAAAGAGAAGGAACTCTGCTATAAACTGAGGAGAAGCATTCAACGGGTCCTTGGACTTCTGTGCACAAAACTTCTCAAAAGAAACCCACTTATCATCATAGAGTGATCTTGTGGAGACTCGATGAGCACGAGCAATAACCTTGGCGACACTCGTGGAGAAGCCCTTGGCCTTCAGCGCCTTTTGCAGATGATCCAACCGCACAGATGAAACCGAGTCGGATCGGGATGCCACTGTCGACTGTGGGGATGCCTGAGCAGGTGAGGCCAGTCTGGTAACTGTTGCGGACTTCTTTCGGCGAGACGGCGCAGATCTGGGAACCAGGTTCTGGCTGGCCACCAAGGCGCGACCAAAAGCAGACGAATCGTCTCTGTCCGCTTGACCTTTGCTATTACCGCTGGCAACAGAACTGGTGGTGGAAAGGCGTACGCCCAGACCCTCCCACGACAAGGACATGGCGTCGACCGCCCATGCCGCTGGATCTGGAATCGGAGACACGTACAACGGCAGCTGTGTGTTGAAGCGAGTCGCAAACAGGTCGATCAGAGGGCGGCCGTGACTGTGACAAAGAAGTTTGAATGCTTCTGGATGTAGCATCCACTCTGTTGGAGACGGTTTGCCCGGCCTTGAGAGAGCGTCTGCCAAAACGTTCTTGCACCCTTGGATGTGTCGGGCTCTGGCACTGATGCCATTGTTGTCCAGGAGACTGGCCAGCTGGAACGTCTGCTCCAACAACTGTTTGGACCTGGTCGTTCCCTGATTGTGAATCAACCACACCACCGTGGAATTGTCCGACGCTATCAGGAGCCTGGTGTTCCGCAACAGAGGCACCCAGTGTCGAACCGCTAAAATGACTGCTTGCAGCTCCAAGTTGTTGATGTGCCATCCTAGCTCGGTGCCTGACCACAGCCCAGAGGTGGTCTGGTCGTTGAGGTGAGCACCCCAACCTTGAAGAGACGCATCTACGAACAGTTTCGTGATGCGTGAACAAACTCTGTCAAGGAGACTCCTGCGCCAGGCGTTCGACTCGACAGTCCACCAACGGAGGTAAGCGTTGAGATGCAGGGGCAAAAGGAACCTCAACTGAAGGTCGTCCGCCTGGATGTAAGGCAACAGGAAGCTGTAGCGGCGAAGCATCAAAGCGACCTCTGGCGTCAAGTCCTGGGCTGAGGTGAGGAGACCTAAGAGGGACTGCCACTCCCTGAGCACGAGCGGCTGGGATAGACCTCGGTTGGCGAAACTGACAATCTTTCTCCAGCGATCTAGCGGAATCCTGACAAGGTCGCAATGTGTCAGGAAGAAGCCTCCTATAAACGTTAGTTCCTGGGACGGCTCCAGGTGGGATTTGTCTATGTTGATAATCCATCCCAGTTGCTGCAAGAGAAGAATGGCAAAGTGCATCTGTTTGCGAAGCAACTGAGGGTCGAGGTGGTTCATGAGACAGTCGTCTATATAAGGGTCGAAGTCGATGCCCCTGAGATGGAGGAACCGGGTGATCGGCGAGGTAATCCGAGTAAAAAGCCACGGGGCCGTGGAAATTCCAAATGGAAGCACTTTCCACTGGTAGTGGGACCCGTTGAAAAAGAACCTCAGGTACTTTCTGTGACGGTGGTAAATGGGCACATGCAGGTAGGCATCCTGAAGGTCGAGGCTGGCCAACCAGACCCTGGGTTTCCCTGAGTCCTTCTTGGGAACCAGGAAGATTGGTGAGTAGAACCCCGGGGACTGTCGGGGGTCTAGCACTGTCTCTATAGCTTGTTTGCGTAACAGAGTGTGGATGCTGTCTGCTAGCAGTAACTGTTGGTCTGGAGCATACACACGTGACTGGGGCGTTGAAGTCAGAGGCGGCGACACGGCGATTGGCAGCTTGTAACAGGTCCTGAGAATGTTGGTGATAAACGGGTCTTCCAGGATTGTCCAATTGGGCCAGAAGATCCCCAGTCTCCCGCCTACTGGAGTAGGACGAACCGGCACGACTGGGGGCGGGAGGTCCCAGTCGTGTTGGGTCGCAACTTCAGCGACCGAAGTAAGAGCGCCTCCCCCTACCCCTGCCGGGCGTCGAAGGGGGGTCTCGGGGACGATCCTGCTGACGGCGCTGAAAAACAGGTTCGGATCTGCCACGGCCACGTCCTCTGCCAGAGGCGTCGCGGACGGAGTCTCTTCTCGGGACGTAACGGCGCTTCCCTCTACCCCTTGCAGATGATCTGCCACGAAGGCGAACTCAATTCTTCGAACGTGACAAAGAAACCTCCGTATTGGTAAGCTCTGCGTGTTCCTTATACACCTCCGAATGCCGTCATTAAAGAGGAAAACGACGCTAAAAGGGGCTCTTAACAGTTTCCTTTTAAACTCTTCCTGCCAAGAACAGGGCTCCAGGAAACCCATCCGCCGAACAACCGTTGTCATGGCCAGAGCCGCCCGGAGGTGCGCCAGCAAATCATGCAACACCTTGCCCTGCCATTGAAACAGGGTGGTAAGATGTTCTAACCTTGACGTGTTGTCTTCCGTCAAATCCCAAGCAGCAGCCGAGGTTGCCGAGGCCAACGCTGATACCGGCTTCAACATCCGCTTGAGTTCTGCATCAATGGCCAACATCTTGGAGTCCTGCACTCGGTAAGATGTCTGTGGGGAAGCCGATAAGCGCTTGAGGGACTCATCATGAGCAGCGCCTCCATCGGCAAAATCCAAACTATGAATCTTGTAGTCCCCTTTGCGTGACTTAGGAGCCTTAATAGTGGTATTGAGAGACAAAGTAACAAAATCAGCGTCCAAAGAAGCCACAGCATCGGCCACCATCGGGTGAGGTGGGAGGAGTAACTCCGGAGAAGACCGAATAGCCTTCGGGTCGGCCGAACCTGAAGAGGGAGAAGGACAATCCGGCAGTCTGTCGGCAATCCAGTCGAACACAGCAGAGAGAGGGAGGTAGGTGCCCCCATCATCATCATCCTCTTGCAACATTTCCTCATTATAATCGGGAGAAAAATAGCGCTCCTCAGTGTCCTCCCAGGACACGGTAGGAGCAGTAAATCGTTGACCGAAGCAGCAGGTTTCCGGTGGGCGCTACCGATGACAACTGAGAAGCAGCACTCAAAGTAACTGTCGGGGAGCGTGGGCGTCGCGGCGTGGCGAACAGGAGGTGACCTTGAACGGGACGACGGTATCGCCTACCACGATCGGTGACCGTGAGCGCCTCTCCCTATCCTTGGAACGTACGGGAGAGCGAGACCTTGAGTCAGACCGACGACGGCGAAGAGAAGTATCCGAACTAAGACGAGGACTCCTAGACCGATGATGCTGCCGAGGAGACCTGGAACGAGATCGTCGAGAACGATGGGAACGCTCGGCGTCCTGACGTCGGGAACGCTCTTCCATTAACTGACGTTGTAGGTCCTCCTCTCTAGACACTGTAGCCTTCCTGGGGATACGGTAGTCTGCCAAAGGTGTCGGAGTTGGCGCTGGCGCTGTACAGGCGTTGGCGTCAGTACATGGCGTCGGCGTCGGCATAGGCGCCGGCGTCCGCATGGGCGTCGGCGTAGGCATCGACGTTGGTTGAAGCAACAAGTCAGCAACGGGAGAATCAAGTGCCACAGGCGTCGGCGCAGGAACAAAGCTAGGCAACGGCGCTGGAACGGTGCTAGCTTGGGCTCCGGCAGCTGCCGGCAAAAGGAGCGTCCGAAGCAACTTCTGAACCTCCGGATGCGACAAAGCGTCCGGGTGGGATAGGTCAACAAAAGCGCCAGACGGCCGGCAGCTTCAGAAGCGCCAGCAAACGAGGCGCAGGGTGGACGGCTGATCTATCACCGGAGAAGAGCGTCCGACCGGCGTACGAGGGGGAGAAGACCGGGAGTCCACAGAGGAAACAGGGGAAGACATTCTCCTCTTCCGTTGTGACAAGCGTTTCTTCTTGGCGCTGAGGTAGGCCTTGAAATCTGCGCCGGACAGCTGAGTACAAAAGTGACAGCGCTCGTCAATGGAACAGGCAACAGTCGCACAGTCTGGGCACCAGGGGTGTGGGTCCTTGGCAGACTTCTGCACCTTGCAGATGCAACAAAACTGCCGGGTCATGCACACAAAAAGCTGTAACACACAAATGTGAAACGTAAAAACATAGAAACATAACCCCTGCAGACGAAAAAAATGGAAGCACCCCTACAACAAGAATGGGCACGCCCAAGTAAGTGGGACAGTCGTGTAAACAACCAAGATGGCTGCCCCCACACTGAGCCGAAAAAAGCGTGAAAACACACACAAATTAGGCAAGAAATAAGAAGGTACACATAAACAAGCATGAAACAAAAGGTGGAAGAACCCTAGAGGTATCAAAACACCCAAACATGCCACGTGGAAAAACTCGGAACGTGGGGACACACCCCAACCCGAAGTGAAGAAAAAAACACAAAAAACGAGGCAGCCAGGTAAGTGAAGTTACTTGTAAATTATGTTCTTCACCCACAGAGAAGAGACATAAGATAGAAAACATACATACCAATAACTTTAATATCTGAAAACTATTAGTAAGTGTCTGAAAACTTAGCGAAACAAAAACGTCTGACAAGCAAGACGCTTGAAGTAAAAGTGATTTTGGATGGACCGCGCTTGCGCGGGAGGGGAGATCACGTCACTTCCGTTGCCTGTACACTCGTCGATACACGAGGTGGCCGTTCTACAGAATGGCGAATCAACGACTGTCTGATCTCTTTAAGCGGAGCTTGAGGTAATATGCATAAGACCTATGGTAAGGTAAGTTAAAAATTAGTTTTATGGTGCACTTAGCAATATTCCAGTTATATGGCGGTGGTCTGTAAATAATCGAGTCTGGACCAGACAATCCAGTGATCAACAGCATGAGCTTCGATCAACGCAACTGGGATACGATGACATGTGTCAAAAAAGTAAGCGAGCCGGACCACCCGATCCTGTTAGTCGCCACTTACGACAAGCATGGGTTACTGAAGATCAATTCTAACCTGGATCTTCACGGGTCTACTTTGTTTGAAGGTGTTGTATGTGAGTGAGGAACTCGACACTGATTATGGTGTGTTATGTTTATACTCACAGCCAAGGAGTCAACATCACTGTGGACGGCAACTGTCTTGATGCCGAGACGTCTACAGGTGTTGATAACTCGACATGCTATCTCACCTCGATTTGCAATGAGAACTTTGTCAAATTTCTGCAAAAAAAGACAAAACATACATTCACACATCACTTTTAAACCCAAATGTTCAAAGTGAGACATGAGAGAGTGACTTACAATGAATGATGCTTACAGACCCAGGGCTTTTATTTTCGAAGCTCTCTTAGAGCTGAGATAATCGTAAGTTAATGTTGATGTATGGCACTTATGACCATCTTATCGCTAAGAGAACTTCGAAAATAAAAGACCTGGGTCTGTGAAATAGAATAATATACTGGTGATCAGTAGATCCTTGCGTGACTTTGCAAATTGTAACCCCTTTCAGTTTCAGAATGCATATAATTATTGATATACTGCAAAAGAGTTTCCATGATACACATAACCATACATATACCTGCAGTGCTATGTGAGTGAGTGAGGTCAACACAAACTTTATTTTTTTCCGTCGGAAATCTGGTTCTGTGAATATAATGGAGTGCCCCTTTGGACACAATACATACAGTGAAACCTGCCAACACCAGCACCTGTCAAATACTGCATAAAATTTTGGTCCCGCCATTTTACGACACTATGATCATTAAAACATTGTCTAAACCAGCACCTGTCTATTCAATATTCCGACACGACTTTCCTGTCTCAAGCGATTTTAAATGTAATCAACACTGTTATGGGTATGAGCAGCTTAACCAAGGACTCATAATCCAATACACTCCTCTCGGCACGCTAGATAATCAGGAAGTAGTGATTGGGTAGTGATTCAAACGCTCGTAGGATTATCGCAGTTATGCTTTAATAACACTGGGGGATTGCATTATGCACATGAACTGGTCACAGTCCTTGATGCTGTCAACTGGATTTCAACATTGTTTTAATTTGTGGCACAATTACAAAAGATCAAAGGCATTATAGAAATAAAAAAATTGACGAGTGCAAATGACAGCCATGTTGGAAAATGATCGTCACTGTCTAATCCGGCATTTTATTTCAGTCCCGGGGGGTGCCGGTTTAGACAGGTTTCACTGTAGTTTCTTTGTATTAGATGCACGTGTTCTGTGTCCTGACTGACTGACTGAGTTTGCTTTTACGCCGCTTTTAGCAATATTCCAGCAACATCACGGCGGGGGACACAAGAAATGGGCTTCACACATTGTGCCCATGTGGGGATTCGAACCCGGGTCTTCGGCGTGACGAGCCAACGCTTTAACCATTAGGCTACCCCACCACGCCCCGTAGTTTCAATGGAAGAAATATATAAGGATTCATAATTGGGCAACCAGACAACAGTGAATGCACCATGAAATAAGCTTGACTGTTGGTCATGGACTCATACTACTTACAGATTCTTTTGGATCCGACTTTTCATTCCAGTAAAGTTCCCTCTGTAGAGGTACAGTGGTGTACAGGGTCCTCTGGGATAAACATAGCCAGCTCTGAAATGACAACCACACAAACACATGAGAGAAGTATATTGACATGGCACTGTGACTCACTTGAATATGTCACCAACATTTTAAATGGCTAGCAAAGACAGTAATTTCACAAAACTTACTGATATTATTGATCTTGTGTTTTCTAGTCACTGTTTTACACCATTCTCAGGCAGATTACTTCACTTTCCTTTAAGTTGGCCCACTAAAGAGAAAATTAGACATGTATGTTGAAAGAATTATTTATCAGTTTTGTAAATGTATTAGATATCTAAGCATAATTTTCAAAATGGCAAACACTGGGAGCACCTTTACAGTACAGCACACCTTGTGCAGATTCAGCCGTAGGTCACATGTCAAGCAGTCAGTTTATAAATCTGTCAGACACAAACCCGCAACCTTCAGATTATTAGTCCAACAGCTAATCCACAGCCAAAATTGTCAACATAAAATCATTTCATTGTGTACTATAGATGATATTGTGAAAAAAAAATACCCCACAAAAGCTTTGGCACACGTCCTATATATTACACAAGACTCTTGTCTTTCTAATTGATTTCATTACAAAAACAGAGAATAAAGAACTAACTCATTTATTACAAAAGATGTAACATGCTGATTGTGCCAACATATTTCATTGTCTACAATGCTTTTGACAAACATGAAGAGATATTAAGTTCTCAAACTGGCATTTCTTCATTATAATTTACCATTACTCTACATTCAGTCTAGTCACAAGGATATTTCTAGGATTCCCTTACACAAAGAGCATTTTCTGCACCATGATATTGTGTAAATACAAGCATCTCCTGTAATTATATATAAAACATGCTTACAACATGTTAAAGGTGGAATTTCCAATATAACGTTTTAAGAAGTCAAATTTATCTTTGTATCTTATCATTTATTGAAATAATATTTAACTACTTGACATGTCACTCTTATGGCTCTGGTGCACCTTTATGCCCTGGTGTGCATCTTGTAATAATAAAATAAACATAAAAACAATTACGGGTCTGTGGTAGTTTGTCACTGTTAGTGGCTAATTTATCCATCTGCAGAAATCGACCATTGCAAGTTCCTTTGCAGTCTTTTGAATATGACAGCATGGACCAATGATGTCACGATCCAAATTCCAGAGAGCGATTGCATTGACAAATAAGGCCCTGTATTTCAATGACATTGTCACAGGTGCTTGTAGACCACAAACAAGAGTGTGCTTTGAACAAGTAAATGCAATTCTATGCAGAGTGGTCTCTACAAGTTTTCTCTTTGGGAAGGCAGGCTACTTACCAGATTGGCACAACTGGCAGCTCGTCTTTGCACGAACTGCATTTGTGCAACACAACAGTGTCCCCTTGCCGCAATGGAAGACGCCATTTTGATTCCTACAGTCACGTGATTTCATAGCCCGATTTTATCAAGAATTTGACGTGAAAATATCATTTGACCTGAGAAATTACCATTTTGAATGTCTTTACCATGTTTAATTTGGAGAAAATAATTTACTTTTATCATTTGAGGTAATCACGTTTCACCGTGACACATTCATTACCATAATACTGCGTACGGCTTTGGTCGTCTGATGTTTTGTTGGTGGAAAAATACCACCAAATTTCACAGACAGTCTTTATTTTTAACAGATGACCACTTTATTAGCTTCTAAACAACTATTTGGACCGGATTAGATCCGTCTACGAGGTAAGTCTGTTAGTTTGGCGATTGCTGTTTACGAGCGAACGATCCCACTCCCCAGATTCGCCATTTTGACAAAGCTCGTTTCCTGGTAGCCGGTTCTTTCACTTATTTTATCACATAATTTACGTTGTCACATTCCCTGCACAAGTGTTTAGTCGTACATGCATCTGTAAATCGGATATATATGAGGCAGAAAAATCGGATGTTGTGCACCACTCGATTTCTGTTGATATCGTGCATGTCATTTTTTATGCGTCGTCACATGAGCGTCTGAGTAAAATTTGCAGCTCAATCGTCGTCTAAATATGCAGCATCTCCAATAATACAATGTTAGGTTTATTGGCAGCTTGTATATGTTCCACAAATCGCATATATGTAAGTATATTTAACATTTTACTCAAAGCTGCATATCAATTTTTAAGAAATGACGTGAATGCCAGAAATGTTCTTGGAAAAACCCACATTGCATACATTGCATGTCACATTAGGACACATATTGACTGAAGTCATCAGTTGTTTCCTTAGCAAAACCACCTTAATTATTACGGATGTATTTTCAAGTAGCACATAAAGTTGTGTTGAACAGGAATGGGTAGATTTCTGTCAGATATGTTTTAGTAATTCTTTGCTGTTATTAATGTCATGTTAGGCCAATACATAGGACTTTGATAAAATCAGAAAACTACTGTTGTCATTCTTTTGCTGAAGTAAATGTTATCAGCAACTGGGAAAGATCATTGTTGATTGTGTATGCAGAAAACATCCTGTCCCCTTTCATGTTTTAGTGTTCATGCCACAGGAGACGACAACCTCTGGATATTTTTTTTCATGAAAAGGATATTTATGATATTCATTTGATTTTTTAACAAATTAAACCGCTCAAAGTTATGATTGGTTCATTTCGTTGATCTCTTCAAGTTTCATAAGTGCTCACAAATTAGAGGTTCCCAGTCTTTCCAATGTTTTTGATTTTGGAACATTAAACTCAAATTTAATTATATTTTTATTTTTAGGTTTCACGTTCAGATCTGAGTTATTCATGTTTACATTTCACTTAAAAGTTCTGATGTAAACATCTAAATAATATGTAATATTGGAGAATTACAAGAATTTAAGAATTGTTGCATTATCAACCTGATGATACAAAGTGACATACATAAGCTACTGCTGACACTGGCAGACCAGTTTGATTCTGAAATATCATGGTGGAACAAATTTGACCATAGAGATATAGCACGATTTAGACTGTAACAATAATTTTTTTTAGATCATTCATGTTTTACCCCGTGAAAAGTTGATAAAGTTTGCCCTATTTTTCAATCCTGCCAAATGAAATCTGAGTTGTTTATGTTGATCTTATCCTTTATTAGTTATCAGCAAGATCTGTGTTCATTAGAAAACATTATGTAGTAAATATTATGGAGGTTCTAAGTTACATGTAAATATATCACAGAGCCCTGTGACTGGTATGGAAATTAGCTCAGATATTGATGGATTTCAATTTTTTATTACTTTCTAATAAAGAAAGGTCAAATGTCACTCTCTAGTCTTTGGTGGAAAGTGCCAGGAGACCAGCTGATGCATGCAAGATTTCTCAATAGATTTAGATGAAGATCAATTTATGATTGTTGTATGTAAGCACGATTTAAGTATGACAGCCTGCCAATCCATCAATATTGTTCATGATGCATGACAATGACTTCACTAGCAGGGGACTTCAAACGAAATTGGCTGTGAATCGAATTTAATAAGCAGAGACGTTATGGCATAATGACAAGTCATATTTCATCATGTGATTGGTATTGATCAGTGTGAAGATAGAGGTGGTGAACAGATATGGTGGGTCTGAATAAGATCATGATTTATGTAGCATACTGGTTGTAGTACACTGCTAGAGGCCTGCTTAATGATCCTCGTGGATGTGTGGCATGATAAACTTTTGTCCTGGGTGTGTAAAAAGGTATTGCTTATGCAAACTGGGAATTAAGTGGATTTTGTGCCTGCAAGTGCAAAACTATCTGTCAAATAAAAGTTTTGGAACATTCCCAAGTATTCAGTGTGCCTACTTTTCACAGGTGCACCAGATCAGTTTTGTAACTCTTATGTAACCATCATATTTTGTTTTCTGTAAAAAATCCTTGAAAATTTCTTTGTGTCTGCAGTACAAAACGCGATGTGAATAACATGACCTGAACATATAGCTTGCTGATTTTACACTTAAGGGCCCAATATTGACTTGGCATCACAATCAACTTGGGTGTGGCCTACCTGTAATGAAAACAAAGTCAAATAAATCGTTTCTTTGGGAGATATGGCCAAGCAAGATGTAATGTATGTTGTGCATTAGTACAGAATTTCCAGTCTTTGGGAATGAGCTAGAGAACATCGTTAGTCGGAAGGAGACGAGATCATATATGACACAGGGTTGGGGCTTGGGTTGATCTGAATGGGTTGATTCTGATCTAGTCTTCAACTTAAGACACTTGTCCAAAGTCCCCAAACCAGTAAAGTCTATTTCAATCTGGAAGGATTGGATACTAAAATGTATGTAAAAAACTATATTTACTGAAAGTTATGTCAAGATTGAAGTTCACATGAGTAGACTCAAAAATGTTTTTTGCAGAATATGGGAGAGATGTCAAATACTGCAATTAGATTACATGAACTTATGCAAATGAGTATGCATTAATTTTGAGATAATGAGTATAATTGCATTCACTCACCTAAATGCTAAATAATGTGCAATTGAAGATTGACCGTATCAATGTTTATTACAAAAATGTCACATTGGTATAGTGAAAGAATACTTTTACAAATACTTCAAAGGTGGATGTTACTGCTAGTCTATGAGGTTAAGGAGACCACTGCTTGTAAACTACCTGTATAATGTAACAAGCATTATATTGGAGATTACATTTTCTCATTAAGTTACAAATGCAAGTACTTTTTGGGTTGAGTCCCATCCATGATTCGAACCCTCACCCACGAGTCTGAAACCAAATCACCAGCACATGAAGCTAGCAGTCTAACTCACTCAGCCACTGAGGCTCCACTATCAATTCATCATCAGTTTCTGAGGCATGGAACTCATTTACATATATTATTTCAAATCCTGCCACATCCAGTGTCGGTGTTGTCAAAGGTCAACTTTGAGGTTACTGTGAAACATGGTTGTATCATTTATAACCAGTTGCAGATGCACATTTACTTTACTAACCCGAGACTTTGAAATTGTTAGATCTTATATTTTAATTAAGGTCAAGCCTACCAGTCTGACTGTCAGGACAACCTGAACCCTTTAGTCGTATATTTTATCACTTTCTTGATAAAGGTGTCAGAACCTACAGCGAAACATTGGTCTCACTGTAATAAAGAAGTTGTTCATCCATATATTCTTATCCTAATAAATTAGTACATAATAATAAAACAAAATAAACTGATCAGAATTAACATGACAGTTGAAGGATCCTTGTCACAACCTTGAGGGCATATAACTGTTTTGGAGTGACCTCCACTGACCTTAACCCAAAGGTGAAGGTCGCTAATAAGCATGATGAAGTAGTTATGCCTATTTTTATACTATGATGTGGCAGGACTTTATCGAAGCCTTTAACCTAAAGTGGCCATATGATTTAAAAACATCTTATTCATAACAGACAACTAGAGTTGGCATTATGGCACATAAATCGCATTGCAATACAGAGAGTTGTATTAGCAATATATATTGCAATACTTCTTTGTAAAATATATTTGTACTGTTATGATAGTAACATATGAAATACACTTCATGTCTGATTAAGACAATAGGATAGCCTTTTGGATAAAGCATTTCCTCATTACTACATTGGCCTGGGTTCAATTTTTCACATGGGCGGTTCAATGTGCAAAGTCAGTTCTGGTGTTACTAAAAGCGGCCTAAAACCATATTCGTGACTGATTGTTTAATCATTAAATGATTATGTCAAGCAAATGATGGACAGCGTTTCACTCCATCATCCAACCCTCTGACTGCGAAGTTATGACAGTCTGGATAAATTAGATTACCTTTTACATAATCAATATCGAATGTTGATATAAACAACTGTGTTTAGGGTTCTATTATTTATAGGATCACTTCTCTGTGTTTCAGCTGTTTGAAGCAGTATTGAAATCATGACAATAGTGATGCGTGGAAGCCCAGCTGGAGGGGATTCCCCTCAAGAGAATTCCCCTCCCCAGACAGGTCAGGCTCCCCAACAACAACAGCCAACAACACAACAGCCACAACAGCAACCCCCGACTTCACAACCCTCACAGTCACAACAGCCTCCTAAAGAAGCTCCACCACAACAGCAGCAGCAGCAACAACAACAACAACAACAATCCACCAGTGGATGTCCAGTTCAGATCGCGACCCAGCACGATGAAGGAGGTCAAGGTGATGGAATAGTGCTACCAGCTGATGACCAAGAACCTGAATTCCCCCATGTGGAGTTGGCGAAACTAGATGAAATGATTAACCGACCACGATGGGTGGTCCCAGTGCTGCCAAAAGGGGAACTCGAAGTTCTGCTGGAAGCTGCAATTAAGCTGAGCAAAGATGGTAAGCAAATTGGTTTCATTTATGTTGTGTTACATAATTTATTTCCCCTTCCCTGTTACATATGGCATAACGATCCTTGGATAATTTGAGTTCCACAGCATGTGATACATTTAAAGTACTGATTCCACTGTGTGTTAAATGGATGTACAAAGGAAGAAGGCTTTTGTTCCTTTAAGACATGCACTCATTCATATGCTTACACACCTACATTCAAACAAAATTCACATAGAAATATGTTACTGATCTTTTTATCCCCCGCAAAGTGCACATTTGTCTTTTCCGGAGCATAACTCCAGAACCCTTCAATGTTTCTTCACCAAACTTGGCACATAGATAGATCTGGTGGTGAACTGGTGCCTTTTGGTAGTTTGGGAATTCTGAATAAAATATTTTTGGCGTTTCCATGGCAACAAGTTTGACTTAGACTGAAATTGGTGGTTGCGCTCTTTTCCGGAGCATAACTCTATAACCGTTCAATGTTTCTTCACCAAACTTGGCACATAGATTGGTCTGGTGGTGTACTGGTGCCTTTTGGTAGTTTTGGAATTCTGAATAAAATATTTTTGGCGTTTCCATGGCAACAAGTTTGACTTAGCCTGAAATTGGTGGTTGCGCTCTTTTCCGGAGCATAACTCTAGAACCGTTCCATGTTTCTTCACCAAACTTGGCACATAGATAGATCTGGTGGTGAACTGGTGCCTTTTGGTAGTTTTGGAATTCTGAATAAAATATTTTTGGCATTTCCATGGCAACAAGTTTGACTTAGCCTGAAATTGGTGGTAGTGCTCTTTTCCAGAGCTAAACTCTAAAACCGTTAACTATTTCTTCACCAAACTTGGCACATAGATTGGTCTGGTGGTGTACTGGTGCCTTTTGGTAGTTTTGGAATTCTGAATAAAATATTTTTGGCCTTTCCATGGCGACAAGTTTGACTTAGCCTGAAATTGGTGGTAGTGCTCTTTTCCAGAGCAGAACTCTAAAACCGTTCACTAATTCTTCACCAAACTTGGCACAACAAGTTTGACATAGACTGAAATTGGTGATAGCGCTCCTTTCTGGAGCAGAATTTTAAAAACCTTTTTTTTAATATTTGACATAATCATAACTCGTAGACATAATCATGAAGAGTATTTTGCCATTGCGGGGGATATTGATGACTTTGTCTTCTTGTTATTTTGAGTGAAAGTTACGTTTAGGATGTATTTGTGGGAGTTGTTTCTGCTGTAGATGATGCAGAAGGATTAACATATTTTTGTGTGTATTTATTTTTGAAAACAGTAATTTCATTTGTGTAGAGATCAGTTTGAATTTATTAGTATCAATGACTTCTTTTCTTTCTTTTTGAGCACCAACTTTACTGCTTGCATGTAAAACTGAAAGCATAGATAGATTTGATGCTTAACTCTTTCAACACCAGTCAACCAGAGGCATTTACTGCCATGACACCAAGTTCCCAGAGACTCTGAGGTCATAGATGAAGCCTATCAATGAAAATATCAGCTTGTAAATATTATTACTACTACATATCATACATCATTTGAAAGGTCTAATCCTACTGTTTATAAATATGAAAGTTATTTTTTATCATATTATTCAAGTAATACGTTTACAACTTAAATACGTTAATTTTAATTGAAAATGCAAGCTTACACATTTATATGTCCAGATAAACCACGAAGGAAGAAAAAAATGAGGCGATTTTTTTCCATTTGTAACATGTCATAATATCCCCTTACCTTTTTCTTTTATATTTTCATTTTTACGTAATCGGAAAATTATTATAAAAAGATTTCTGAATTAATATGTATGGTCGTCTATTTCCCGATATCTGTGGCTTTCCGCTTGGTAGCGTGATACAACAGCGTGAAATACCTCCGTTTTCTATGCTTCGTATGAATAACATGTGAGGCGATTCGTTTGATGGCGGGTATCGTTTGAAAGCTCTGAACATCAACAATATCACTGTACCCTTGCCAAGAGTATTTTCGCAGTTGTAAGAAGCGATTTTATTGGATACAGATTGGTTTCTAATGACGCTTATTTGCCTCAGTCTGCTATAAGGATTGTGATTGGTCAAAATGAGACGTGACCTAAGCCAGCCAATCAGATAACAGCAATGGATATTGTCGTCGTAAACGAAAACCTGCAGGTTCAGTCGAAAGTTTTGGGTAAAATCATGCCATTCTGAACGTGTTGTGCAAAAAATCACCACCTATGCGTATATTATGGAACTTAGTTGACGTATCGTGCTAGGTTATGACCTGTGACAAGAAAGTTTAATGCATATATTTTAGCATTAAACATCTTGTCCGAGCGTAAAGTTCGAAGCGACGAAAGCCGAGATGTCACTTGAATTACATTACATGATCGCACAATAAAGATGGAAATAGTAAGTTGTAACGTACATTTGACAACTTTTATGAGTACTGTTGTTGATTTTATTCTTCCGTTTATTCAATTTGTGTAATTATTATCTCGAAACATCGTTACTTTGCTCTTTGACAACTCTAATGTGGACCCGTTGCGGAAGCATGTGTCCGAGAATCTTTTTTTTTTTCAATAACATTGCGAAAAATAGTTTATAATTCTAATTCTGTCGATTATATATGGCCATTTGAAATGTAATAAGTGTTTTCAGGCATTATGAAAAGTGACAGATTTGATAAATGAATCATATGTTAGTTAGGTTCCTAAAATTATATATAATTTTGATGCGACTACTGCCTGGCCGGTTTCCGGCCTACGGTGTCTGGGGACTGGTGACGTCTTGGCCGGTTTTCCGGCCAGAGGTGTTGAATGGGTTAACTACCTATCTGTGCCTAAAACCTTTCAGTAGATTTTATTGTTACTTTTTTCTAAGGTTACTTGACTAAACAGAATTTTACTTTAGTCAGGCTTGGGACTTGTGGCTGAAGTCACACTAAATAGACATTACAAAACAAGTGGGTGTTGATTATGGAAAATATTCCAATGAGATATTTTAGAACGTTTTGATTTATTCACGAGTGAAAGCAACAAGTTTTGTGATCTATTTATTACACACTTGGTGGGAAAACAGTGTGATCCATGATGACAAATCAAGCAATGCTGGATGTAAACAAAATGAAAGGGAGATAACTCTGTCGTGACTACTTTATAGATGAAAATAAACAATTAGAAATATTCTCTTGAAAAATAATAATAACCCCCCAGGACACTGTAATTGAAATTTAATTATCCACAAACCTAATGTTTTGTTTGGTTGACATTTTTGGTCAAAAACTGCTTGAATGGAGTTATAATGTTAATTTAAGATATTGAGGTGGCAACAGAAAGTTTGGCATTATGATGTCATTATCGCTGAATAACCTAGTTTGGTTACACAACACTTGTTGGATAACTTTCAACTGGTTACACAACACCTGTTTCAAGTAACCCAAAGTAAGTAAAAGATTCAGAACATGTGTGTTATAAATAGTATTATTCTTAATTATGTAGACCTTTATGATACTATCTGATCATAACAGGTGTTCATTTTATGTGCAGATTTTGTTTAAGGCCATTTTAATGATTTTATTCCAAATTTCATTCCATTTTGTGTACAGTGATTTTGGCATGTATAGCTATAATCAGATGACAACTATCATTGCCTTGAAGTGAACTTTTGTTTTCAGAGAAACATTGCAAATATCATACTTGCGTTACTTTGACTCATATTTGTTGTTCTATGACAAAATTGTTTCATGTTTTTACTGATCTCAAACTATTTCACTTTTTAAAGTAACTGATAAAATGTGCCAACAATATGCTGAAGTGAATATCGGACACAAGAAAATACTTTAGTTTCAGTGTTTAGAGTTGACAGTTATGACAAAGAGCAGCTCAGAAAGGTACCTTTTGGATCATTATTCCTGATGTCATTTTTTTTTTATTTGTAGGGTGGTTAGGTAGTCTTAGAAGAGTTGAGAAATGGTAATCCCAAATATAACACTTTACATTTGACCACTTTCTAACTAGCATTGTGAATTTTTAGCTTTTGGTTGTGGGAGCCGTGCCAATTTACAAATTGAGTGGGTTATTGATTGCTGAATTTGTGTGCGGATGATTAGTTGCCTGACTCTGAGAAAGTGAGTTGAATCTCAGATGGGACTCAACCTAACAAAAGTACTAGAATCTGAAGTACTTGTACTTTACTGAGAAAGTATAATCCCAATTATAACATGTTATTAAAGAGTCTGCTAAACATCTGTGTCTGATTTCCAGTATAGATAAAATGAGTGAAGCCTATTCATCAAGTCTTTGGTCCCTTTGTTCTTGGGTGAAAAGGTCCTTCAGTATCTCATGCTTGTCTTAGTTCTGCTGAAAGGTTAGAACATTATTGCTTGATGACATTGTGCCTCCATTGCATGATGTTGACAAGCACCATCTTTTCCCAGCTTGATTATTTACCATGTTTACTGACCACCTATATAGACTGAACATTGCTTGCTGCTATGTTAAATATAATTCAGTTATTATCCCCTGCCACAAAGTGGGAATGGGATATAGGTTTGAGCTCCATCTGTCCTTCCGTCTGAGGTGATGGGGACAGATTTTCTCAGAAACCGTTATAGATAGGGATACCAAATGTGGTATGTATTTTGAAGGACACAAATGCCTTTATGGAGTTTGAAAGCGGAAACCGTGTTACAATTCTTTACAGAGTTATGGCCCTTGTTATGTGTTTCTTGACTTAGTGCACGGTATCCTCAATGGGGACAGATTTTCTCATTTCACAACTTATGTATCGCTATTTGTAGGAAGAATGAATAGTTGTCAAAATAGCAACAGAACACTCTGGTGGGGATATTGATGACCATGTCTTCTTCTTGTGATTAGTTTGGAATATTGCTTGAAAAGGACACCATGAGTGAGTGACTGAGTATTTTATGCCGCACTCAGCAATATTCCAGCTATATGGCGCAGGGTTTGACGGTCACTGTAAATAATAGAAAAGTAAACTACTTGGACCAGACAATCCAGTGATCAACAGCATGAGCATCGACACAGCGTAATTGGGAACCGTTAGAAGTTGACATGTGACACCATGAAGTAATAGTTTGCAACAAATATTTCCTTCCTAGTTCAGGACTGGATGTAAGAAGCAATTAGGCATTGTCAGTTTGCAATAAATTCTTTCAGGACTGAAGGTCTCACAATATCTTTCACAAAAATTCTCACAGATGAGGCTGTCAGTGGATGGAAATATGAGATACATGTAAGTGCCACTGCATTATGTTTTTGTGATTTTGTATGTTACAGTACTTGTGTGTCTGAGCATTTCATTATTGTTAACAATATGTAGACAGCATTACAACATGATTTGTGATGAATTTTATGTGTCATTGGCATCATCCAAATAGTCCAGATTTGATTCAAGATGAATTTGTTAACTATATATTTTGATCGTTTTTTTTCTCTTTTGTAGAAATGTATTTTGAAAAATGCTGAGAAACTAATAGAACTCTGTGTGGCTAAGTTATCACAAGACTGGTTTCCTCTCTTGGATCTTCTGGCCATGGTTTTCAGTCCCCAGTGCAAGTAAGTCAAACTGCTCACATTCTTTTCATGCTTATTGTAACAGTTACGTGCTATTTTAGAATATATATGTCATATTTTAGCTGTTTTACTGTAAGACTGCTTTAATTAATATTTGGCTTTTCAAAACCTTCTAGTCAGATGGCTAAAATATTGCTGATGTGACCTTGAATTTAACCTACCCATTTGACTCACATATTGTAACAGAAATGTTCCTTCAACTGTGTTTGAAGGTACAGATTAAGGACAATGCAAAATGCTACACAGATAATCTAAAATGTCTTGTATTGTCACCATACCAGTGGTTTCAGCATTGTGGTATTGTCTCATACCTACATCACTGTTGACTTTCCTCCCACCTTATGCTGATGCACAGTTTCAGTGGTGAAATACTGATGTAACCAATTCACTCGTCGTTATCCAAAAAACGTTTTAGCTCACCGGGGTGGTGGAGTAGCCCAGTGGTGAAAGTGTTGGCTCGTCACGCCGAATACCCGGGTTCGAATCCCCACGTGGGTACAATGTGTGAAGCCCATTTTTGGTGTCCCCTGCCGTGATGTTGCTGGAATATTGCTAGTAAAACCAAACTCAGTTAGTCAGTTTTAGCTCTGACTGACTGTTGTTTTTTATTCCTTGGTGCTTCTGCAGAAATATTTGAACATCAATGGTGTCACTGTCATGAACTTTATGAAAGTGCCTGTCCTTTTCAAATACAACTGTTAACTGGAAATTATGGTGAGCATCAGTGCACCTGATGCTATTTTAAGAGACAAGATTAATGATGACATGGAGATATCAATCATTTATCTGAATAACATGGATTGACTTGATTGGTGTAGATTCCACACTTACAATGGAACTCGGCCATCAGAGAGTGTACCAGCTGGAACCCAACCATCAGAGGAATCTCTGTTTGCAAGACCTCCAGACCCAAGAACTCCAAGGGTAAGTCTCTCAGGAATTATTGACACATCATTCATTATTGATTGTCTTAGAAAACAGGTTAATCAAGTGAAGGATGTTTTAAGCATCTATGTATGAATTGATGACATGTGTCAACCAAGTCAGCTCAATCACATTATTTGGATAATTGATAAATTTGTTCAGTGAGTCATAGAAGTAAGTCAGCAGTGTTCAAAATTGAGCATGAAAGTCAAGACCCGATAATGTTCAAGATTTAGATTGTCACAGAAAACTTGTAACAGAAAATCAAAGGAGCCACTGGCTTTTCGTGTTTGCTTTCGCTGTGTTCCAAGATGGCTCCAAATCCCTATCAGGGGAAACTATCTTCAGAAGTATTTGAGTATTCTGTGACATTTATTATTTTTTTCAGGGATGGCTGGTTGATTTAGTCAACAAGTTTGGAGGCCTAGAAGGTTTTCAGATTCTTCTGGACAGATTCATCAAAGCTCCAGCTCTCTCTGTACCAATTATTGCTGCACTTATTAAGTAAGTACCTTGACCAGAACGTTTCATAACATCTCTTTAGTATACACATTAAAAGGATTATGTCTTGTGGTGTGTTGGAATGTATGCCAATGAACTGTCCTGCTTTGTTTTAGACCATTTGGACAATGTGCTGAAGTACTGACACCACACACTGTACAGAAATACTTCATGCCCATTGTGGTAAGTTTCATTGTGTCTTTACTCATTGTCACCCTAAATAGGGACACATTAATGGTCGAGCGATCACTGCTTAGAGTTGTCTCCCTTAGCAATACATGGATAGATTGTTAATAGGTTTTACTCCTATATTTGTTTGATGATTAACCTTGTTGTTAGGTTTCAATTTGTAAGATCTTTCTTGTTTGGGGATTTCCTCTCACATCAAGTTGACATGCAATGTTGAGACTGAAATAATGGTTTTGCCTGTATTTGACCTCCACCATGTGGCAGTTTGCCATCTCAGGAATATCTTACGTCTGTTTACAATATTGCCCTGGGAAAATCTTTTTAGTTGGTGATGTGAAAGGTCAAGGTCATTGTCGAGTCCATAGCTTATTATGTCATCCCTGGAGAATATTTGAAACTGTTGTAAGTGAGATTGAATAAGTATTGCTGAATGCAGCATTAGCATTGTTTCTGCTGTTTGCAGCAGGGTTGTAAGTGAGAAGCTTATGCATGACCCTTTATTGTAAGAACATGAACTAGAGCTTCAGAAATGTTTGTAAGGATAGTTTTTAAGGTGAACAAAATAAAACAGTGTCTTTAATGTGATCTATCACATATTTATTTATTGTGGCTATTTCTTATAGGATATCGTACCAAAGTTTCTTGATAAACTGACTGATGATGAACTAAAGAAGGAATCAAAGACTGAGGCAAAGAATGATGCTCTGTCTTCAATCATCAAAGCACTGAAACAGCTTGTATACCGACTTCCCAACCAGGATGAAACAATCAAAGAACTGGAGATATTTAGACTCAAGATGATACTAAGGTATTGCGAGTTTTCTGTTGTAAGACCCAAGTTTCACACATGCTCTAAAGCTGTATAAACACCACTTATTTGTTTGACAACTCAAACTGCATGATGTAAGCCATGATGTTTGTTCAAGGTCCATTATGTAAGTCAATCTGTGGTGACTAAACATTAATGATGTCATGATATTCTGACACAAATTACTTGATGTAAGTCATGGTGGGCATACTAAAATTATTTGAAGCAAATCTTGCTTTGCCGACTCAAATTACATTGTTATTTTTGTGGTTATAGTTCTAATTACACAGAGACTATTTCTTCTTCACACAGATTGTTTATTACACTAACTTGATCTACTCTCAAATTAGTTTTCTGACAGTCAAACATAGGCTCTCTTTAACATTAGACAGCTGACTGCACATTTTTTCAGATAGTGCTGATAATGCTGTTGTAATTTCAGACTGCTGCAGATATCATCATTCAATGGCAAGATGAATGCACTTAATGAAGTGAACAAGGTGATAACCAATGTGTCATTCCATGCTAGTCGCCATACCCAGGTGGAAGAAGATGAGTGGCTAACAGCAGAGAAAATGGCTGTAAGTTAACACTTTATGTTGCCTACTGTTATGAGAATCTCTTATACATAGATATATATAAATATATATCTATAAATCTGTATTAATATATTTTTAAATCTGTATATATATAATTATACATTTGAAGTGATTCTAAAATATATTTATATTCCCTACAATACCTGTTCACCATGACTCAGAAGCTATGCTTACCAGTGACCACTCTCCATTGTCTATAAGTAAGCTGGGGTAATGAAACAACAATGATGTTATATAATTGTAGCTTAGGCTTTTGACTTCCTCAAGCAAGTTAAAACTCAAAGTGATCAGTGCCCAGGTGGGGAGCGAGATGAGAGGTTTAGCCATGTCGGCTAGTTACACTGACTTTCTGAATATGCTATGTCGGCATGCAGTGGGTTTCAATTCATGGATTTCTGTGTTTTTATTCTGAAGAATGTGATGGAACCGGAACAATTGTTTATCCAAAGTAAGACAATCATAACGTAAACATTCCCTCTGGATTATTGTAGCCTTATTCCTGTGGATACACAGATTACATACAGAAAATCAAAAGAAATTTTAACACTAAGTCATAGCTATTCCTGGTGGTATACCTAATCTACCCCTGAGTTATCTCCCTTGATCCTGACGTCACTGTATTGTTCACCTAGAACCCTTAATAATTTTTCTGTATGGTCCACACGTATGACGTGCAGAGAATCAGTGAGATTTATTTTTCAATCAAGTCTTCATTTCTTCACAAATAGGTCAGTCACATCGCATTCCATATTAACGTTCAATCGCATTACTATTTGATATTGTATTTATGTATATTTTCTTGTTTTTGGACTTTGAAAATTTTCCGCCCTTTTTTGACTAGAACAAATATGGCGCATAACATATGTCCCCTATGCCAGAAGTTTATGGCGGATGTCGATCCCCACTCTCTATGTGTCTCATTCTTCAAGGATTGCCGTGCTTTTATCAGATAGAGGTCTTTTGTCAGATGAGAGTTGGCTTATTATGGAAAAATTTCGTTCTATGGCTAGGAAGCGTAAGTATCTTCATCTTCTGAATTCTCGGGAACTAAGAAAGCCAACATGGGATCGCCTTCATTGTCTATTAAATCTGAGCCTAAATCCAGATCTAGGACAAAATCTAATCATCCACCCACATGGATATGTCTGCCATTTCGGATTTACTAGCTGGTTTCAAGTCCGATATTCAGGCCGCTATGGCTAAGTCCGTACGGCACATGGAGTTCAGAAATGAGGTGAATTTAGCCATATTTACCTGGCAAGATGGCTCCAGGTCCGGGGTGACCGTGGCTTAGGCTACACACTCCGCGATCTTGGTTCCCAGCCATCCGTAGCGGTTCCCTCTCGCCCACAGCCTGCTATCCTTCCCCACGATGGGACGGCCGCAGGACTGTCATGGATTGGATACTGTGCCTAGTGCACAGGATTCCTGTTCCGGCTTGAGCCATAACACCGGGTCGGCGGCTATTAATAATGGGCTTGTCAACCCAGCAACCGAGAGCCACAGGCCTGCTATCTTTTTCCATGGTGAGTCTAGGCAGCAGGACTTTCACGGGCTTGATACCGTGCCCGGTGCACGGGATTCCTGTCCTGGATTGAGTCATGTTACCGGATAGGCTAGCGATTTGATCAGAGAATACGGCCACAGAACTGCAGGTGTATACTGACACGGATAATCTGTCCTTGAACCCGTTGGTATCTGACTTGGCCCGATCTGGTTGCTTCATCGGTGTATCCCTTCTCACAACCGGAGTTCACTATGTGAGAGGGTTTGTTGACAGTACTAACTATGGATGTTTTCGGAAGAAGATTTCTTGCCGGGTTGAATTTTTATGGAGAAGTTGGAACTATTATATGGTCTTTATCCCAATATCCTTCCACCTCCGTTTGAGGATCAGGGAATTGACTTACCCGTGGAGTTGGGTTGCTGATTACTGCCAGAAGGGATGCCCAAGCTGTCCTTGTTGCATTCGTCATTACTTAAGAAACCATTGGAGTATTATAACTTGGGCCTCTCCAAGGCCACGACGTGGGATAACCTGCCCAAGTCTACACCATTCATGATAGATTTATCCCGGTCAGTCTACCTAACTTGGATAAGGATTTTGCCATCTTACAAGAAGTTAAAGGCTTCCGGGAGCAAACACTTCCGGTACAATAGCGATTCAAGGAGTTAGATATGGCTGCTTGGACATCCATTGGTATGTTATCCTATTCTTGCTGGTTTGCGGGTCTACGGGCTTTGCTCCTCCAGTTTTCCAAGTTTACTCCGGGTTATAAAGGACACAGCTCAAGAGGGGCATTGGAACCTGATAACGGACGGCATGTGCGATATACCGTTTGGTTGGAAACCAGACCGATATCCAGTTCACTATATACAGGCAGGTGACTTTATTCAATTGTCTCTATCTACCCAGCAGGGTAAATGGGTACCCGGTGGGATAAGTCATGTGACTATTCCAATTTCTAGAGCCTCGTGGCAGCATGACTAATAAATGGTTATATGTCAACATTGTGAGCATGTGCATTGTACATGGGAAGGGCGTGTTATACAATTCCATCTATTATTGTTAACAAGAGCCTATTATCCTTCTACTTTCTTACGGATCTTGGGCAGTGTATTCTGTCGGCAGTTTAATATTTTAATCACTCCCATGTTCTTTAAAAAAACATCTGTCATTTGGTCGACCTACTTTCTGCCATGCGTCACGACCGTGTTTAAGCTAATATAAAATGATTTATTTCATTGGTTGGTAAATAGGATTTACTGTGGGGATTGAATGAAGCTGATTGGCTGAGCGCTAATACATTCAAAATGGACGGTGTAAACATTGTGTTGTTATTTTGTCGTGCGTTACAGAAGGAATTAAGTTTTATCACGTGGTTTTTCAATGGCAAATTAAAAAAAGTGATTCTCTCATTTGACCAAGGTAGGTTCTTGAGGAATGTGACGTCGCCTTTGGAGAGGCACTGTAAAAAGTTTAGGCACTGTGTGGGAAATTATTTAGGTGTTTCCGCAAGTCTGCGTTCACTGCATAATGCGGCAGGATAAGTGATCTCCAATATTCATTATATTGTCAAACTAAGACTTGCTTACATGGCTGGGGATAGCAATAGACAATCCCATGTCATCCTTGATAGGATGGGTCTTTTCCCGCCAGTGCCTCAATATTTGATAGGGATTTCTGACACCTGGTTCTTGTAATTATCAAAACTTTGACATTCACAATTTATGAAACCAGCTCATGGCATGGGATGGTAGTTTTCGTTTTTCCACCGTTCAAATTCTTTTGGGGAAAGATTCTTGCAGAAGATTCAACATCACAGTTGTATTGTATACCCAGTTGTTCCAGCGTGGCCTACAGCTGTTGTCAGACAGTTTTCTACCTCTAATGCTATGGCTCAATCTGTTTAGTCAACTCAGATCCGATAAGTTCCATGAGGCTGCCTTGTATGATGCTAAGTAGAAACGAGTTATCCAGTGTAGAGGAGAGCAAGGAGTCTTGGACTCCCCTATCAGCATACAGGGATTCTCAGTGTGATCCGATTCTTTTCTTCACAAAATTATCAGTTCATTCCAGATTAAGGACATTTTTTCTCTTACATTTTTTTTCTTAAGTTGGTTTTTATCTTGGTAATACAGTCTCTCCAAGAGTCACCATATCAACCAATGCAGGACACTTCTCTGAAGTTCCTATCATTTAAGACGGCAATCCTCCTAGGTTTTTTTTGCTACAGCATCCAAGGTATTTGATTTACTTACTATAGATTTTATATCCAATAATTCTTCAGAAGGTTATAATCAGATGATAGATCTGATAGGACAAGACTTTTGTGCCCAATCTGAGCGTTGAGTTGGTAGATCCAGCTTACATTGACATTTAGACACAATCGTTGCCGATTGTTCATTTCGTGCTAAACTAATGTTGATTCAGAGATATCTAAGCATACTATCTCCTCCTGGTTCAAGAAAACCATATCTTATGCATATTGGGATCAGGATCAAGATCCTTGTAATCTCCCCATGTTATCAGAGCCTTGGCTTCATCTTTGGTGGCTTGGTCGTCAGTTCCGTTGGAACAAGTAGTTGCCAGTCGCCAATGGAAATCATCTTACATTTTTATCCATTTCTATCTTAGAGACGTTGCTTCTTCTCTTGAGGGTCTCCACTCACTGGGTCCTTTAGTGAGCAGCGCAGCACCTCGCCTCTGCCTGATTGCCCCTGGAAAAAGGTGTGTGTGTGTGTATGTGTGTTACACCTAAGCCTAGGATTACAGGATTGGATCAGACACAACCTACAGCAAGCCGGAGATACCACGTTAGGAATCATTGTATTCATTGGTATCTCCTAACCGAGCACATTATGGGCCGAGTCTCTCACTTCCCAGCTATGGTTGATAGCAACGGGTTGGTGAAAATATATTTTTTGTTAAGGTTGAGAGACCTTCAGTTCAATATATATATTAGTTGTTTTTGATACCGGAAGTGATGTCATCAACCGAAAGTGACGTCATGAGACAGGAAGTGACGTCATATTTCCGGAAATGATGTCAAATATCACCGGAAATGACGTCATAGAACCGGAAGTTACATCATATAATGGAATCTGAAGGTTTTTAGTCTAATATCCTTAGGGATTGCTTCAAGGATCCGGCAGTGACCTCATAGTTACCGGAAGTGACGTCACAATTTTAAGGAATTTTAGGTTTAATGACATTTTGGGATTTGGATAGAATCATGATACATTTATATGAATTTATCGTAATCCGGATTTATGGCGTCAGGGATTATATAATCCCTACTATTACGGATTAGGATTATCATGATATCTATTACATCAACCATAACTGTGGGAAGTTAGAAGACTCACCATCTCTGGGAATGTATTCCCTCACTACTACTGACCAATCTAAAGATAAATTATTTATCTCTGACTAAGTCATAGTTATTCTTAGGAGGTTGAGTAATCAACTCTCAGTGGTATAGAGGGTAGTATCTTCCAAGGGTAACCCTCCTTCCTTACTTGGGATTCAGGCTACCATAATCCAGAGGGAATGTTTACGTTATAATTAGGAACAATTACATGTATTGTTAGTAATTGTTAGTAAAATTACCTCTGGATTATGGGGAGTAGTTCCCACCCTGTGTCCTCCCCGCGAAATTATCCTTAGAAGATGTCATAGATGTGTTGTTTTTTAGAAAAATGATGAAGGGGTTCTAGGACAACAATACAGTGACGTCGGGATCAAGGGAGATAACTCAGGGGTAGATTAGGTATACCACTACAGTCTGTTTGGCTCAAAAGCGGAACGATGAATTGCAATCTAACTCGAAAACTAATAAACATAACATACTCAATGAAACGCTGATCATAATCAAAACATCATACCCACTCTGTGAGGTTTTTGCAGAATTATTGTCCTAAAAATAAGAAAGTTGTTTAACAAACTATCATTAAAATATTGACACAGTTCACTGTTTGTTACAAGGGAGGAGTGCAGAGAAAGGGACAGCCAGGTGTTCGAGAAGCACGTTCACAGACAAAGTTATTTATTCATTAACCTGTGCTGTGCCGTCTCCATCCGTTCTCGAACACCTGGCTGTCCCCAGTCTCAAGAGAGGTTGACTGGTCATGTTTTTGTTGACATTCAACTTCATCTTAAACTTCATTACTTTTTAAGTTTGATTTGATTATTTGCAGCGGGGATTATGTCACCTTCGTGACAATGCTTGTTGTTAACATGATTATATCATGAACTGCTGTACCCAATGTCTTCAAATTTGGTGACCGCCTACATTGGGGGATTTACACTAGTCGATTTGGGTGACCCTGACCTTATTTTCAAGGTCACCAAGACACTGACCAATTTTCAAACTCTTGTTAGCGCAATATCTCGTGCACTGTTGCACCCAATATCTTCAAATTTGGTGACAGCCTACATTGGGAGATTACACAGACACCAGTTGATTTGGGTGACCCTGACCTTATTTTCAAGGTCACCAAGACACTGACCAATTTTCAAACTCTTGTTAGCGCAATATCTCGTGCACTGTTGCACCCAATATCTTCAAATGTGGTGACAGCCTACATTGGGAGATTACACAGACACCAGTTGATTTTGATGACCATGACTGTATTTTCAAAGTCACCATGACACTTTGACCACTTTTCAGACTTGTGTTTATGTGATATCTCATGCACTGTTGTACCCAGTGTCTTCAAATTTGGTGACAGCCTACATTGGGTCATTATGCCAGTCAATTTGGGTGACCTTGACCGTATCTTCAAGGTCACCATGACACTTTGACCACTTTTCAACCACATGTAAACACAATCTTTCATAAAACGTTGCACCCTATAAGGGTACCCGGGTAGAAAATTTGGATCAGTCCCAGCCTCAAATGCACATTGATACTGACAGTGGATATGTGCATCTGCATCTATACATTCAAATCTACTATATTCCTGAAATATCTTCAGAGTTAAAAGAAGATTCTGAGAAGTGACCATTACTAAAAATTACATCACACAAAAGGTAATCTTCTCTGTGACCAAAAGATAAATCTAGTAAATATGTTATATTTCATTCTTCTTTAGCAGTGGGGGTCATTGCCATGTAAGTGGCAAACACTTGTTCAGTATTGCTTTAATGTGGTTGTGTAAAAAATGCATATACCTGACATATGTGTTTCTTGTCTTATAAGAGATTATGTCTCAACCATTTCAGGACAAATTAAAGCATGGATGATGGAAAAGGCTATTCTAAAGTCTTTTTCTCCTAAATAAGACTGTCATTCCCACACTATTTGGTTGCAATCGAACATGTTTGTGTGTGTGTCCAGCATGTGGTGTTTTGTTTTGTTAAGGCCCAATTTGCCTACACCAGGGCCCAGTTTCACGTGTGGATCCAATCATTATGACCATGGTAACTCATTAATGTGCAGGAGTAACAACAGGCATATGCTTAGATCCGTTTGTAAAACAGGGCTCTTTATTCTACATTTATCGCTCTTTAATTCACATCATTTTACGCTCAAAATTACTTCAAAGTTTAAGATATTACTAGAAACTGTTTGGTTTGAGGCTAGAGTCTTCTGTCACTGCATATAATTGTCTGTCAGCTGCAGTGTATATTTGCTCATGTCTACAGGAATGGATTCAGCAGAACAACGTACTGTCAATAGTTCTCCGAGACAGCCTGCATCAGCCTCAGTATGTGGAGAAGCTGGAGAAGATCCTCCGCTTCATGATCAAGGAGAAGGCCCTCACCATGGAGGATCTGGACCGGTTGTGGGAGGCGCAGTCAGGGAAACATGATGCCATTGTGAAGAATGTTCATGACCTGCTGGCCAAACTAGCATGGGATTTTACCCCCGAACAGCTGGACCATCTGTTCGAGTGCTTCCAGGTCAGTTTATTTCAAAACTAGCTTCACTCTGAGAAAGACTGAATGAATATTTCCTATTTCTGGCCTTTTGCAGCAGTTTATTTTCAAGGTTTGTTACCAATGCTGATGAAGGTTTTCTTGGTGTTGATTATTGAAAATGCGTTGCTATATGAAAATGTCATTTATCTTTAATATGATGTTGCCTTACAGGGTAGCTGGAATAATGCTACTAAGAAACAGCGTGAGAAGCTCCTGGAGTTGATCCGTCGTCTTGCCGAAGATGACAAGGAAGGTGTGATGGCCCACAAGGTTCTCACTCTACTGTGGAATCTAGCCCACAGTGATGACGTCCCTACAGAGATCATGGACCAAGCTCTCACTGCTCATATCAAGATCTTAGACTACAGCTGCTCTCAGGTAGGATGGGCTTGATTATGCAGTCTCTTGACACATGTGCACCTTATTCGTAAAACCATGTTGTGTTTGGATTTCTCAGGGATATCGTATGATATGTGTCCCCGTTATAGCCCTGGGAAATCTTTTCAACACATTGATCAGTTATTTTAAGGTAAAGGTCATTGTAAAGCTCATAGTATGAAAAGAAAGTTGTTTGCTGTGTTCCTTTGAGGATTTACTGTTGTGAACAAAATTGCAACATGTTGTGATTGACTTTTGTGGACACGGTCAAAGTGAAGGTCATTCATTCTGTTTGCCACTTTCAATATTCGTGCGCCACTGTTGAAGTCTTTTGCATTGTGTATGTATGCCCTAATTTGACTTAGGGGCATATTTGGTTCATTTGCTGATACAGTCATCCCTCGCCATAACGCGGGTCTTGGGGTTCATGGATGACCCCCCGCGTTATTAGGCACCCGCGTTATAGTAACTATTGCATAACGCGGGACAAAGGCCAAGTAAAATCGTATTTTCCATGGACATAACAAAACTGCTATTTCGTGTATTGTGCCCAGTCGAAGCCATATCGTATTGTTGGAGGTGAAAAAAACAAACTTTGTAAATGAAAATACATGTGTGTACTGGAAACTTGCAATCAAACATCAACATGTTTTGGTCCAATGTACTGGTGATTCAGTTAAAAACGATCCGATAACATAACATCAAAGGATTTCTTGTTCCATTATCAGAATAATTTATATCTTAAACAGTTATTTTAACAGAGATATTATATATTGCTATCGTATTAGTATAATGCATGTTACCTGGCTGGATACATTTTACGTAGGAGACAGTTTGACAAGTCACCGCTGACTTCCCGAGTTACGTCAGTGTTCCCGAATAGCGTCTGACCCTCTCACAAATCCGGCAGATCCGCCAACGGTCCGATAGAAGTCTACAACCCGCCCGCCCCAGTGTCAGACTGTATATTTCACAATGACTTTCACTGAAGTTGTTATATATGTGACATGTGACACTTGTTTGCCCTTTATAAATCTTATTATGTTTGTTAAAAATTTCAATGCCAGTTATAAGAACTGTTAAATATGAAATGTGTGTTTTAATTTTTTTCTATGGGTCCTGTGAATTTTGAATGGGTCAGACAGACATCTGAAACTTACAGGACCCAATGTCCTGTTACTTTGAAACACCATTCGTGAACACTGTTACGTGCCACTTTGATTGTAAAAACAAGTGTTGACAACTAATTGTCAAATATGACTTCAATGAGTCAATAACGTGGGTCTTGGGATCCATGGATGACGAGGCTGTAATCTGTTCGTGATTGCTGAGAAAAATGTGAAATTGGTGCTATTGCGGTAGGCGCAAAAAACGGACCCTTACGAATGTGGTAAGCGGAAGTTGTATGGAATGAGGTAATGCCATTTCACTCACGGTTTCTACGTTGTTACTGTAAACAGTTTAATGAATGAAAATGGGATTGAATTTAATCACATAAAATGTGTTTTCTGACATCATACGTTCTCGGATGGCAGTGTTTACCGCGTAATAACGCGGTGTGTTGCATCACAGCAAACATTGTAAGTACTCGGCTGATGGCATGTCTTTATGATTAGGTTGTCTTTTATAAGTTATTATGATGTTTCGCTGTTCGTCTGATTATTATTGAGAAAACCCTGCATGTTTAAAAGTATCTGAAAAACCATGGATAAATACGATGAACACTGTTAATTGCAATCCGCACTGAATTTCACTAGTTTACCACGTGATTAACCAGAGCTCAACAGCGCATTTGTGTATGTGCTATTTTCGATGACGTGAAGATGTGATCGCTGGGCAACTTTTTTATGGGAGCCATGGATTACCCCGCGGTTTAACCGAATCCGCGGTATCGCGAAGAGCGTTATTGTGAGGGATGACTGTATCTCTGGAGAATGTTCTTCAAATACTTGCTACTGAAATTGAAGGTCATGTTTACACCTTCTATATGTTGTCATGAAATAAATTTACCAGATTGAAAAAATTGACAGATTCAAGCAAGACTAATAGCCTGATTTGCAGATTCAAAAATGTTATAGCTTCTTGGATTGATGCAATATGAAGTTCCAAACTGAATGTAAATTAACTTGTTCAAACGTCATCCCCCCTGTTTCCTTTGTAGGACCGAGATGCTCAGAAAATGCAATGGATCAACAGGTTTGTGGAGGAGCTCAAAAATGACAAGTGGGTGTTGCCATCATTGAAGCAGATCCGGGAGATATGTCAGCTGTTCCCAGAAGCCCCACAGAACTTCCCCCACACACAGAGGTCTCCCCATATGTACTACAGGAACAGTGTCATTGGTCAGCTGCAGAATCAACATTCAATTGTTATGCTTGTTTCTCAGAATCTCTCCGCATACATGAACAAAGCCAGACAACATAACAAAGGTAACATTCTTGTTCAGTTCCTTGATTTAAAGTTATGGAGAGGGGAAGCCAAGTAGTTAATAGATTCCATTTGGGGATGCTAGGTAATTATCTTAGTCCCCAGTAGCCTTTGATCGTCATAAATGGTGACTTTGGATCAAGAGATCAGGCTTGGTTGATTGCATGTCACCACATCCTTTTTGTGTGGCAAGTGGTTCATGTCAGTCACTGAATTGTCTGGTGCAAACTCAATTATTTACAGATCGCTATCTTATAGCTTAATGCTACATTATCAAAGTCTCTCACATGTCACTCTCAAGAGATTTTTGTGATAGCTTTTGTGGGTGCAGCATGTGAAGCAGAACATGGTATCTCCATGCCATCATGTCTCTGGAATATTGCTAAATCCTGTGTTAACCCAGCCCCTTTCTTCTATTATTCAAGCTTTTGTAGCCTTTATAACTCAGATTCAGTTTTAGGCCGCATCCGTGGTGTAGTGGTTAGAGCGTCCGCCCAGAGAGCGGAAGGTTGCGGATTCGATCCCCGACCGCGTCATACCAAAAGACGTTAAAATATGGTACTTGTTGGTCCCTGCCTGGCGCTCGGCATTAATGGGTACAACAAGGACTGGTCGGCTCCGAGTCAGTATATCGGTCTGAGTGGGGTATTCATGCTTCACTGCGGCATGGTATCTCAGTGGGCTAGCACTATGACACCAGCTTAAGTCTGGGCTAGTACAAGGTAAATTAACTTGTTCAAACGTCATCCCCCCTGTTTCCTTTGTAGGACCGAGATGCTCAGAAAATGCAATGGATCAACAGGTTTGTGGAGGAGCTCAAAAATGACAAGTGGGTGTTGCCATCATTGAAGCAGATCCGGGAGATATGTCAGCTGTTCCCAGAAGCCCCACAGAACTTCCCCCACACACAGAGGTCTCCCCATATGTACTACAGGAACAGTGTCATTGGTCAGCTGCAGAATCAACATTCAATTGTTATGCTTGTTTCTCAGAATCTCTCCGCATACATGAACAAAGCCAGACAACATAACAAAGGTAACATTCTTGTTCAGTTCCTTGATTTAAAGTTATGGAGAGGGGAAGCCAAGTAGTTAATAGATTCCATTTGGGGATGCTAGGTAATTATCTTAGTCCCCAGTAGCCTTTGATCGTCATAAATGGTGACTTTGGATCAAGAGATCAGGCTTGGTTGATTGCATGTCACCACATCCTTTTTGTGTGGCAAGTGGTTCATGTCAGTCACTGAATTGTCTGGTGCAAACTCAATTATTTACAGATAAGCTATCTTATAGCTTAATGCTACATTATCAAAGTCTCTCACATGTCACTCTCAAGAGATTTTGTGATAGCTTTTGTGGGGTGCAGCATGTGAAGCAGAACATGGTATCTCCATGCCCACCATGTAGATCTGGAATATTGCTAAATCCTGTGTATTCCCAGCCCCTTTCTTCGTTGTTCAGGCTAGTAGCAATTGTAGCCTCACCTCAACTCAGATTCAGTTTTAACATGATCTCAAGCACATTCAGCACTATTCCAAAAGCAAGACTTAGGCATTTCCAGTGCTTCAGTCAGGCAAGCTATTGCTCCATTGACACTAAAAAATATGCAGTGGCACTTTTTATCCCACCGGCATATAATGCGATATGGGATATAGTCGTCCGTCTGTCGAATCCGGTCAATCCGTCCATCCGTAATCATTTTGTTTCGGACCATAACTCAAAGACCGTTCAATATTTTTTAACCAAAATTGGTAGATATGTCAAACATAACCTAAGGTGGTGCCTTTTGCTATTTACAGATAATTGTCATTTTATTTTTCTCGGTTTCCATGGAAACGCTTTTGGACTTAGTCTTAAAGAAGGGTGGGCTTCGTTTCGGAGCATAACTCAAGAACCGTTCAATATTTTTCAACAAAACTTGGTAGATATATCAAACAGATCCTAAAGTGGTGCCTTTTGCATTTCACAGATTTTTGCATTTTTATTTTTCCGGTTTCCATGGAAACGATTCGGACTTAGTCCCAAAAGTGAGGGGTGGGCTTCGTTTCCGGAGCATAACTCAAGAACCGTTCAATATGTTTCAACAAGACTTGGTAGATGTATGAAACAGAACCTTAAGTGGTGCCTTTTGCTATTTGCCGATTTTTGGCATTTTTATTGGCGTTTCGCGGGGGTATTAAAATGGACTCGATCCGTCGTCGAGTCCGTCCGTCCGTCCGTCCGTGCACATTTGTCTTTTCCGGAGCAGAACTCTAAAACCGTTCAATATTTCTTCACCAAACTTGGCACATACATGGATCTGGTGGTGTACTGGTGCCTTTTGGTAGTTTTGGAATTCTGAATTAAATGTTTTTGGCGTTTCCATGGCAACAAGTTCGACTTTGACTGAAATTAGTGGTAGTGCTCTTTTCGAACGGAGCAGAACTCTGAAACCGTTCAATATTTCTTCACCAAACTTGGTACATGGATAGATCTGGTGGTGTACTGGTGCCTTTGGTATTTTTGGAATTCTGAATAAAATATTTTTGGGTTTCCATGGCAACAAGTTCCACTTAGACTGAAATTGGTGGTGTGTGCTCTTTCTGGAGCAGAACTCTAAAACCGTTCACTATTTCTTCACCAAACTTGGTACATAGATAGATCAGAACCTTGTACTGGTGCCTTTTGGTAGTTTTGGAATTCTGAATAAAATTTTTGGCGTTTCCGGGCAACAAGTTTGACTTAGCCTGAAAGTGGTGGTAGTGCTCTTTTCCGAGCAGAACTCTAAAACTGTTCACTATTTCTTCACCAAACTTGGCACATAGATAGATCTGGTGGTGTACTGGTGCCTTTTGGTAGTTTTGGAATTCTGAATAAAATATTTTTGGCATTTCCATGGCAACAAGTTTGACTGAAATTGGTGATAGTGCTGCTTTCTGGAGCAGAACTTTAAAAACCTTTCAATACTCTCCTTCCACTTTTCTATATACACACCTAAATATTTCTATATACACACCTAAATATTTGACATAATCATAACTCGTAGACATAATCATGAAGAGTATTTTGCCATTGCCGGGGATATTGATGACTTTATCTTCTTGTTATTTTTCTTGGTTTCCATGGAAACATTTTGGACTTAGTCTCAAAAAGTAAGGATTGCTTTCGTTTCCGGAGCACAACTCAAAAACCATATAATATTTTTCAACAAAACTTGGTAGATATATCAGACAGATCCTAAAGTTGTGCCTTTTGCTATTTGCAGATTTTTGGCATTTTTATTTTCCGGTTTCCATGGAAACGATTCGGACTTAATCCCAAAAGTGAGGGGTGGGCTTCGTTTCCGAGCACAACTCAAAACCTCTCTATATCTTTCAGCAAAACTTGGCAGATATGTGAGGCAGATATTGAAGTGATGCCTTGTGCTATTTGCGGATATTTGTGATTTATTATTTTCTCGGTTTCCATGGAAATGATTTGAACTTAGTCTCAAAAAGGAAGGGATGGGTTTTGTTTCGAGCACAACGAAAACTTCTTAATATCTTTCAGCAAAACTTGGCAGATATGTGAGGCAGATCCCAAAGTGGTGCCTTTTGCTATTTGCAGATTTTTGTCATTTATTTTTTTTCATGATTTCCATGGAAACGATTTGCACTTAGTCTAAAATCAAGCTGGACTTTAAGTAACTGTCAGATGATTTGTTCTTTCAAAGATGTGGGGGCCGGGGGAATATGTCATCTTCTGATGACTCTTGTTTTCAGTGCTAGAGCGTACCCATTGGCGCAACATTAAATATAATCCACAAGTCTTCTATACCATGGTTACCATGAATGGCAAAAGTCTCAACTGCATTGGCACACATTTTAGTAGTTAAGCTGCCAATTGGCAACACTCAAAAAAAATCCTGGCTGAAGCACTGCATTTCAGACAGTGGACATGACGAAACCCCAGCCAGGATCATAAAGTATTCATACCAAGTATGTTTAAAAAAATAAGACAAAGTGTGTGTTTACCTCCTAAATTTAGAGAAATGTATCATATTTCAGAACATCCAGAAGAAGAGCCTCTTCACATTCTCCCTGATGGAAGATTCAATCATGTCATGCAAGTGCAAGAAAGACTTAGATTCCTCCGGTAAGAACATTTTATATTTATAAAACCGGGTCTATGAAGTATCTCTCTTTTCTAAAATGGAAGTAAATTAAGATGTCTATAATGCAAGATATGCATCCTCGTTGATTGTATTTCTCTGTCTCTATCTCCAGATTCCTGTTGAAGGATGGGCAGTTATGGCTGTGTGAACCTCAAGCAAGACAGGTGAGTTATCTGATTTGAACATGGTTTGTTTTGAGTTGGATATTTAGTAGATGTAGACTATTTAATAATACAATTGTCTTTAAAAATACTAATTTCTTTTGTCAGATCTGGCACTGTTTGGCTGAGAATGCAATTTACATCACAGACAGGGAATCATGTTTCAAATGGTTTGCAAAGGTAAGTCAGCAGTCTGTGTTACTGTTATGCTTGAACCTGACTCTCTGTTTCAGGTTTGATGGAATCCCATTTGTGCTCAGTATTACAGAAAGTCTAAGTTGTCTGACTCAAATATCAGGAATTGTCTTCTCCCAGAAATACTGTTTCTTATGTAAATAGACATTATATCTGGTAATAGAAATGGCTCATTTTAATGTATTTTCACTTAAAAGTATCAACTGTTATTGATGAGCATGTGTGATTACAGCTGATGGGAGAAGAACCAGATCTGGATCCTGAAATCACAAGAGATTTCTTTGAGAGGAACATTCTACAGCTTGACCCTGCACTGCTCACAGAAAATGGAATGAAGTAAGTGTTATCAGTTGAAGTAATTTGAACTACTACTCAAAAAACAGTGCCATGATTTCAATGATATGTTCTGTTGGCAAAATAATGTTAGTCAATTCTTTGTCATTGAAGTAAGAAGTAATGATTGCGTTATAATCGCATCAGGTTCTGATCAAGAATACTTTTGCTTCCAGCTGTTTTGAAAGGTTTTTCAAGCAAGTGAATCTAAAGGAAAACAAGCTCATTGCCAAACGAAGAGGAGGCCACATGATGGACGACCTGGAGTTGATAGGACTGGATTACATGTGGAGGGTTGGTTACATTGTTCTATCAGATGGAAATTTGTCAGGATTGATTAGTGTCTCAAAATGCATTTGATGATCGATCATGAACGTGACAGAGAAAATCATGCACATAAGCTACCTCTGTCATTGTCTTGCTTCTTCATCATTGAATCAGAATTCTTCAGGTACAAGCTCCCCCAGCCGTGATTTTGCTGGAATATTGCTAAAAGCGGCGTAAAACTAAACTCCCTCTTCAGGTACATAGCAGTAAATAGAATGGCAAACTGATGTTTTACTTTTGGTTGTGGTAAGTGTTCAGTGTGGTGCACTGTGTTGTAGAAAAATATGGTGTATTCTTTGCTGTTGATATTGATAGTTCTCTCTTCACTTCAGGTTGTGCTATGGAGTCCAGATGAAGTTGCTGAAAAAGCAATTGCTCTTTTGAAAGACATTTTTACAAACCTTGGACCAAGGTTACAACAGAATCAAATTGAGATTCATGAGGACTTTATACAATCATGTGTGGATAGACTAAAAGCCTCGTTTGACACAGTGAGTGTGTTGGAAAAGGATGCTGATAGCACTAGTAGGGTGATGCAGGAGACAATACGCATGGTCAGGATACTCACAGTGCTGAAGGAGTATGTGGCAGAGTGTGATGAAGCTTACGGGGAGGAACGTACCATCCTTCCTCTCAGCAGGTATGTCAGTTTCCTTTTACTGTCCTATGCCCTGTTTCGTTAAGCATTCATAATGTTACGATTGTTGTAACTTCAATAGCTTAACATAGACTTAAGATGGAAACCCATGAAGATCCGGTTAGAATTGATCTTCAGTAACCCATGCTTGTTGTAAGAGGCGACTAACGGGATTTGATGGTCAGGCTCGCTGACTTGGATGACGCATATCATCGTATCCCAGTTGCTTAGATAGATACTCATGCTGTAGATCACTTGATTGTTTACAGACTGCCGCCATATAGCTAGAATGTTGCTGAGTATGGTGTAAAACTAAAGTCAATCACTTACGATGGTCATAGCACCACAGCTGCTTCTCTATTCATAAGTGGGACCGAGCATTACAGCTGCCACAAGGCAGTATATATGACTGAGTAACATGGCGCATCACAAAGTCTAAGAGGGAATTATTACCCTGGATAACACGAGATGCCCGTGAGGCACTAGGAGGTTGATAGTGACATGACTTATCAAACATGTACCCGTTTTGTGCTGGGTGGACAGAGGCATTCTTGAACAAACTTGCTTGCCTCAGGGGTGACTACATGTATCACATGCCACCCATCCAAGGACTCTCCACGTTCGATGTTGCTTACCTTCAACTGATTTGTGACATGGGCTCTATGCACAGGACCACACACCACCAATTGGTCTTCAGCAACCCATGCTTGTCATAAGAGGTGACTAACGGAATCGGTTGGTCTGGCTTGCTGACTTGGTTGACCCAATTGTCGTATCCCAATTGTGTACATGATGTACATGATATTGATCACTGGATGGTCTGGTCCAGACTGGATTATTTACAGACTGCCGCCAGAATATTGTTGAGTGTGGTGTTAAACAACAAAGAAACAAACAAAAACTGAAAAACAGTCACTTGGAGCTAAGATGATCTTGTGGAACAGGGCCCTAGTCAGTGATCTTAGTGTTAAATATTGGTCATTGTTGATGCATGGAAGTACATAGTCATAGCAGTATGATCGCATGGTAGAATGAGGTCTTAGGTTGGTCCAGTAATCGTTCAAGGATTTTGCTACAGAAAAAATGCTTTGTTATGGAAAAAATGCCTGTTCAGTTGTAATTGCCAAGATGAATTGATTATGTAAGACAATGACAGTATTCCAAATAAGTAGTAGGGATTGTATGGGTGTTAATAGCAATGACCATGTTTGGCATAGACAATCAGTGTTGGAATTAAGGGGGCATCTTAAAGTTTGCTGCCATAGTTTTTTTTATCTAAGAGCCCTTTAAATCTTAAACTTTTTACATGGTGTTTAAGAGAAGGGCCCCTGGATGTTTAGGCATACTTTTGAGCACTAATAATAGAGAAGTTATTCTGGTCACACAGTTTTATTTAAAAAAAATCACATTTATATGTATTCCTCGTCATGCTCAACATTGTATATGATGTGTTTGTTTCTTTGTAGAGCATGTCGTGGCAAACTAGTAACTCTTAAAGTTCGGTTCCCCAATCAGGGGAGACAAGTCGAAGATCTGGAGGTATGGTCTCACAGCAATGATACAGTTGGTTCATTACGGAGATATATCTTATCAAGAGTCAAGGCCAATGCAAACAACATCAAAGTAGATCTCTATGTCAATGGTGAACAGCTAGACCCAAGTGAAGACAAGAAACTAATTTCACAGATTCCTCTTAGAGACAAGATGGTGAGTTTATTTTCTTTTGTGAATAGATGAATGTACTTGTTACTTGTAAGCATGTGCTTTTTTTTTTAGTAGATAATCTATGAATTACTCGTGAAAATCAATAAATCATCTGAACTACAGATGATTTTATCATATCTAAGTATGTTAAATATTTCACTGTATTTTTCCACTCATTCCTTGGTGTCAGCAGAATTTGGCTGGAATACTATCCAAAAGAAATATAGATTCAATGTGCTGATAACTATATAGATTTACGTAGAACTACTCAGAGGCCAGGATATGCTTTCAGATCTTCAGCAAATCTCAGTAATAAATCCTCACTCATGCTTAAATTGTGCCATATAATATTATGGCGGGCAGTGATGACTTTGTCTCTGCTGGGAGAGTGGATAGGGAATTGTTATAATAATCCTGAATTCAGGGTTACAACATTCTTTTATCAGTGTGCCTTCAATATCACTTAGCTTGAAATCCTAAATATGTTTTTATGTATGAGGTAATTGTTTGATCATTTCCTTGTATGATATGTTGCAGACTGTAACTGCCAAGCTAGTTCAAGTTGGGAGCAACATGCCCTCAAGCCCAGACAGTAGCTCTGACAGCTCTGTTGGGTCACCTCACAATGCCTATGATGGACCCAATGTGGAGGCTGAAAACAGCCTGCCAGGAGTGGTCAGTTCTTCATATTTGTTTCAGATATAATTACAGATAAGCTGTCAAGATTTCAGTTTATGGTATATCAATGTTTGTTTCAGGAATTGTATTGTGGAAGTTTTAAACAGATTGAAAACACCATTATTCCTTTAAAAGCTTTGAAGTTCTAGCATTTCTAACTGTATTGTGTATCATATCGTTGCATTAAAAGTCATGATGCATGGGTGTAACACTTCAACCCTATGCTTTTGTTTTCCAGCTGATGGCTCAAGACCCTCGATATGCTCAGTTTCTCTTCCAACTGTCGGACCTGGGTGGTCAGCTGCAAGTACCCAAGCTACGAGATACAGCCAGAGCAGTACTCAAGCTGATGCCAGCTGGTATGTTCATAATGGCTTCTACTTATCATGTGATTGTGATATCTTTTTCATGCTTGTTCAGATATAAATGTGAACAGATGGTGTGCACACTCGATGTCCATAGACACACAAAAAGAATTAAGTCAGTTAAAATAAATAAATAAATAATGAAAATGTTAGAGACAAACACGGAAGAGACGGAAACATGTACTTAAAAAATACTGCTTGTTTTTAAGTGCAATTTTGCCGTTTATTTTGTTTAATTCAGGTGAGGAAAGGGCAAGAAGTAGCCCTGAAATGTTGATTAAAACAGTGGGAACTGTTTCTTATGAGTCTCCTACTCATCATCATAATCATCACCTTCATTGAGAGGTGTCATTAGTGTTTGTATCCTATTGCAGGACACTCGTTTGTGCGTATTTCTTAACACTGTTTCACACTGCAGATGGGACTACAGTTCAGAAATTCCGAGGAATTTGTTCTGAGAATGCAAAGGCTGATGGATCAGTTGCAGTGAGCCTGGAAGCATTGTTCTTCAATTCTTCTCCTACTCAAGTTCTTTATAATATTGAGGTAGGGAAAGCATGCCTCATATGTTTTCACATACTGTTCACATGATCATTCTGATGAATATTGAGGTAGGGAAAGCATGCCTCATATGTTTTCACATACTGTTCACATGATCATTCTGATGAATATTCATGTAGATACACTTTCTTGCTTTAGAAGGCCTTCACATTAAAGTAAACATGAATTGTTTCTGTCTCTGTTCCAGACTGCTTACAGTTTGCTTATGCCTGCAGTGGATCCATTGGTTGAAGAAGCCTTTGAGTTTCAGGTCAGTCTGGATTTACTGTTGATATCTTTAGAAAAACTGAATCGAACCTAAACTTATTTTGAAAGAATGGCTGAATTAGAACTGAGGCCCAAGTTTTTTTTCATTGTAATGTAAGTAGTGTCTGACAGTAATTTAGATATTTCAGATTTTGTGTCATTGTTCATTTTGTTTTCAATTGTAGTTGAACTTTGTGAGAAGTGGAGGTGTTCAACTTTCCATCAACATGCTGACCAAGAACAACTTTCTGCCTAATGCTGACCTGCCAACACGAAGGTATGAAACAAATCATTTAGACAGGATATGTACTTTGGATAACATCATGTGTCAAGGATTTCTGTGTTTTATGATGCTGATTCAATGTTTTACCGAAATGGGACAATGATATAAACATCTTGTTTGTTTCCAATTTCTATAAAATCTAATATAGTGATGATTGTTTTCATCAGCCTCCAGCTATTGTGCTGTATTTTGTGATATTCTCATGATATTTTATTATGATTTTGGATTAATTTTCAGAGCTGCATACTTGACAGTTCTGAAGGTGTGTAAGTTGATGCTGACGACGGTGGGCCATGCAAAGGTGCAGGTAGTGGTGGATGCTTGTCATGCAGAGTCCCAGGTGCCGGCTGTGTCGGTAGTTGAACACAACCAGGCTGCAGCGTTACAGCAGGCTCTTCTACATATTCCCAGTCCTGATGCTGAGTTCACGACCAGAAATGTAGCATTGAGACTTGGGCAGAATCTAGGAGAACAGGTTAGTGCTTGTTATGATGAGAGCCTTCAACAGTCACTCTTGTCTGTGACTGCTAAATTGTGCTGAACTAGTAAAAATCCATGATGGTAGTCCTCATGACCACTACCACATGAGGGCTCAATGAGTTTTCAAGACTTCAATTTTGATAGAAAAATATAACTGAATTTTACTGACAGGAAATTAAAGGATGGTTAACATTTGTGTCTCTTTAAAGCTCCATTTGCTACAGCCTCTGAGGTCGAGTAATATACGCTAGTCCCCTGGACTAGTCTTAACACCCCATACCACACCCCACACCCCAAAGACTGTATTGGTTGAAAGAAATTGTTGTATGCAGGTGTTCGTGATGTTGCATTTGTCACAGCAGCTGCACTTTGTTGAGTGATGACAGCCAGATCATGGCAGCTTTTATGTAATTGACCCAGCTAACCATGTTTTGGTGAATTATTCATTCACTATGTATTATTCTTTGTCATGGCATGTGTACCTTTGTGAAAGTCCCTTGAAGTGTACATTAAAAGCAAACTTCATATGTATTGACCGAAAAATATTTGTGAGGTCCTGGTTGGTGTCATATTTCTACACTTCTCTTTGCAGGCCACTAGTGTGTTACCAGACTTGGCAACTGTGAAGTCCATACAGAAGATAGCCTGGGCAGCTAGTAGCTGTTCTCTTCATCTTGTCCATGCCTCAATAGAAGACATACACAGAGCACACGAGAAGGTATGCATGTCAAAGATGAATACAAGTAATGACAAGAGTTCTTTGTGTCTTGTACATTGATGTAAATCTAATAAGAATTGATACCAACGAATTGCCCATTTGGAGACAGAGGTAACTGAATGTTGAGAAAGAGTGTTATTGCAATGTAATGTTAATAGAGATGTGTCTAATGTATATCCCCAAGTTACAGTATACATGTTGATAGTTAAGGAAAGTTTTGCTTTCCCAAATTTAGAAAAAAAGATGTTGTGATCTTTTAAACTGTGTATTGTCACCTATATTCATCCTGGAATGTGATAACAATATATAGTTTAGATGGTTTCTCAGAATGACAAATTGAATGTACCCTTGGTTAGTGTTGTTGGAATCAACCAGAATTACGAGTTGACTAAGTAAGCACACTTTCTTGTTTCAGCCTAAAGACTATGTGCCCTCTGATATGGAGGATATTGGAGTGGCCCGAGAAGCTCTAGAAGTGCTGACAGTATGCCTGGCCCTGTTCCCTGCAGCTCTTGATGCTCTCCACAAAGACAAGGCCTGGCAGTGTTTCATCATTGATCTGCTGCTCCTCTGTAGAAGCAGGTGAGAGGGGTGGAGGAGATACATTATTACTTCTTTTATCTTGTTTGGGTCTGGGCAAGAATAGGTCCCAGTACCCCAGGTCTGTTGTAAAGTCTGCCATATAGCTGGAATATTGCTGAGTGTGGCTGTAAAACTAAAGTCACTCACTAATCTGTTGTAATGTCCAATTAAAGAACCTTTTGTAGCCAGGCAGGTATGATTGGATGCTTGCTCATGCTTTCACTGTTTTGATGGGTCTTCTCATTTTTTGCTGGATTTCATATGGCTCGATTATGTTAACAAAGCATTTGGCAACACATGCTTCTCATTTATCCATGCATTCCATGGAGAAGCAGAGAGCTAGGCACATGTATGTTTCCATCATCAGACATCAGTAAAATGCACTGGGAGCAGTGTTGGTCGTTCTCTACTTGATTGAATTTATTTGGGGTCAGGGTTTATAAGACATCAGTACATATCACATCTAATCTGAATAGAATTGGTGTTCTGAAGATTTTTCACGGTGATCTGAGTATGTTTATGGATAGTCCTCCAGACAAATGTCAATAATACGTTTACATGATGTCCTGATAGGTCATTCCTCATTATCGTCAGCAATTTTGGAAAGGTTTTAAGAAATTTTGCATTTCATGTTTGGACATGTCGACATGGCACAGATTGGCACACTTAAATTGGTATTGGGTAGATGGAGAATGAGTGTGTGTATTTATATGTCACTTTATTTGAAAATGTGAGGTATATTATGTTACCAGACACTTGTCTGTTTTCAGCCGATCTGTGAGGATCTGTGCCACAGACCAGTTTTTCCTGATGGCCACACGATGCAGTACAAGTCACAGACCCCAGCATTTCATGATTACTCTGCTCTTCACAGTATTGTCGGTGAGTGGGACATTCAAACAAGAACCCATTACCTGGTGTTATGAATCAAGATAAATTATGAAGATCCAGGTTAGAATAGGTCTCCGTCAATGCATTCTTGTTGTAAGAGTTGGATTTCATTGTATTGGAATGTCTAGATCAATGCTCATAATATCAATCTGTGGTTTGTCTGGTCCACCTTTCACATACAGGCTATTGTCATATAGATGAAATATTACAAAAACAAGCAAACAAATGCTGCTGGAATATTGTAATATCCTTTATACATTTTGTCTTTGCATTTAATTTTGGCAGTTTCTTGGATATTCTTCAGTTTGTGAAGACTTGTTTTTGTACACACTGTATTAACATTGAATGTTCCAATTTCATTTCAGACAACCGCAAAAGACAATGCAAAACAGTCACATGAGTATTTCCAGCTTTTATGTAGGTAAGTATCACCTTGTGTTTTGGGAAAGATTCCTTCAGATTAAGTCAATAAACATTTCACCTTATGCAGAGCACTTGCCTTTTGGTTCAGGACAAAATGATAAATATGTTTCTCCATTTCAGGTTATTAAGTTATGCATTTGCAAGTGAAGCTAGTCTCTCTACAGCAGAAGCATTGCTGAATAATGAAATAGCATGGTTGAAAAGAGTCAGGGTAAGTAAAATCATCAAATAGTTTTTAGAAATATCAGCATGAATGTTGGGACATTAAAAGAGATGACTGAAACAGTTGACATGTTTGTTTTTGTAGTCACTGCATCACTGACTTCTCATGTAGCATTCTTTGCCTGATAATGAGGCGGCATGGCTGACCCAAGTGGTCTATCATGCAGGAACTCCATTTTGAAAATAGCTTCTCAACCAGAGATGATCTGTTTGTCACTGGCATGATTATTCCCAGACTAACCACAACCTAGATCTGTCGGGTTCATAACCATGCTCTTATCATAACCACGCTTTTATGAGTGGTAGAAGTGTGTCATAGTTAGCTGGAGAACAATTGTATGACTGAAAGTCCACCAGGATTAATCCATCATCTCCTCTACAGGTTGTGCCAGTAGGTCCACCAGTATTTGGATTTATTAACTGTATGTGTTACTGCTACAACAATGATTATTGGAAAGAAAGAAGTTCCAACACAAATTTTGTATCCTCACAATAGGATTTATTCAGTATTCAAAGCTATGCAGTTGTTGAAATTAAAGGGCCCCATGGTCTTTTATGTATTCTATGGTCTTTGAATCTAGAGACTCCCTCAATCTTTAACTTTTAACATTAGCATAATGACAAGGCCTCCTTGATTTTTATGTTTAGTTTCAACCATTGCCATTTATTGGCGAGTTGTATTGGAGTAATCTTTAGCCAGTGTGATGTTTGCTTCTCCAGGACTTTGTGTTGAATGGATCCGAGGTGCAGACAGAGGAGGCATTACTTGAGGGTCACTTAGGCATCACACGAGAGCTTCTTGCGTTCCAGTCCCCAGAGAAGAAATTCAACATAGGCTCAGAAAAGGGAGGATCTAATCTCATCAGGGTGAGAAGAATGCTTTATTCTTGTCTCATGTCCATTGTGCCCGGGGTAAATTACAGGGTTTGTACTCTTGATGCTCATCTGTTCATCTTCATGACACTGCTGCAGGTAGATGTTCATAACTGTTGACATGCTAAGTCAGTTCTACTTTATTGTTATGGTGCAATATACATTCAGGATTTCTGTGTCTCAAACCACTTTTTCCCTTTCAGGAAATAGTTGAAGATTTTATCTTCCCGGCATCCAAGATAGTGTTACAGTGTCGCAAATTGAATGGTGATTTTCCGGCAGAGCAGGCTGTGCCTGTCTGCTCTTCCCCCGTGACTGTGATAGCAGCTTTTGATCTCCTGGTAGCGCTGTGCACTGGCTGCGTGCACAACCTGCGCTTCCTTGCCGCCATGGTCATTGATATGTATTATACTAGTAAGTGTTCATCGTATATTGATGCATTAAAATATGTCAGTTTCAAGAAATCAGTATTCAGAATTAAGTGTAAAAGTCAAACAGTAAACATTGAGGATTGAGGGATGTCTAGAATCAAATGCTGTAGGAGAAAAATTAGATGACCCTATTACCCCCTTTCATTTCAAAAGACTGAAATAAGGTTTTCAAGTTAGACATGTGACTTTTACATGCTTATGTTAATCATTTACATGAAATGTCATATGTGTACTTATCTTTGTAGATGAGACTCCACTGTCAGAGTGGGAGTACTTACCTCCAGTTGGGCCAAGGCCATCCAAAGGCTTTGTTGGTTTGAAGAATGCTGGTGCAACATGTTACATGAATTCTGTATTACAACAAGTGAGTGTTTGGTTCTTAATGAATAGATTTAATGTAATCTGGTAAGACTACAGAATACTGGATACCTTCCATTATCTTTGAAAGCATGCGAGTTTACTTTTGTTTAGGGTAAGGTTTAGGGTCAGGGATAGCGTTAGGGTGATGTGATGCTAAACAACATGGCTGGTAGGTATCCAGTATTCTGTAGGTGTACCTGTAATCTCAGCTAGTGTAGAGACAAAGTAATCAGCTTGGGCAGCCATGCATCAGTGAAAGTTTTTCAGTTTGCTCTAAGATGGAAATGTAATTCTTCCCCAGCATAGCTCAGGTTTTGACATCAATAATACAAATATGCTATCTTCTGTGCTTGTGTTCCAGAAAGTAATACATTTGAACTGTTAATTTGTTTTCATAATGTATTTAGTGTGTTTCAACAATGTATCCATCTGTATAGTTGAACGTATTGTATATTTCAGTTGTTTATGATCGAGCCAATCCATAATGGTATTCTGGGTGTGGATGGCTGGTAGGTATCCAGTATTCTGTAGGTGTACCTAATAATCTCAGCTAGTGTAGAGACAAAGTAACCAGCTTGGGCAGCCATGCATCAGTGAAAGTTTTTTCAGTTTGCTCTAAGATGGAAATGACAGTAATTCTTCCCAGCATAGCTCAGGTTTTGACATCAATAATACAAATATGCTATCTTCTGTGCTTGTGTTCCAGAAAGTAATACATTTGAACTGTTAATTTCTTTTCATAATGTATTTGAGTGCATCTGTATAGTTGAGCGTATTGTATATTTCAGTTGTTTATGATCGAGCCAATCCGCAATGGTATTCTGGGTGTGGAGGGTGCAGCTGATGACATTGAGGAAGAGTTCATGAATGATGAAAAGGCAGAAGGGGAGGTAAGGGAAACTCTATTTCATGCTTAAAAGTTGACTGAAAGTAAGTCTTCCTGTGGTCATCATCCCCCAATGCCACACTATGATGGACAGTTTTTGTACCTCATTGTTTGCTGGAGACAACTCAAACAGTCTCCATATCCAGTGAGAAGAGACACCCCCATACCTAATGCTTGTTGTAAAGGCGAATGAAATCATAATCAAGTGTCTTGTGTCTATGTATGACTGTCATTTACTTCCAATAATGAAAGAGGCGGTGGGGTAGCCTAATGGTTAAAGCGTTGGCTCGTCATGCCGAAGACCCGGGTTCGAATGTGTGAAGCCCATTTCTGGTGTCCCCTGCTGTGATGTTGCTGGAATATTGCTAAAAGCGGCGTAAAACCAAACTCAGTCAGTCAGTCCAATAATGAAATTCATGATTTACCTCAGACCTTAACTTGATTGTTGTTGTATTTGGCTGTTGTAGACGAATGTTGACATGAGCGAGGAGGAGAAGAAGGATGATGACAAGGGGAACAAGGTGGAGGAGAGGAAAGACTATCACATGGGGGTACTCAAACAGATCCAGGTCATCTTCGGCCATCTCGCCGCAAGCAGGCTACAGTATCATGTTCCGAGGGGATTCTGGAAACACTTCAAGTGAGTGTTATTGCTGTAATAAAAGGAGGATTGCGTACCTCTGTATTATACCCTAATCCTGTCAATGTCCAGATGGCAAAATTTGTTTAAGTTTGATGCTTATTTTCTATAATTTGGGTAGTTAACTGCCAGGCTGAGAATCATAATGCCATAAAGTGGGTCTATTTTCCATCTTTTAGGTGCAGGTTTAGAATAAGTTCCATTTACCCCTTGCTTGTATGTATGGTTCTACTCTATGGTTTGAATTATCTCAATAGCTGTTAAATATGACTAGTGCTATTATTATTATCAATATTATCATTATTATATGGGTATTTATATAGCGCTATAGTCCATCCTGTCTACATGCATGCTCAAAGTGCTTTGTTTTTACCTCGATCATTGGATGTCAATCTCAACGGCACATCATATTTTCATTCTCAACACCCTGGGGATCATACATCTTGTGCAGCCACTTGGCACACAAAATTAATGTGGCTTTGCCACTGTTATCGCTAGGTACTTGCTACTCTCCTTGTCATGACAGGGCCTGGCTTCACAAAGTGATCTTAACTATTGTAAGTTTTGTCAAATGTAACAATGCTGATGCTTTGTGAAAGCATGAAAATATATAGATCGATTTTAAAAATGTTTTTGCTTTTCATTTCTAGATTATGGGGGGAGCCTGTCAACCTGAGAGAGCAACATGATGCTTTAGAATTCTTCAACAGTCTAGTCGACAGCTTAGATGAAAGCTTAAAGGCTTTAGGTCACCCAATGGCAATGACAAAGGTTTTAGGAGGATCATTTGCTGATCAGAAGATTTGTAAAGATTGTCCTCATAGGTAGGTACATGTTTCCATATTATCTGCAGTATTCGGTAGAAGTTATGAAGGGTATATTTTATTGATCAAATTATTGATTATATTGTCAACTTATGTAATATGGCATTTCAAGGTGTCTTCTTACTCCTTCATTAGGTATTCAGTTCGGAGTATATTCTTACTCCATCAGGAATTTGTTTTTGAGTATATCCTTCATCAGGTATTTGTTATGGAGTATGTTGTTAATCCACCAGAATATACTTCGAAATGTCATGTTCCTCATGCTACAGAAGTTGGTATCCCAAACATTTTATTTTATTATTCCTCTTTATGTGTATTACTTCTAAATGCCCATTTAATAGAAGTTACATCAGAAGAGATATTCTAGGATTGTACTAAGGTATATATACACTATGTATGTGTTATTATGCATGCGATGTTTTTCCAACAGTATCAGTAAATGCTTGTAGAAACTGTATTAGAATGAATAAGCAGGGTATTTGTTAAATGTTTGTTGTTTGTCCTCAGGTATCAAAGGGAAGAAGCTTTCACAACTCTGAATGTAGATATTAGGAATCATCAAAATCTGTTTGAGTCTCTAGAACAGTATGTCAAAGGAGACTTGTTAGAAGGTGCCAACGCATATCACTGTGAGAAATGCAACAAGAAGGTGAGTGAAGAGTGACTGCATGACAACTACTTTGACTAAGGCTGGAAATTCCAGCAGTGCTAGTTTCCTGAAAGAATCTACAACACCCTACTATATTCCTCCATCAAATTAGTGATGATTTGCCATAGCTGCTCTTTGTGGAAATATTAGGATACTTGACTTTGTTTCATTCAAGTTTGATTTGTTTTTTTATGATGTTGTATTCCATGTTGTTGTGTTTACTATTCTTTGTGTTCTATTGCTCAGGTGGATACAGTTAAAAGACTTGTGATAAAGAAACTGCCAAAAATCCTGGCCATCCAGTTAAAGAGATTTGACTATGACTGGGAAAGGTAAGGCTGTCTTGTATTAAGTCTCCAACCGTGGAACTAAAAGCTTTCTCAGTTGAACTTCTGAAAGTTGAATAGTTATGAGAAACGTCACAGTGTTGGTAGTCACAAGTGTGATACAATTGTTTTCAAATTTTGCTTTATGTCCTCCAGGGAATGTGCAATCAAGTTCAACGACTACTTTGAATTTCCACGGAAGTTTGACATGGAACCCTACACAGTTCAAGGTCTTGCCAAAATAGAAGGTGGGTAACTCAGTAGATTCTTTATGGAATTGAATTTATCAGTGAATGGGATGTCCAAGTACAGTAGTTGTAATGGATGTAGTCACAATAGGTAGCATCTTTTATTGTGCATTTTGAGTGGGCAGGCAACATGCTGTGATCATGTCATTAGTAGTTTGTCAGGGAATATTCAACACTGAGCCTGCATATGCCCCATACAGTTGAGCTGCCTTGAGAAGTGTTAGGACTTGAACCAATCAATAAGTCTCAAGACCAGGGTGGCATTTTATCATAGCATTAGGTAGACCGCAAATTTAGCATAGACTTGGTTCAGTCTAAGGTTGTTCGGTACAGCAGTGAACAGCAATTTTCTTAAACCAACAATTTCTCCATTTAACATGTGATATATTTTATCTGAAGATTGACAGCATTTAGTGCTAACTTTCAAATACAAATACTACAACTCTAAACAAAGTAATGTTGTTGACTGGAATGACTTCTCTGCAAATAATTATTGCTCCTTTAATTATACAGTTGTTTGAACAGAAGTAGCCATTATGTCATTGTTACTTGCTTTTCATTCCAGGAGAAATAATTGATGGCGATCTAGATGAAAATCCACAGAGTACCAAGTACAAGTTGATAGGTGTGGTTGTTCACAGTGGCCAGGCCAGTGGAGGGCATTACTACTCCTATATTCTACACAGGTGAGGGGGAGACGTCTTGTCCCTTGTTACTGGAAATACCCATATGTCAGGATGGCATTGACTGCTGTGTAGGCAAATGGCCAAAGGTTTTATTGAGAAAAGAGATAGATGTGGGTGTCATCCAAATCATGCTGGTGGATTGATTGTCATGATATCAACCATGTTTTTATCTCGTCCAGATTTGATTATTTACAAGCTGCTGTGATTTAGGTTTGATTTTGTTGACACTGGTACATTCACTTCTTTGCGGGGAATATAGAAACAAGTTACGTCCGTCCGTCACACTTTGTCAGAAGCATATCTCCTAAATTATACATGCTAGCTTCATCAAACTTGGTACACATCTCAGCCATGATCTCTAGATGTGCCTTTTGGGGGTTAGACCGTGATATGAATGTTATTTTTTGCTGTTTCCATGGAAACATGACTTAGGCTGTGACTGAGGATGTCATCTTGTTGCATTTGGTGGTAGTGCTTCTTTCTGGAGCAGATCTTAAAAACCTTTCGATACTCTCCTTCCACTTTGCTGTATACGCTCCAAAACATTTGATATAATCGTAACTTGTAGACATTTTTATGCAGAGTATTTTGCCGTTGCAGGGATATTGACAACTTTGTCTTCTTGTCAGTTTTCAGACTGTCATAATAGAGATGTGATATTCTTAACTTTGACTTGAAAACCCTCTTCTTCTATTTGTCATTAAACCTTAAACACTGTTTTTATTTTGTAACTGTTACAAAGGTTATTCTCCGGGTGAGATTGAAATTTCATTGCTGTAGCTCGTTTTAATGTTTGTACTCTGTTGATATCCTTCTTTTTTGCATTATATACCAAAAGTCACAGTCTTCTTTAATGTGATTGGTTGAAAAACATGATCGAATGGTATTCGATTCCCGGAAATTGCAAGAATATTCACTGCGTATTGACACATACAAATATCGCACACGATTGTATTGTTGCGTCGTCAGCAGTGGTGACGTCATTCAAATCATATTGTGACGTAAGGTCGGAATGACGTCACAAAAGAGCAGTTCCAGATGCTACCATGGGAATCAGCTGAAACGGCAAGCTGATGACACTTCACTTCTGTACCCGGACTCGATGTCAATGAGTGCAGACAGTAAAACCCATGTGGGCCTTTTGGTTTACTTTTGTGTACAATGTCGATAAACATCATGTGTGGCCTATTTCCATGTGTTATTGAGTATTTGAAGCACGGGTATATTTCATTGTTTCTGGCTCAGTTACATGAGAGGCACCTAATGGGATAGGATGGTCAGGCTTGCTGACTTGGTTGACACATCATTGTATCACAATTGCGTTGATCACTAGATTGTCAGTCCCAACCTCGATTATTATCCCCCGCAACGCGTTTTGCGGGGGGTATTAAAATGGACTCCGTCCGTCCGTGCACATTTGTCTTTTCCGGAGTAGAACTCTAAACCCGTTCAATATTTCTTCACCAAACTTGGCACATAGATAAATCTGATGGAGTACTGGTGCCATTTGGTAGTTTTGGAATTCTGAATAAAACATTTTTGGCGTTTCCATGGCAACAAGTTCGACTTAGCCTGAAATTGGTGGTAGTGCTCTTTTCCGGAGCTGAACTCTAAAACCGTTCACTATTTGTTCACCAAACTTGGCACATAGATAGATCTGGTGGTGTACTGGTGCCTTTTGATGGTTTTGGAATTGTGAATAAAATATTTTTGGCGTTTCCGTGGCAACAAGTTTGACTTAGCCTGAAATTGGTGGTAGTGCTCTTTTCCGGAACAGAACTCTAAAACCGTTCACTATTTCTTCACCAAACTTGGCACATAGATAGATCTGGTGGTGTACTGGTGCCTTTGGAAGTCTGAATAAAAATATTTTTGGCGTTTCCATGGCAACAAGTTCGACTTAGCCTGAAATTGGTGGTAGTGCTCTTTTGGAAGTCTTTTCCAGAGCAGAACTCTAAAACCGTTCACTATTTCTTCACCACACTTGGCACATAGATAGATCTGGTGGTGTACTGGTGCCTTTTGGTAGTTTTGGAATTCTGAATAAAATATTTTTGGCATTTCCATGGCAACAAGTTAGACATAGACTGAAATTGGCGATCGTGCTCCTTTCTGGAGCAGAAGTTTAAAAACCTTTCAATACTCCTTCCACTTTTCTATATACACACCTAATTATTTGACATGATCATAACTCGTAGACATAATCATGAAGAGTATTTGGCCATTGCGGGGGATATTGATGACTTTGTCTTCTTGTTTACAGACCACCGCTATATAGCTGGAATATTGCTGAGTGTCGTGTAAAACTCACTCACTCACTCACTCACTCACTCACTCACTCACTCACTCACTTCACTAGCTCATTTAGAGACAGGATCCATGTTACACAAACAAATTTCCAAAAAAAGAGGGGACCTCTGTCTGTTAGAGATAACAACTGTATAGAGAGTATGGTATTACAGTGTCTGTGTTGCTTCCACAGGGGTGCTGCTGATCCTCATCCAAAGTGGTACAAGTTCGATGATGGAGACGTCACAGAGTGCAAGATGGATGATGATGATGTAAGTTGTCATTGAAATAAGTAGCTTCACAATGATTTTTCTACCTATTTGACATTAGTTTCAAGACTGAAATATGCTAAGTTGTTTTCAAGAACAGTAATTTCAGAGTAATTGGGTTTGTTTCCTGACATTAATACATTTTGTAACTAAAGAATTAATTGACTAATGTGTTACTAATTATAGCATCCACAGATTGTAGTATTTTGGGAAAGAATGTAAATCTCCAGCAACCTATGCTTGTCACAACAGGTGACTTTGTGGATTGGGTATTCAGGCTTGGTCACATGCTTGATTGCATGTCATTCTGCTCCAATTACAAGGATAGATGCTGATCATGTCACTCACTGGATTGTCTGGTCCAAACTTGATCCGTGATCATTAGGGCTGTAATGATGCATCGAACTAGCCGATTGTTGAGTCTCTGATAGCAATTAATCGATGGTAGAAACGAAAAACGATCGCTGCATCGATAGTATGTGTGACTATTGATAGTTAAGTAAATCACTTCCGTTGATAAATGTGCAGCGCAAAAGACGGGAAATTTCAGATTTGTTCACTTTGATTTTGAGTTATCCACCAGTGTTACCTGTTAACTGTTGACTTGATCTGGGTTTCATGTCTCTTTCAGTTATCAAAATAGACTTAAAGTATTTCAACTTATTTTTATTTCATTTAAACTATGCATTCATTTGGGAAATGACTTCAAATGAATTCAAGGAGGAAAAAAATGTTGCAATAGTATTTCAATAGTTGGTTGCAATGGGCTATCGCTATCGTAATGGTATGTTGCAATAGACTATCACTATCACAATAGTTGTTTCTCCCTCAATAGTAACCCCTAGTCATCATACAGCTGGAATATTGCTGAGTGAGGCATTGAAGAACAAGTAAACACATTGTATTTTGAGTATGTTTTCATGTTGCAGGAAATGAAGAACCAATGTTTTGGTGGAGAGTATTTGGGAGAAGTGTATGACCACATGCTAAAAAGGTACTTACTTGAATCTTGTGTTGCATTCATATGTGGAAATGTCTTTCAGACAACATTATCTTTTCTTTGACAACATGATGTTCACAGACTTAATATGTTTTAGCTTCGGGTTGTCAAATTTCAATATGTGTTCTTTGACCATGGGCACTCAGTTATATGAAATTGGCTTAATAGATAATTTGAGGATGTTTTCCTTCAAAGCCAAAACATGATTACAATGGGCCAGATAGACAAACTGCAGATTTGCAGAGTGTATGTCCTTGATTACATTAAAAATTATACATGAAGAAAATCTACGTCAAGCCAAGGAATTTTGTGTGAATTCTGTAATTGTTGCCAAGATTTAAAATGCATGAAAGATATTACACTAACATTTTGATCATTGAATTAAATCCTTATATGGATATACTAAATGTTATGAAATGTAATAGCTTTGGGATTGCCAAAGAAGAATTTGACAGTTTTCATTCCCAGTTACTTCATTCAATATTATTCATATTTCTTACTTTAGATCTGCAGTCAGGCGCCAAAAAAGATGGTGGAATGCATACATTCTGTTCTACGAGAGGATTGATGAAGATGAAAAGGAAGAGATTTTGTCAAAAGAATTCTTGAAACTCTCATTATGTAAGCTGATTATAATGCTATAATATCAAATAGTGAACTGTTTCTAAATTAGTGCTTCTGTCAGTGAATAGTGAGCCACCTATTTAAAGGAAATTTTTAAATTAGAGCTTTCATTATCTTCAGTATTGAGAAAACTGTCTTCCTTATCTAGTTAACAAGGTCCTCAAGTTCAGGATTTAAACTTGCGTAAAATTTCTGTGTTTGACTTAATGATGTATAAAGGTATGTTGATGTTTGATCTGAACAGTAAGATGGCTTGTATCTCTTCACAGCTAGTACAGTGGCACATGTGAAGATGCCGTCAGCCATCGACAGACTTGTTCGGAAACAGAACATCTTGTTCATGCATGAGAAGAACCAGTTCTCCATGGAGTACTTCCAGTTCATGAAGAAACTTCTCACCTGCAACCATATCACACTCAATCATGCCATACAGGAGAAAATGGTAGGTTCATTGCTGTGAATTATTACATGTCCAGACTGTTTTAAAACTATTTTGGGTTTACGAATTTTGATAGAAAAGAAATTGATGAGTAGGTCAGAAACAAAAAGGTCTTGAAAAGTAGATGGTACATCAAAAATAGGAAAACTTTAGTCTGGTTTGTGCCCTTCTATCATAAAAGTACAATATGACTTGTAGTGATTGTGTTCATATGGATATATCCCTTTAACTATATCTAATGTCAAAGTGATAAGTGATCCTGGTTGTATTTTTTTCTGTATTTCCAATTTGGAGGTCAGCAGATATGTAAACCAAACTATAGAGCAACATCCGGACACATTTAAAGGGGGCTGGAAGCTTAAACAGCTACCATTTCATTTTGGGGACTCCCCTCATCTCTCAACACTCTTGGTTAAGACAAGACCGTGATAAATATTACTTTGCACAAATAAACTGGAAACCTCTTGGTTCAACACTAGGATTTGTCAGAGGCTAATATTTGGATGCTAATTTGCAGCTCAAGTCAATCAATGTAAAGTCCTCACAGTTTGGTTTAGCAGCACAGGAAACTAGAATCTGATTTTAATGGCATTGCAGTTGCTTTGAAACAACCATTGACAATTTTGGAACAATTGCAGGCTTCCATGTTGATATTTAATTTGTTTATGTTTATTAAAATGTTCAATCATTCACTGTCTAATCATTTTCTTATCCAGTTAAAATAAGTTTGTGTGCGCATTTCAGACACAGGAAGCAGAACAGATTGCAATGATCAGTGTTGAGTTAGCATCTAAATTCCTCTTCAATGTGGGCTTTCATACAAAGAAAACACTCAGGTGAGTCAATAACTTCATGCTCTCATTCTCATGGGGGCGGTGGGGTAGCCTAGTGGTTAAAGCGTTAGCTCGACACGCCGAAGACCCGGGTTCGATTCCCCACGTGGGTACATTTCTAGTGGCCCCCAAATTCCAGTGATATTGCTTGAATATTGCTAAAAGCGGCGTAAAACCCAATTCACTCACTCTTCACTCATTCTCATGGGGGTCAAGGAAAAAATGTCAGTGTCCAGCAACCGATTCTAGAGTGAGTGAGTGAGTTTAGTTTTATGCCACACACAGCAGTTTTCCAGCTATGTGGCAGCAGTTTCTAAATTATAGATTCTCGACCAGACAATCCAGTGATAAACAAACAGCATGAGCATCGTTCTAAGCAATTGGGATGTGATGACATGTGTCAACCAAGTCAGCAAACCTGCCAACAAATCCCGTTAGTGGTCTCTTATGACAGGCATGGGTTACTAAAGATCAATTCTAGCCATATCTTCACGGGTGTATTCTAGACTTGATTAGTTACAGATGTCATATGTCTTGAATACTACTGACCCTTGTACAGTTCCCCTACATGGGCACAATGCTTAGAGCTGTTCCTTGTGTACGGTTCATTTTATTGCTGGATAGAAAGGGTTAGAAAGAATTTTTTAATTTAATTCATCCATGAAAATGATCTTTGGGAACTACCATCTTCCTAATGTTAGGTGAGGTTGCCCACAAGGAAATGTCACTTGCACTTCCTGAATTTTATTAGCGTCAGACTAAACAGAATTGTGTTATTTCTGAATACTAAGATACTAAAAGTGGGCTGAACACATATTACTCTGTGAAGATTACACTCTTTTAGAATCATTTTGATGAGAGTAGAAGTGAGGTCGCCTATGAGTCATTCACTTGTCTTGTTTCTGCAGTTCAAGTGATGTGGTCACCATCTTTAATTCATTTTATGACTTTTTCTGTATTATTTAAACATGTTCGGTTTGCAGGTGCTCTGCTAGTGAATGGTACGATGCACTGCATATACACCTGAGATACAGCAAGAGTGTTCGCAGCTGGTTTGCACACAATGTGCTGTTTGCTCACCCGTCTAGATTTGCAGAGTATTTACTAGAATGTCCAAGTTCTGAGGTGAGCATTGAGTACAAATTTATTCTTACAGTAGCACAGTACATATATACAAAATAGTAGTGAGTAGGTCTTGGAAATAGTTGTTATGGCTTTACTGCATATGTAATGACCCATATCAGGATTCACCATTTCACATGAAATATTGTTCAGATTATGATGTGAAAATCCTTGGTTGTAATGAAATGTAAGGTTGTAGTAAGTGCTTTATGGTTTTTGATCACGTATTGTGTAAGTTCATAGTTAATAATGGAACTGTTTGTTGGTTTAGGTGCGGAGTGCATTTGCAAAGATTATTGTGATACTGGCACACTTCTCCTTGCAAGATGGACCATGCCCTCCACCATTGGTACAGGGGCTGTATGGTGAGTGTAGCTTGGAGTTCATGTCTTCCAAAATTCACATGGATTTGCGGCTCAATGGCCGATATTGTGCTGAGAGTCGGTAAACATTCCTAGATCAGTGTACAAAATTGTGAAAATGTTATGCCTTTGCAAGTTGATTTGCATTTCATTTATCTTAGGACTCAAACTTTGTTTTACATTATTGCATGACTGCCATGTTAAAATGCCACTGAATTCAAGAAAATAATTCCTTTAGTAAAATACCAATCAGTGTTAATTATAAAGTTGGTTTTCAAAACAAACGTTTGACCAGTCCCTGCCTTATTAGAGTTGGAGGATATGTATGTGTTTGTATACATATTTCCAGTATGGGGTTGACATATATGTGTGTTTCAGCTGCTGGACAGGCTGCAGACCCCAATGCCACACTGAGTGATCACCTGCTGGTGGCTGTGCTAGCTCTCATGAGGAAGGAGGTGTCAGAACACGGCAGACATCTGCAGCAATACTTCCACCTCTTCCTCATGTACCTCAACCTTGGCATACAGGAGGTAAGTCAGCCACTTTTAGATCTGGTTAGAATTGGTCTTTGGCAACCTATGCCTGTCTCCGCGTGAAGATCTGGGTTAAAACTGGCCTTCAGCCACCCATGCTTGTCATAAGATGTGACTAACAGCATCCGGTGGTCAAGCTCGCTGACTTGGTAGGTGCATATCATCGGATCAAATTGCAGAGATTAAAGCTCATGAAGTCAGTCACAGGATGGTCTGGTCCAGCCTTGATTATTTACAGACTGCCATCATAAGCTGGAATAGTTAAGTGTTAAGCAACAAGCAAACAAAAAATCTTCATGTCAACAAAAAGAAGTTAGTTAACAATTTACCCGCTAAGTAACTGGCTTCTTAAGGTTGTCAAGGCATAGGGTAAGGGAATAATAAGAACAAATCACAAGAATGAATTCCCTTGGTGACAAAGCTTCCACATGATGATATGACGGGAATGTCATTTGGACATGACAGCATCCGCAGCACGACATCATAAAACGACAAGAAAGTACGTTTCTGCCATCAATTACAAATCCATGATGGCAAGCTTTAGTTGTTAGTGTAGACTGAATAGGAAGAGAAGAGATATAGTTCGAGTACTTTTGTACCATTTTGTAGATATAGGAAGCTAATTCTCAAATGAAAACTTAATGTCCCCATGTGTGCTCTCTTTTCTCAGAAACAACAGTTGCTTCGGTTGAATGTGCCTGCTCAGTTTATAATGGTGGCCCTGGATGAGGGTGCCGGCCCTCCCATCAAGTATCAGTATGCTGAACTCAGCAAGCTCTACTCAGTAGTGTCTCATCTAGTGCGGTGCTGTGATGTGTCAGCAAGGTGTCAGTGCTCAGTCAATGTAAGTACAAGCAACATGTTAAATCTATGTAGTATTGAAGTCTGTTCAAAAAGTATTCATATCTTCAATTAAGCTTTTTGTGGCTTAAATTTTACTGTCATCTTCTGACAATTAATACCTGCAGCTTTGATTTCTTATTATGAAAGGTGTGGTGTGGTAGCCATTGTGGTTAAGCTGTTCACTTGTCACACCGAAGTCTGGAATTCAATTGCCCACTTGGGTACAATGTGTGAAGCCCATTTCTGTTGTCCCTGACCATGATATTGCTGGAAAATTGCTAAAAGCAAAGTAAAACCTTACATTTTCCTTTACTGGTTCAATTGAATTTGAATTTGTTGTCAAAGTCAGTATTAAACCATAATGTTTATGTAAGGATTCTACAGTAACCTTCACATCAAGACAACTTGAACTTGAGGTAACAAGGCTTTGCTATATGTGAAGCATGGTACCACCATGTTCATCTGGGCCTTGGCTGTGGACTGCCTCCGTGGTGTAGTGGTTAGAGCGTCCGCCCGGAGAGTGGAAGGTCACAGGTTCGATCCCCGACCGCGTCATACCAAAAGACGTTAAAATATGGTCCCTGCCTGGCGCTCGGCATTAATAGGTACAACAAGCACTGGCCAGCTCGGAGTCAGTATAATGTGTCTGAGTGGGGTATTCATGCTTCACTGAGGCATGGTATCTCAGTGGGCTAGCACTATAAAACCAGCTTCAGTCTGGGCTAATACAAGCAGCCGCACATACACATACACACGCATGCATGTCGTCATATGAGCGAAATATTCTCAAGCATGATGTAAAACCCAATTTCACCTCACCTCACATCGGCTGTGATGTATTGACATCCTCATTTCAGGGTCAGCCTCCTCTGCCCAACCCCCATGGCGACCAGCACTGCCCTCAGCCACTGATGGAGATCCAATCTCAAGTGGAGGAGGTGCTGTTTGGCCGCACAAGCTACGTCAAAAAACTCATCGAGGAGTGTAACAACACAGAAGACACCACCAAGTTGCTGAAGGTTGGTCCAAATTGTTATTTAGATTTATATTGTAAAGAGATAATATACAAGCCCAGCCGAGCATTAATGGTGCATTAAGACCAAGTCCAGTCTCCCTGATTCCAAAGTTACTGGCGCTGTCATGAACCTAGTACTGATGGTTCACACAATTTGTTTTTGCAAGCAGTTTTCTATGAATGCACCACATGAGTACAATGTATGAAGCTAATTTCTGTGTTACCCTGCCGTGATGTTGCTGGAATATTGCTGAAAGCGGCCTGAAACTAATCACGCTCACCTACTCTATGAATACCACTGAATGTATGTTGCACTTTCAGTGATAATGATTTGATAGAATATGAAACTTCCTACACAGGGCAAGTGTCATCATTTCATATTAGAATTGACAATACTTAGGTATTTGTTCTTGTACTAGCAGCTCAGTACTAAGTTCCAGAGAATATTTTTTTTACCTCTGATCTTTTATGTAGGTGTTTGCTTATAGGATTTCCCCCTGACAGTGTTTTATTGTGATTTCAGTTCTGTTGCTGGGAGAACCCTCACTTCTCTTCCACAGTTCTCAGTGAGCTTCTCTGGCAGGTATGTTATTCTGGTAGTATGGTTTTATGCTTTTGTCAAGATGTAATTATCAATGGGATATCTCAAGCGATGTCACCATGGATAGTTCTGCTGATGTTTCAGGTTTCTTTAAGTCACAGGGAAAAAAATCATCTATTTAGGGTGTCATCCTTTGTGTTGGCATAAGTCAGTTTGTGGACATATCATGTTCTATAGTATGTTCTACATCCACTATTGTATGGATTTAGGGACGCAAGGGGTCTTCAGTCCCCCCAACTCTAATACAGTTACAAATGTTGGTGGCCACAGTGTGTGACCACTGTGTTATTTTTACACAGAATGTGGGTTAAGTAAGAGAAAGACTTCCCTCTTGTGTAATCTTGAAGCATGTGGTCTTGTGGCAGTAGTCACAGTATGTTTAACATCTGTGCATTATCTCACCAGGTTGCCTATTCCTACACATATGAGCTCAGGCCATACTTAGATCTTCTCCTACAAATGTTGATGCTGGAAGACTCCTGGCAGAACCACAGGATACACAATGCACTGAAAGGTAATTCTTTTATATTTGCTTAGTATGCATATTTCTTCTTTAGCATAATGCAATTTGCTTGAAAATTCTAACAGATCCGAACTTATCTCCTTAGTTGTGGAAAGCCTTGGATTGTCGGCATCATCCCTTAAGAAGTAGTAAAGTGTTACATATGTTATATATGGGATTATATTTGCCCCTTTCTGTGTGGCATAGTAAGTATTCTCAGACTGATATGGCCATACCTTCGACCTCAGTGTGAGGTTTTGAAATCATGTTTTGACAATTGCTGGATGTCTGGTGAAGTTAGAATGATGCTTTTGTTCCACCAGGCATCCCAGATGATAGGGATGGGCTGTTCGACACAATCCAAAGATCAAAGAATCACTACCAGAAGAGAGCATACCAGTGTATAAAGATGATGGTTGCACTCTTCACACAGTAAGTATAGTTCTTACATATTCCTAGAGTTGTGTCCCTTTGGTGTACCAGTAACCTGTGGTTGTGGGTTTGAAGACCAGAATTGATGTAAATATGATTTTAGGTTTGTCACCTTACATTTTTCACCAAAGTGAGAATCCTCTTCTGCATCAAGCAGAATATGCTGACACACTGTAATGTGACTGAAATATAGCAGTGCCATTAAACCTCACATCCCTACCTCCTTTTCTCGGAGGGTTGGTGGGGTAGCCTAGTGGTTAAAGCATTTGCTCACAGGTTTGATTCCCCACATGGGTACAATGTGGGATACCCTTTTCTGGTGTCCCCCACCGTGATATTGCTAGAATATTGCTAAAAGCGGCATAAAACTAGACTCACTCACTCTTGTCTTTCTCTCCCTTTCACAAATAGTTTGTGATTTGAACAGATTTAAAGTAGTAAACTTGAATGAAGGTTGCTTTTTCAGATTTTATTATCCCCCGCAGCGCGTTTTGCGGGGGGTATTAAAATGGACTCCGTCCGTCCGTCCGTCCGTCTATCCGTCCGTCCGTGCACATTTGTCTTTTCCGGAGCAGAACTCTAAAACCGTTCAATATTTCTTCGCCAAACTTGGCACATACATGGATCTGGTGGTGTACTGGTGCCTTTTGGTAGTTTTGGAATTCTGAATAAAATATTTTTGGCGTTTCCATGGCAACAAGTTCGACTTAGCATGAAATTGGTGGTTGTGCTCTTTTCCGGAGCAGAACTCTAAAACCATTCAATGTTTCTTCACCAAACTTGGCACATAGATTGGTCTGGAGGTGTACTGGTGCCGTTTGGTAGTTTTGGATTTCTGAATAAAATATTTTTGGCATTTCCATGGCAACAAGTTCGACTTAGACTGAAATATGTGATAGTGCTCCTTTCTGGAGCAGAACTTTAAGAACCTTTCAATACTCTCCTTCCACTTTTCTATATACACACCTAAATATTTGACATAATCATAACTCGTAGACATAATCATGAAGAGTATTTTGCCATTGCGGGGGATATTGATGACTTTGTCTTCTTGTTTATTTTAGAATGGAGATTTTTAGTCCACCTTCGTCATTTGTAGATATAAATACAATGCTGAGAGATGTGTTTCAGTTGTGCACCTGCTGCTCAGATGCTACAAAGTAATGGAGATCTCAAACGGAAATGGAGTGGGGCTGTTGACTGGTTAACAGATGAGTTGGAGAGAGTAAGTGCGTCTCAAGGAGGGTTTCGTGATATATTGTTGACGATTAGCACAAATGATTTGTACGGAGAGGATGGTTCTGGTTGTAAGCAGTTATAAGCAATTGAGTACTTCTGAATAGGATAGAAATCAAGCTTATGGTGATTGTGTAAATATCGAACTAAGAAGTATGATTAAAAAGTCTTTGAACAGCATTTAGAAGTGATACACATAAAAGGCAATGGATTGATGGAAGTCAAAGTCTTTATTTTTTAGGAACACAAGGTGAATATATGTTTAAATAAAAGTTTACAGGCATTTCTATATTCTTTACAGATTATAAACAATGAAAGTCATTCATTGTGTTTTATTCATTACAATTTCCTTCAAATGATTTCTCCCTTCCTCCAGAGACCATACCCAGGGAATGCACAGTACACGTACAATAACTGGTCCCCACCTGCACAGTCAAATGAAACATCAAATGGGTGAGTAGCCATTGTAGATGTCTAGTTACATATGGTACATTTTCCAATATTAGTGAATTTATCATTTCAATTTGATTATGCTAAATCAATGTGTGAATTCAGTTTTTGTGTTCATTGATAAAATAATTATTACAATAGGATTTGTAAAAATCAGTAATGACTGTTTCAGCTACTTCCTGGAAAGATCACAGAGTGCCAGAATCACACTAGCGAAGGCCTACGAGCTTTGTCCAGAAGAGGTAAGAGATGCAAGGAAATGCTGGAAGTCAAGCGTCTTTGACCTTGTCAAAAGTCACAATGTCTTCCTCGGCAGTAAATGTAATGCGAAGCTTTCCTTCCTGAAATTAGCCCTCTCCATCATTTTCAGTAGATTTTAGTCTTTTTATCTATCCAAAATTTGCAAACCAAGCTTCATTCCATATACTGACTTGCAGGAAGTAATAAGTACAGTATTGACCTGAGTATGTGCTGTATTCCTAGGAACAAGAGGAAGGGGAGCTAACTGATGAACAGGAGGTTGCCAACCAGGAAGACCAGGTTCCCGGATTCCCCCAGCAACCTGGCAACCAGCCACAACCTCAGCCTCAGCCTCAGCCTCAGCCTCAGCCACAGGGCTCTCAGCAACAACAGCCATCCCAGCAGCAACAGCAACAACAACAAGCTCCCCAACCTCAGCAGCATGTGCAGAACAACCAGATCCACATGCAGCCTGTTGCTCACCCAGTGCAACCCAGTAATCAGATCAACAACCAGCTGAACCAACAGGGTCAGCAGCAGGCCCCAAATCCAGGCAACCAGCCGCCACCCACAGACAATCAGGAGACAGGGGAGGAAGGGGGAGATAACTCTCATAGGGGTGGCAGTGAGTGAGTGACTCAACTTTAACAAGGATGTGCTTTGTGATAACAATTTGTGATGGTCCTGTCTAAAAGTTGTGGATTGAGCTTTGTATAGAAGGTCCAGCTTAAAGGTACCGTTTTCCTGAGGAGGGAACAAGGTTTCACTGAATCTAATCTGTGATTTAAGCTTAACAAACTGTGCTTGACACCTGTCAGAAGTTTCATCTGTTTTCCCAGTGATCGAAAGTGATGACTTTGGAATGTTCCTGCCTTGGAATGTTCCCATGGCAACCTCAAGTGTATGTTAGTCCATTGAAGCGCTGGATGGTCAGTATCTGGTAAAGATTTGTTTGGAGTTGTTGGAGTCTGATATGCAACTACTTGTGATGTAAAATATCCACAACAATCAAGTATCTTAAACTTGGTGGTATGACAGCCTGATGCTTGCACTGACGGATCATCAGAATGATATTACCAACATCGCCACACACTTATGTCTGAAGGACACAGACATCCTATGAGTCTGTCAGTGCCAGGATACTTCATTACCGGATGTACTGCAAATCCCATACAGTTGGATGTACATAGCAAGAAAGGAGGAAATAGCATTGAATGCCCACAGTGCCGAATGCAGCTAGAAGTGAATGCAAAGGTAACATCGACCATCTGCTCCTGAATCCCGCAACGTGATATTTATATGATGGTCAAAGGTTTCAGCTTGTTCCATACACTTCAAATAAAGTCGTTTGTCCAAGATGGTTGAAGAGAGATGTTAGTTTTAATATTGCATGGCAATTTGGGAAATTAGGAATGTGCAGGACAAGCTTCAAAGTGTTACTGAGACTATCGATTAATCAAACCATTTACAGACTTGCATATGTTTCTGTATATCAGAAGAACTCCAAGAATATTTAATCTGGATTCTGAATTGTCTGTTCAATAGTAGTACACAACAGTAGATACGTCTGGAAAGCGGAAAAATGCATCATAAATCACTTAAATAGATAGTAAATAGCAAGAGAAGATTTTCTCTCGGTCATTGAGGGTCGGCCCAGTCAAGTTTAGAGACATCCTGATCTATACACACCATGCAGCCTGTAGTGGAAATTAAGCCAAGGCATGTGTTTTTTATGCAAACTCTGCTGTGGTACAGGTCAGTCTCCCATGGGGTGACAAATGAAAATATCTTCATTTATTCCACATGTTTGAATGCTGAAGTTTGTTGTCGTTGTTTCATGAGTTGTTACCATTGTGGTACAAGTCCTGAGTTTACTGAATGTGTTGTGTCCGAGCTAGCTAGCTGCATGTGTGGTATACAAGTGTACTATATGTATGTGATAGCAAGTGGCGAATATGTGGTTAGTATTTATGAACTTGTACAGCAATTTCCCAAGTTAATCTCCCTAATGCTAAGTGGTCCACACTGAGATTTGATGAATAATCCATATTCATATAGACATGCTGATATTTATTACATATTTATTTTCCAACAACAATCTGAACGAGGAGAACTAATTTTGTTTTGATTTTTACAATCGACAAGTGCTATGTGTACCAGTCATCCATGAATTTCAGCTTTTCCCTTTGGTTTTGCAGGAAGTGCTACCATTACTTTGTTCAAATACTGAGGTTAAAGTTTGGGTAAATTTGCTTTGAATCCAAGACATACATACATTTTGTGCCATATTTCAAGGGGGAGTAACTCTAGTTGATATGGAAGTGATGTGGATATTTTCATAAGCAATACGTAGATAGGTTGTTGTTGTACTTGTTATAGACAGCGATTATTTTGTTGATAAGAATCAAAAGCACGTTGCAGATAAATTACTATTTCTGCAGTATTCCATGTTGGTTACTTTTACCAGATAGACTGTATCTCTGTAGCCATGGCAACCATGTCAGCATGAAAAACTCCTGTAGCCACCTTCTCTCTCTTATTTTGGTCTTTCTGGAGAAATGTGTATCTAAATGGCAGACCCAGTGAGTATTTGAAGTCTGAGCAGTTTTCTGTATGTTGACAAAATTTAGTTCTTGATATGCATGATAATCATTCCTGTTTGTGCCCTCACAATCAGCTCCACCTTGATTGCCACGGCACAACCGAGGCTGGTATGGAATCCAATAGTATACAGTTGTGACTGACAGAGTGCTTGTGATGTAAACCTATGCATAGCCATTAATTGAGATCTTGTAACAATTATGGGATCTGTATTTGTAGTGTGTGCAACGGAACGCAGAGTGGTTTCTATCTGTTTCATAGACTTCACACACCAGAGTTTTTATCTTCCAACTCGGAAGAGAACTGTCCCTAACTGATGTGACTGATTGTCCCAAGCCACTCCCTATAGATTCTGACAGCCTTAAGAAGTGTAGCAGATGTTGTTTTGAATGCCAAGAAGTAGGTATTAAATACTTCCAGAAGTAGTTGAAGACTTTACAAAGGTTAGCGCTTCAGTGTAACGGGACATTGTTAGACGAACAGATTTGTGTCCGTTTCCATCTTTTCACAGCAATTTCTCAAGTTTGTGGGGCACAGGTTCATCTCTTTGCTACATCATGTCATCCTGCCTTTAACTAGTCTCTCCCTTCCTCTCTGGACGTTACGGAATCATGTCCAAGAATATGCCACTTGATGCATGCAACTTTGACCCACCTGTCGTGAATGTCGATGCAGTATTAGATAGCAACACACATCTACTTCATTTTCTCCCGAGGAGTGTGGCGGCACTTGCACGATTGTATACGATAAACCAAATACATTGTCAACCTCAGTAGTTGAGAGTCTGACTTTCTTCTGTCAGGGAGAATTTCTAGTGTAAATAATCCCAAGTGTTTGTAAATGATAACACTGGTGTACATTTGAGCTGGCTGTTTGCTTCCTGAGCTCTGTGATGCTAAAGACATGATGTATAGTACGGTGACCAGATAGAGTGTGCATGTATTTATTGATGTGAAGTGAGAGTGATGATGATGACCCACTAGCATGGCCTCTACCTCAACGTCTTGAAGTTTTAGCTTCCTGGTGTCTCCCTTGAAGGCAGAGGGCTGCTGCAGTGTCTGTACGTGGTGGTTTCCATCATAGACTGTGCAGCTGAACTGTCTGTAGCCATTACCCGTTCACTTACTCTATACTGTAGCCAAATAATCTCCATTGTGAAGTCTTGAGAGTCATAGGATTGCTTCAGTTTCCTTGGGTCTTGTGTGGGGCATAGAGCAAATTGCTGGAAAGACAATTAGCTTAGTATGTAATGTTACTAACAGATGAGAAAATGTACAAATACAAGTTTTGATAAAGTTGGGTTATGACTGATCCTTAAGAGCTTTAGTTTGGTTCATGTCTGAAAATACACAGACAGCCTTATGCCAGGTGTGTCCATATTACAGTAAGTGTTGTGTTGAGAAGTGAAAAGAAGGGCTTTATGAAGGTGTGAAACGAGGCCATGCTGTGAGTGAATAATGAATGCAAGAAAATGGTTCTGAGTATAGCAGCGTTGCATCTTTCATCTCTCCTAGTTGTGTTTTAGACATAAGTGGTTCAGCCTTCTTGTTATCAAAGCAGTCTGCACCGGCCCCATCCATGCCCGGCATTACCTTGTCTTATATCCCAGAAAACACAGGGAAAATGCCCGGCCTAAATCTCTGCCTTTTGTATATGATGCACATTTGTGATACTGTATGTAGATTGGCTACAGGAACTTATGCCCACATTGTACAGTATGTATATATTCAATTAAAATGCACAATTAATACAAAAATATGGTGTAGATATGGAGCCTGTGCAGCAGCAGCAGCAGCTACAGTTGTTATTTGTTTGTCTCCACGTTATGCCGCCGAGTTATTATATTATGTACAGCGTATTCTAACTTGAGACAGTTGGTGTCTGTTTATACTGTGTAGCTGCTGCTATTTAATCGCATTATGACAGTGCTATTTGTTTTGAAGTGCTGACAATGTACAAATCTGACAGTGTTGCTGATTTTATGTTAATTACCATGTTTTGTATAATTGGATGAATAAACAAGGCCTCCTCTGATGTTTCAAAGAACAACACTCCTTCCATCATTGTTGTCTGAGAGAAATAGGTTTGATGCCACGTAACCATGGAAACAGTGTTGATGAAGGAGGTGCACATGTATTGGTTTCTCCAGACCCATATTTGAAAGTATTTCTACCTGATGGACTCCAAATTGTAGTGCACATTGATCTGTTGTTTAAATCTCCTCATTTAAGCCATGTTCTTGTTCATGTTGATGACAGCTACTTGTGCACGTCTTGTACTTAATGGGAGGAAACATCTCTCACAAATTGACCATTCAGACCTACTGTCGGTGAGCGACATCCAAGAGAAAGGCCTTGGTTTCTGCAGTGGGTTTTTGTTAGGGGACTTTGCAATTGTTGGAGGGGGCCTTGCACGCTGATGTTGTTAATGTTGAATGGACTTTCAATGGCTGAAGTCAGGACAGGCTGAATGTTATTTAGTTCTCTGTGTTTTCAGTATTTGTGGGGTTTAGCCATTGTTGGTTCCAGTAATGCAGTATGCTTATGTTAGCATTTCCTTCAGTGCTTTCCATGTTGAGAAGCATACTCCAATTGTGGTGATTAGCATGTGTAAATAATGTCAATTTGTGTGAATGGCCCTTTGAGGATACTTCCCCCCTAAATCATCAACATGGCACGACCCAAATGTAACAGCAGGTCGTACCATTTTGACGTTTGGGTTGTGGGTTTGCAAGATGTTTCCTGTATTTGACACAGGGATGATATTGTAAACGGCTGCCAGAAAACTCCCTTAGCCCAGAAAGGACTCATTGGTGTGATCTGGTTGAAAAGGATCAAGCCATACTGAGAAGAGGGGTGTGAGGTGGGACTTCTCCTGCCCAAGGGGAGATAAGGACATGTGCTTTCAGGACCGTTGTATGTGTATGTTGACTACAGTGTAAATCATAATATTTTCACATTTAGCTTAAATTATTTTATAAAGAAATTCCAACTGCATTGACATAATGTTGTGCACAGTGTTTGACTTTGTACAGAAACAAAAAAAGAATAAATTACTTAGAATTACAATATTGGCTTGTTTTATGACTTGATTATTTTTTTGTTATCAAAGAATATTGTAGTCAATATGATTCTTGTGTCGTAAGAGGCGACTAACGGGATCGGGTGGTCAGGCTCGCTGATTTGGTTGACACATGTTATCGGTTCCTAATTGCGTAGATCGATGCTCATGATGTTGATCACTGGATTGTCTGGTCAAGACTCGAATATTTAAAGACCATCGCCATATAGCTGTAATATTGCTGAGTGTGGCGTTAAACAATCAGACAAACAAACAGCAACTCGCGCCGCGACAGTGTTCGAATACTGCCCGAAGCGGCATAAAATCACACCAACTGCGACATTTGGCAAGGTTTCATGACGTCCGTCGTAACTTCCACATCAACTTACCACCATCTTTGTCTTGTATTCATAGAGATAAAAAGGACTAAACTCAGATCTGTTCACTTCCAAGTTAATTTCGATTAAGTTATTCCACCACCAATTTGCTAAAGTATTATAAACCTGTTCAGTCATACAAAAGGACAGCATTATCACATAAAGACGAAACCCGTTGTAATCTGTTAAACAATATAGGTCCACAAGGCGTTTATATATTTTGTAAAGGCGAATACTTTGTAGCGGGTGATCATATTCGGTGATGGTGTTGTCATCGTACTGGTGATCACGATCTCAATCACTGGGTTGTCTGATCTAGACGCCACTATTTACTTGATGCCGCTATGTAACTACAATATTGTTGCGTGCGGTAGTAAACAATGAAACACACACACACACACACACACACACACGGACACACACACACACACACACACACACACACACACGGACACAGTCACCCAACCACACACAGGCACCCACCCACCACACAGAGGCACAGACACACGCACATGTGAGTGCAGTACTATTGAACGCAAAGTTACGCCCCCTTTCACATCCCCTCACCATGATCCATAAACTGTTATTATTGATCTGTATGCAAATGTGTTTATTGTTACACTAAATAATTATCTAGATCCGTTAAGTGTTATTTATTCGGCAATAACAATTCAAAGAACACTTTTGTGCACAGCCAGCGAATAAAAACGGCTTAGCTACAACAATACAACAGTACGACATGGCGGACGGGACCACATTATTAAGTGCCAACAAAGCACAAGTCTCAATATAGCTATATATGCCATTAATAAGAACATTAGCAGGCAGAAACCGCAGGTTCTCGACAAGCCACGGGGACATAAGTCGAGTTGATTATTTCTCTGTCGAATTACCCCTCGTGTCACCAGGTACATGAGAGCGGTTTCTGTGGGCTGTGACAGTGGTTTACGACGGAGATAATGGGTTTGTTGTGTAGTGAATGAGTGCCTAGGTTTCTTTTTTAACGAAATTCATAAATATAATGCAGGCTATCTGTGACTCATCGGAAAGCAATATTTTCAAATCTGAATTAAAAATAATCAATTATTTATATTATACAGTAAAGTACAGTTGTAACGTGAGTGAGTGAGTTTAGTTTTACGCCGCACTCAGCAATATTCCAGCTATATGGCGGCGGTCTGTAAATAATCGAGTCTGGACCAGACAATCCAGTGATCAACAACATGAGCTTCGATCTACGCAATTGCGATACGATGACATGTGTTAACCAAGTCCGCGAGCCTGACCACCGGATCCCTTTAGTCGCCTCTTACGACAAGCATGGATGGGTTACTGAAGATCAATTCTAACCCGGATCCTCACGGGTAACGGTTATAACGAACCCAAAGGGTTCGAAGTTAGGCTCAGAACTTTTCAGTCTCCCCTTTGTTTCCGTTTACAACGAAACTTTGTCAGAGGGTAAGTGTGGTGAGTGAGTTGGGTTTTACACCGCTTTTAGCAATATTCCAGCAATATCACGGCAGGGGACACCAGAACTGGGCTTCACACATTTTACCCATGTGGGAAATCGAACCCGGGTCTTCGGCGTGACGAAGAACGCTTTAACCACTAGGCTACCTCATCGCCCCGTGTATCCATTGAACAATCCCCCTTGTGGAAACAGAGCTTTGTCTCCGTCAGTTCGTTACAAGTGTGTTCCTTATAAACGTAGTTTAATGTACGAACATTCTTCAAAGCTTGGCTCAGAACTTTTCAGTCCCCACTTTTGCTTCCGTTTACAACGAAACTTTGAATATGTATGACAAGTTCTCGATGTGGACGTGATATCACATCAACGGTCCTATGAAACAGGGTTAAAGGGGAGCAGAATGTTTGCTCATCTGTGAACAAAATTACCATGACGTATATTTGTTTCATTTACAAACCTTTCTGTGACTTTTGTAGGTCTGAAGCAGGGTAAATGTGCAGAATATAGTTCAAAGAAACACTATAAACTAAATGTTGCTGGTATTTCTTGCAAGCCGAAATAACAAATGTTCGGGATAAACTTCATCAGCAGGTCACGGTAACAAGGCCAGATATCCAGTCTCATATCATAAACATTCATCTGAATTTCAGTCCACACGCCAATTTTGCCCTTTTTGATGAGATGTGACCCTCTCTTTCAATGTCCCGTCAAACATCTGTATTACCTGCCAACAATCCACGCTCGTGTAAAAGTCGGTTCAACCAGTTCTTTTCCAACTTTCAAATTAAATGCAGACAATGTCCCAATCCTTATTTCTAATTATGTTACGAATTCACCAGTGACAGGTATTTTAGAAATGCGTCTTTGCAAACTCAAACTCGCCTTTGTACTTTGTCTTATTACCCGTGAAGATCCGGGTTAGGATTGGTCTTCAGCAACCCATGCTTGTCGTTCGAGGCGACTAACGGGATCGGGTGGTCAGGCTCGCAGACTTGGTTGATACATTCCATCGTATCCCAATTGCGATGCTCATGCTGTTGATCACTGGTACTCCCGATACAGGCGCTACCAGTACTTGATCTACCACTAGTACTTAGTACTCCCGATACAGGCGCTACCAGTACTTGATCTACCACTAGTACTTAGTACTCCCGATACAGGTGCTACCAGTACTTGATCTACCACTAGTACTTAGTACTCCCGATACAGGTGCTACCAGTACTTGATCTACCACTAGTACTTAGTACTCCCGATACAGGCGCTACCAGTACTTGATCTACCACTAGTACTTAGTACTCCCGATACAGGCGCTACCAGTACTTGATCTACCACTAGTACTTAGTACTCCCGATACAGGTGCTGCCAGTACTTGATCTACCACTAGTACTTAGTACTCCCGATACAGGCGCTGCCAGTACTTGATCTACCACTAGTACTTAGTACTCCCGATACAGGCGCTGCCAGTACTTGATCTACCACTAGTACTTAGTACTCCCGATACAGGTGCTGCCAGTACTTGATCTACCACTAGTACTTAGTACTCCCGATACAGGTGCTACCAGTACTTGATCTACCACTAGTACTTAGTACTCCCGATACAGGTGCTGCCAGTACTTGATCTACCACTAGTACTTAGTACTCCCGATACAGGTGCTGCCAGTACTTGATCTACCACTACCGTCCTTAGTACTCCCGATACAGGCGCTGCCAGTACTTGATCTACCACTAGTACTTAGTACTCCCGATACAGGTGCTGCCAGTACTTGATCTACCACTAGTACTTAGTACTCCCGATACAGGCGCTGCCAGTACTTGATCTACCACTAGTACTTAGTACTCCCGATACAGGTGCTACCAGATCTACCACTAATGCTTGATCTACCACTAGTACCTTAGCTACTCCCTTGATACAGGTGCTACCAGTACCTTGATCTACCACTAGTACTTAGTACTCCCGATACAGGTGCTGCCAGTACTTGATCTACCACTAGTACTTAGTACTCCCGATACAGGCGCTGCCAGTACTTGATCTACCACTAGTACTTAGTACTCCCGATACAGGTGCTACCAGTACTTGATCTACCACTAGTACTTAGTACTCCCGATACAGGCGCTACCAGTACTTGATCTACCACTAGTACTTAGTACTCCCGATACAGGCGCTACCAGTACTTGATCTACCACTAGTACTTAGTACTCCCGATACAGGCGCTACCAGTATTGATCTACCACCGTCCTTAGTACTCCCGATACAGGTGCTACCAGTACTTGATCTACCACTAGTACTTAGTACTCCCGATACAGTATGCTACCAGTATTGATCTACTACTAGTCCTTAGTGTACTCCGATACAGGTGCTACCAGTACTTGATCTACCACTAGTACTTAGTACTCCCGATACAGGCGCTACCAGTATTACTACTACCGTCCTTAGTACTCCTGATACAGGTGCTACCAGTACTTGATCTACCACTAGCACTTAGTACTCCCGATACAGGTGCTGGCAGTACTAAATCTACCACTACTGATACCCTTTTTGTTCCCCCTTTTATTTAGCCTATCAGATGAGGGAGCAAATGTCCCTCACCCCAAACATTCAGTAGAGGGGGTAATGTCGAGTAACCTCTCCATTCCGCCAAAATATGGAGCCGAGGCCCCGGAGGGCCGAGGCACATTATGCTTAAGGAATGGAGTGTTACGAGGATATTACCCTGCTTAAATTACATTCAAAGAACTGGGGAAATTTCTGTTATCAAAATGAAATGTCAAAATGACAAAATGAAGGCTTTAATTTGAAACTGGTACACATCGCTCCATTCCCGAAAAGTAATGGAGCGAGCAAAACAATGGAATGACGTCACAAATGTAATTTAAGTGGTCGGCCTGTAAATTGTAACGTAATAATGTCACACAATTTTGTCAACCAACTGGGTTAAGAGTGAAAAGTAAAACACTACTGGAAGGTAAGTATTACTATTGGAGACCAATGTTTACCAATTTGTTTTGACTGGAGTTGACACGCCTCAGCTCGAAACGTCGTGCGTGACGTCAACACCAGCGTAGACGTCGGCTCCCTGCACGTGCTCTGTCTGTTGTCTGAAGCGACTTCGTGAATTGGTTCGGTAGTCACGAAGTCAAATCGACAAATTAATTACCTTTTGATGTAACTAGGGCGCATGCCTCTGTTTGCACGGAACGTGAGTTGATTAACAGGTGATAAATTTGTAATGAGACGCGAAGGATTGTCTGGGCTTGAGAATTCTCAAGATGGGTATTCATTTCTTACGTGACAGAAGCTGTGAGAAGTGTGAGCGACTGTACAGTATGGCGTGCGTCTCAGGTGGGTTGGGCTGGCACGTGGAAGTCAGGGGAATACGGGGGGCTGCAGAAACATCCGGGGTGTGCGTTAGCTAGGGTGAGTTAGTGAGTGTGTATGGTGTGACGTCGTTCTTAGCAATATTCGAGGCAATATCACGGCGGGGGACGCCAGAAATGGGCTTCACACATTGTACCCGTGTGGGGAATTGAACCAAGGGCCTAGATTTTCGAAGCTCTCTTAGAGCTAAGATAGTCGTAAGTTAATGTTAATGTATGGCACTTCCGACTATCTTAGCGCAGGAGAGCTTCGAAAATCTAGGCCCACGTCTTCAGCGTAACGAGAGAACGCTTGATTTCTAGGCTACTCCACCGCCCCGTTTGGACGAGTTTTACGTCGCTATTAACATTATTCAGTCACTTCAAACAGGGGACATCTGAAATGGTGAGGTGAGTAGAGGTGAGGTGAGGTGAGGTGAGGTGAGGTGAGGTGTTGTAACCGTGTAGGATAATTGAACCCGGTTTATAGTGCACTGATCGAAACCTTTAACCACGAGGCTACACGTTACTATTGACACCGAGTGTGAAGACGACCTTCCATACATTTTAGCCTTCAACATGACCACTATTTGTTAACCCTGTGGGCGACTATTCATGCCCTAACTACGGTGTGGGAATTACCTGAATGTTAGTCTTCATAGGTGGCCACGACTGCCACATCCAGTAGATTATTAACCAACCGATCCCCGTATATCTCTTGATACAAGCGTGTTTGGGGACATAATACTTCGCCGACCCCCCGTCATTAGGCGTCATTACTGCGTGCATGCGTGAGTGAGTCTGGAGCATGCACACCTGTGGCTGAAAGCATGATCAACGATCAAACCCATCGTAATATGTTGCCACGCATTCTCAGAAGAGAAAAGCCAGCCGATCCCCATTGTATTTGCTTTATACGACGAGCCCCATTGCCTCTTAAATGGGAGTTAATCACCCACTTGGAAACTGATCTTTGCCTGTCGACTCTTCAGAACTGTACTGGGTGTTGTATAATCCAACACACAATCATGAAATGAGACTCTCTGTTGTATGGTGGCTGATTAGGGCCATCGTTAAGGCGAGAAAGCGATGGCCCTAATCAGCCACCATACTGTTGACTCTATGACAGACGTTAACAGGGATCATTTTGAATTTTAGCTGATGAGGGCCCTGGGCTCATGCAGATAGATATGAATGGTTTTTTGTCCCATCTTCGGTGGCCCAAAGGGGTACCAACCGCAATGGTGTCGGGGAAAGTATGGGAGGGTATGTACCAACTCGTTATTTACAGCAACCAAGGTCAGTTTACCGCTATTGACGACTTGAAACGAACTATTGTTGACAGCAAATGGATACATTTATCGTAGATGACTTATTTTGACTCGTTAAATGTAATATTTCTTGAAATGTGATTTTAATAATTCAACATAACATTTTCGAGATTTGGCGCGGGAACCTCGACGAAGACTTGTCAAAATGTCCTACCCCTTAAAAATATGATCACTGCATCAAAATTGTTTAAAGTTATTTTATTGGGAATGCTTAAACCGAATCACCGGGAGATTGGAGGAAACGTGTGCACATCTGATTGGAACTTCCGGTTTAGCTTATGAGAAAATACTCTCGGTAATCTAATCTTACATATACAATAATACCTAGCAGAACAGGAAATGTAAGTTAACTGGCAAATCATTATGTCTAGTGATGCATTATCTCAAATGTATTGTTTTATTGACTAAGTTGCTCGTTCTTACATGCATTCGCAGAAGGGATACGAGTACATGTAGTTGTATGCTTGTGTGCGTATATACTCAAGGTGAGGTGAGGTCACATTGGGTTTAACATCGTGCTTGAGAATATTTCGCTCATATGACGACGTGCATGCGCGTGTATGTGTATGTGCGGCTGCTTGTACTAGCCAAGACTTAGGCTGGTTTTATAGTGCTAGCTCACTGACATACCATGCCGCAGTGAAGCATGAATACCCCACTCAGACACATTATACTGACTCCGAGCCGACCAGTCCTTGTTGTACCAATTAATGCCGAGCGCCAGACAAGGACCAACAAGTACCATATTTTAACATCTTTTGGTATGACGCGGTCGGGTATCGAAATAAACTCAAGGAAATACGACATTTCGAATGCTCGGTCGTTAAGCCAATTGTTGCATCGCGGGAACCCGAGAACCACCAAAGGATGCATTGTGGGATAATGTAGACTTATACGGAAGTTTACGCAGAAATACGTTCTCGTTTATCCGTACCAAAGGAAATGGTTGATCGAGTTGTCCGTCTTAAACACAACATAAACATGGTTATACTAACGAAAACACGATTCATTTTTATGAAGGCCCGGGGTGTTAACTTTTAATCGCCATTTGCAATTAATACGCACCATAAGGGTCCCGATGTTTTCAATGAACCATTGAAGATTTGAATGCGTGTAATGCGCATTGGCGAGGTCCCAGCGTTAAGAGATTAACTGATCATATATGGCAGGCTGACTTACGCAAACTCGGACGTACATTGGACGTAACGAATACAACCGCCAGGTCACTTTCCGACAAATAATTTATCCGATTAGATCAGCATAGTTTCTCACTCTTAGTAACCCATGTTTCGTCAGAGTGATCTAAATCTCCTTCTGACGTCATGAAAAGGACACATGTTTCTCATTTCTGAGACACTGGTTGGATCAACGTTAGAAGATCTTACTGCGCGCTAAGTGGTTGTGAGCAGACGACCGAACTAGCCCATTGTTCTGTAGCTCCCATGTTACCGATATCTCCACTTACCGTCCTGGTATTGATACAATAACGCGAACAAATCATATTTATGTTTTCAAAGCGCTGGTATAGTGTGTCTCCGAGGTGTATACGCTTATAACATCCAGGGATTGTTTCTTGGGCGTGCTGCGCAAAGCCGAAGTTGCGTGTGGAGATCGCTTCGTCTGATTGAGTCGGGGCCTCTGAGCTGAACACGGCGTTTCTCAGGGCGAGGGTTTAGTGGACGGGAAACATACTGGCGTCCAGGTTGCTTGCCAAGGTGTAATTTGGAGGTGAACTTGTCCGATAGTCAACATTTCTTGGATATATTGTGACATTTACAGCGACAGTACTTTAAGCGGGAATCACTGACTCAGAGCAGACGATATTCGTCAAATGACTGCGAACGGATTCAAGGACACCAGATTAACAAACAAGTGTGGCGTAAGTGGGTGAATCTAATTACTGGAAGTCCATGTTTGACACAGTTCGGGCTTCTTAGTATGAGAATGAGGACTAAAAGATCCACGAAGTAGAAACTTAATCCAGGACCATACAGCACCTCGGGTAAACAGACACTTCAAAGTACGAATCTGTGAATTCGATAAAAAACTGATTCGTAGAACATATCAGGAAGAGGGAGTGTTCGTTGAATAGACATTCCGGATATTCGGACTGATTTCTACAGAAAAGGGCAAAAGGACATTCCGGGTGTTAGAGATATAATGATCTACCAGTGGCGTGTCCTTGTGTCGTCTTCACCATCAACCAATCAGACGTGCTGCTGATACCCCACAAACATAACCGTCGTCGACGAAGGTTCCAGCGCAGTCGTCATCATGCCGTCGATGTATGAGCGGGTAGTGGCCGTTGTGGACAGGCCGCCAGATCTACGGACAGACTTTGAATGCCAGGAGTTTGTGCCTTGGTTTAGGAACAAGGCTACGTTATTCAAGTCAGTCAAACCAGGTAATGTGGCTTGTTTATATATATATAAATATACACTTGGAGAAAAGTTCAGTAACATCACAGATTATGTATATCACGAAGATCCATGTATTGTTTGGTAAGATCTTTATATTACTGTGAACTTTTTTCTATTAAGTCTAAGATACCAGTTACACCTGTCGAAATTTTAGAACTGAATATTAGAAAAATATATCTTTCCTGATGGTTTCAAGGACTTAAAGTCCTTCAGCATCTACTACTACTACTACTACTACTACTACTACTACTACCGGAATAGTTTGAAACTAAGTCCTTACTTAATTGATTTCGATTTCTATAGTTCAATATGAGTGTCATAATGTAAACTAAAATTGTTTTCTTAGAAAATACATCGGAATATATGGAAAGATTTAGAATATATGGAAAGAAATTTTCAGGTGCATATAATTATCTATATCCAATTATTTGAAATTTCATTCTAAATATCAACACTTAAGCATCTAGTGAACAACAGTTTTCTTAAGGCATTATCCTAAGGTCACCACCACCATTCGATATTTCATATGGATTTTAAACACGTGTATTAGGAAGGAAATGATAGGATCACTATTTCTAAGCTTGATCACGTTTGAGATATATATTGTATGCCCACTTGTAACACTAGCTTCGTTATGGATAATTGCCTGGATACCAGTCATGTTTCCCGCACCAACAATGGAGGAATACCATTTAAACCGTATAATGTTCATAGTTGTCTGTCTCTGTGTGTACTATGTAACAGTAAATTCATAATTTGATTTCTTCGTGGGAAACCCGGGTTAGAACTGATCCCAAAGAACCGATGCTTGCCGTAAGAGGTGACCCAGTGGATTGGACATTAGGTTTGTGTGAGTGAGTGAGTTTAGTTTCACGCCACACTCAGCAATATTCCAGCTATATGGCGGCGATTGTAAATAACTGAGTCTAGACCAGAAAATCGAGTGATCAACAACACGAGCATCGATCTACACAATTGGGAACCGATGACATGTGTCAACGAAGTCAGCAAGCCTGACCACCCCATCCCGTTAGTCGCCTCTTACGACAAGCATGGGCTACTGAAGATCAATTCTAACCCGGATCTTCACGGGTTTGGACATTAAGACTCACTGACTTGGTAGATAGCGTGTACCGTTACCCCAACGAGGCCGATCGTTGCTCACAATGTCGACCACTAGATCGTCTGGTTCAGACTCGATATTACCAGCTACTGTCATAAAGGTGCAATATTGCTGAATACGACGTTAAACAAATATTAAATGACCAAACAAACAAACAAATAATTTGCTTGATAGATTAAAACACAGGGAACAGACAGGTTGATTTCTTCGTGATCAGGGTAGTATCACACGGGCCAAGCTTGCTTACGTTTTACATGCAATGCCTTATATTGTTTCGTCAAGGTGTTTGATCGTTGTAAACCAAATATGTGTATCTAAAGTGCGTATGTTTAAAGGGTCAATACGTCTAAGGAAAATATGCTTAAAGGAGCAATACGTCTAAGGAAAATATGCTTAAAGGAGAAATACGTCTAAGGAAATATGCTTAAAGGAGCAATACGTCTAAGGAAAATATGCTTAAAGGAGCAATACGTCTAAGGTAAATATGCTTAAAGGAGCAATACGTCTAAGGAAAATATGCTTAAAGGAGCAATACGTCTAAGGAAAATATGCTTAAAGGAGCAATACGTCTAAGGAAAATATGCTTAAAGGAGCAATACGTCTAAGGAAAATATGCTTAAAGGAGCAATACGTCTAAGGAAAATATGCTTAAAGGAGCAATACGTCTAAGGAAAATATGCTTAAAGGAGCAATACGTCTAAGGAAAATATGCTTAAAGGAGCAATACGTCTAAGGAAAATATGCTTAAAGGAGCAATACGTATAAAGAAAATATATTTCAAGGGGCAATACGTATATGGAAAATGTTGTTCAGGTGTGCGTTAAAGGGCTATGGGGGAAACATGTAAGCAAGTAGTTATCATCAATGTTCCCTATACCATGGAACCAAAGACCTAGTTCCACCATGACACCGCCGATACGCAGTGGACAGATGGTAAACAACATTGTATGTCTCTTGTGGGCAGTTAGTGCGAGAACAGTGAACCTCTCTCGTAAATAACCTGTCGCATTTATTCCCGAAACAGATTCGATTGGGCGTCTAAGCTAATTGCGGTGAATGATATGAAAGAAGTATTGTAGATGAGAGTTAAATGCGGTCATATTTCACATGGCGTTCAGGGTCGCTCTCATTTCGACATCAAACTAGGAGATTCTACAACACAAATTATGACTGTCTGTAACACTTCTAGTTAAATCAGTCTACTTTATTTCAAAAGCTAAAATACCGATGCTATGAATAAATGAACAGAAGAAATTGGCGGATTGTATTTGTATCCAAATTGATGCTTTCACTCTCCGTATATTTATAGTCGGCGGCTGACAAATTACGTATGTTAAACATCAGTGACCTCGTGTACGTGTAATTGTCGTACTTGAGTTAAACAGTCGTGTCTGGGTTATTTTGTATTGAACGTTGTTCAATATTCGTACAATTACCCCCGGGTTCACTGATGTTTGACGGACATATTCCCGGCACCGACTCTGGTAATGCAGTTTCACGGTGCTTGCTTTAACACTGAGCAGGTCGTGGTGGTTGTTGACTAAAGCCTCATACAATCGGCTTACAACACAGTGTCATTACCCTTGATTCCCGCACCAATAGTCAGTGCACGCATTGGGGTCGGAGGGGTTGTAGCCCGAATTAGCGAGTACTTCACCTGTGTTGTAGTCTCTCTCTCTCTCTATTATCGGATGTTTTGTTTGTAAGAAATAAATATGCCCAATTCTTTATAAATTTTCCCAAAGCGTGCATTGTTGTGTCAGTCTACCCCCATCATGTTGACAGGTCGTGATGTAGAGGAAATACTGCCCATTTTGTTCCTTCTCTCTTCTCTCGCACACACACACTCTCTCTCTCTCACACACACACACACACACACACACACACTCTCTCACACACACACACACACTCACTCACACACACACACACTCTCTCTCTCTCTCTCTCTCTCATCACACACACACACACACACACACTCTCTCCCCTCTCTCTCACGCTTCTCTTCCGTCTGCCCTCGTCTTTCTATTTCTTTCTATCTCCTATCATCCTGTTCTCTGTCTTCGTCTGTGTCGCCAGTGACATCCAATCATCCTCCTCTCTTCTTCCCCAGTCTGTCTGTCTTCCGTCATGTCTGTTCTTTCCTAGATACGAAGATGACAGTATAATTATCAGTTGTTTGAGAGGCAAATATTTCTAACAGGTAGAATTATATCTCTCACCATAAAGGAATCTTCATGATTGAGTAGGGACGGTGGGGTAGCCTAGCGGTTAAAGTGTTCTCTCGTCACGCCAAAGACCCGGGTTCGATTCCCAACATGGCTACAATGTGTGAGGCCCATTTCTGGTGTCCCCAACCGTGATATTGCTGGAATATTGCTCCGGAAATACCATACCATTGTTTAGTTTTATATGTAATGTACCTTATCATCCATCATTCTGGTTATATCATCATGTTCGACCACGGTCATCACCATCATCATCATCATCATCATCATCACCATCATCATCATTATCAAAACCATTCAATACTGTATTAAATAATGTTCACGGTTTGAGAGTATTAACCTGTCGGGCGAACGCCTAACGATGGTTATCAAATCTCTGAATACCTGAGTGCGATATTTGACTTGAACAGCGAAACAGTATTCCGGATTAAATATACAGTTGTTTTTGTGTTGGCGACGCGCCAAGGACGTTTCCCACGCAATGCCGCCTCATAGCCAGGCTAACTACTTGTTATGGCTTAATGGACCTCGACCATTTTCTGGTGTATTGAATCACGTTTACGACAACTTATTAAAACCCCATGTAGAGATGTACGCAGCAGGAGAGAGAGTGTGAAAAAAGAGAGAGAGAGAGAGAGAGAGAGAGAGAGAGAGAGAGAGAGAGAGAGAGAGAGAGAGAGAGAGAGAGAGAGAGAGAGAGAGAGAGAGAGAGAGTTAACCGTGAATCTTGTTTGTTACAATATTCGATTTTCAGTGAAATGTAGATATTGAAATGACATAACGGAATGTTATATGTCGTAAAACTTTCGAGGATATTTTCCCTACGACAACTCACTTTGATCACCTAAAGTTCGTGAATAATATAATTACGAGTTTATCACGTGCATTTCATCTATTAACACCTTTCTAAAACCCACAGAAAACACCAACAGTCTACGTCATGCTTGCCAAACCTCGAATTTACAGCGGAGGGATACGGATAATGGAGGTTGCACAATCTTCGCGTCAAAATAATAACCCATATATATCAACATCTATTATAAAGATGGTTTTCCTTTATTCTTCAGAACTGCACTATCGTTTTTATGAGATTTTAAATACGCTGACATGGAGCGACCACTTGCCGGTCTATTCAGAAGCAAGTAATATGATCATCCGGTAAATGCGATAACAACTATGCTATAATAAAAACTGAAGCATTAATTATGAACATCACGTTTTGTATAGACCGAGATTCGTTTGCCGGTGTTGTCTATTTGACAAAGTGAAAAGTACGCATTCACCTTAAATTCACCAGGTGTATGTTATTTTGTTTGAATGGAATATGTCATCCAAGTACCCTCGGTTTTGACCCATGGTGCAACAACGTATGACGTCATCCCTCTCAGATACGCCGGATTAGCGGTACTTCTCTTGATGCCATGGGGGCGGTGGAGTGGCCTAGTGGTTAATGCGTTCGCTCGTCACGCGGAAAACTCGAGTTCGATTCCCCACATGGGTATAATGTGTGAAGCCAATTTCAGGTATCCCCCGCCGTGATATTGCTCGAAAATTCAGGAAGCCATGCTATGTTGAAACACGCATTATCTACTTTTTCTTTGCAGACAATGAAATATACACGTTATAATTACGAGAG